AGAGCCGACGACGCGACGCCCGGAATGCCCCCCACTCCCAATTTTGCGCCGCGCGACCTCTCGATCTCGACAGCAGCGACTGATTCCGAACAACAGCACTTTGCCGCCGTCGCGCTGTCTGTCTCTCTCGCACCCCTGAGAGGCGCCCCATGAGTGCGAGAGAGACGGAGGCCAGTTCGGAATGGTGCTCGTCTCGCCATTTCGGTGCGACGGCGTGGCCGGTCCTCAGTCTACACTCACTCCTCTCCTTTCCTCTACACTCTCTCTGCCCGGAGTCTTCTCCGCGCCGCTCTGCGCCGCGCTGCTTCGGCGGGGGCCAAGGGGAGTGGGGGTCCCTCTTCGGGGTGTCGAGAGCCCTTCATAAATCCTGCACCATCTTTAGGACTCTGGGGCCTGGCTGTTCGACGTCAACAGTTTGCTAGGAAACGATTGGAGGAGGAGGAGGAGGAGGAGGAGGAGGAACTTCGACTAGTGTGATGACGACGGGTTTTGATTCCTCTCGGAAATGCTGCCGGAATTCCCTTCCGTTTTGTTTGTGCGCGCGGTTTTTTTTTTTTTTGCTCAAGGATTTATGTCCGTGCAGCCGGGCAGACCGGCTGGTTGGCGAACGAGGAGTCAAGTCGACAGGCGGCAGCGCACAGCAGCGCATTGTCCGGCGAGGTCCCCGTCGTCCCTGCCTTCTTATCGATGGCCACCGGCAGCTCATCCCGTCATCCTAGACTGACTCCGAGGGCCGCTTTCGTCGCTCTGTCTCTCTCACACGCATACGAGACTCCCCGTGAGAGCGAGAGAGACAGAGCGACGAAAACGACTCTCGGCATCGCACAGCGGGCCAGAAGACCGGTGGAGGCGGCTAAAACTCTAGACACGTTTTGAGCTCCAGAGTCACTAAACAGGCCTCGAACCGAACGTGTGACCCCCACCAATGGATTCCTCGTTCGGAGAGCAATCCATTGGTGGCGTCACACGTTCGGTTCGGGTCCCATTTAGCGACTCTGCAGCCCAAAACGCGTCTTGAGTTTTGGCCGCCTCCACTGGTCTTCTGGCCCACTGTGCATCGGTCTGCCGGCCCGATGAACGAAACTAAAAAAGGATTCCCTGAAGGGACAAAGAGAGCAAAGCCCCGAGCAAAGCATTGAACGCGAGAGGGACAAGAAGGCGGTGGGCGGAGAGGCCGCGGACAATGCGGCCGAGAGGAGATTCCGCCCACTCCCACAGTGTGGCGGCCGTGGATGTTGGTTCGCAGTCGTGACGCAGACGCGACGGGAACGCGGAAGGACAAGTCACTATAATTAACAAAGTTGGGCATCGGCCTGGCCTGCCCTTCAGTGGTCAACGCGGGGTTGCTTCCCAACGCCGACGCGCATTCGGCACCAGCGTGTCCGAATTGCGCGGCAGTGCGACGGGCCGTGCCGTTCCCATGCTTCAACTCCTTATGTGACATCATAAACGAACGTGACAAAATTCACATTCTAACGAATGTGTCGTCACCTTCGTTGAATAACAGTGTAGGGGTTGGTTGGTAGGGGGGTGCGAGGGAGACAGAGGGCTGGGGACTGACTGACGGACTGCCGGCGGCCCTCGACGCACGCGAGAACGTGAAACACGTGAGATGGGGGATTTAGATCCTGCGGAGAATAAATCATAAAAGGCGCAGGGATAAGTTGACGTCGGCCCCGTCCGCCCAATACGTGGCGCTCATTTGTTTTCTGAAAGGCGAAAGGCTGCGGGGCGGGGCGGGGCGGGGCGGGGCGGGGCGGGGCGGGGCGGGGCGGGGCGGGGCGGGGCGGGGCGGGGCGGGGCGGGGCGGGGCGGGGCGGGGCGGGGCGGGGTGGGGCGGGGCGGGGCGGGGCGGGGCGGGGCGGGCGGGGCGGGGCGCGGCGGGGCGGGGCGGGGCGGGGCGGGGCGGGGCGTGGCGGGGCTTTGTGGACAGCGAGGCGAGGCGTGCGGCTGACTTGACGGCGTGTGATGAAACGATTTGGAAGGCGGTGCTCGAGACTCGAGACGTTGTGGCACGTTGTGGAAGGCGCTCTGCTATGCCCCCCCCCCTCCCCTCTCCACTCCACTGCAATGCAGCCCCGCGGCGCTTTCTCCATTTTTCCACTTTCTCCGCGCCTCGCCTCATTTTTCCTATTCTCAGCGGGATCCATATATATCCTTTGCCAGCACTCGCGGCGCCCGTCGAGCGCCGCCGAGCCCGTAACAAGTTTTCCCACATGGTGTCCTGCGAATTGGAAGCCGGAGCGGTGGTCCTGGCGGGGTGGGGCGGGGCGGGGCGGGGCGGGGCGGGGCGGAGCGGGGCGGGGCGGGGCGAGGCCTGGCCAGGTGAAGGCCTCCTCTCCTCGGCGAAGGCGCGGTGGGCCTCCAACTTGCAAACGAGGCAGGACGAACGGAGCGAAGCCGTGGCTGGCGTACTGGACGTTTTGGCCGGCGGAGAGGTGCGCCCCGCTGCGCGTAGCTGCGCGCGGCGTCTCTCTGTCTCTCTCTCCCCCCCCCCTCTCTCTCTCTCTCTCTCTCTCTCTCTCTCTCTCTCTCTCTCTCTCTCTCTCTCTCTGCCGGACGGGCGGGACGAGGCAATCCACTATCGGCCAAATCCACGAGGCAACCTGCGCAAACGGGAGAAGGAAGTTAATGAAGAATTGCGCCGAATTTGGACGGAAATTACCGCGGCGATTACGCTTGATTTACGTTGCCTTTCGGCTTTGGAGACAAAGGGGTTCGCCCCTCTGCCGGCCCCCTTGCAGTCTAGTGGGTCACGGACCCGTCGCGCCGAGCCATGCGCCTCGCTACTTAGTCCTGCGACCACACTGACCACCACGGCGGGGGAAGGGGGGGGGGCGGGAGCGACGCTGACGCTGATCCGTAGGGACACGGGCTGGGCCGGGGCCAGGGCAGCCTCAAGCTTCGGGCTTGTTCCGAAACGGCGCGCTGTCTCCGCCCCTCTCGTGTGGCGTCGCGCGGGGGTGCGAGAGAGACAGCGGCGAAGCAGTGTTCGGAACGATGCTGCTGCAGGAGCATGCCAGGCAGCCCCTCGGGCTCCCCGCTGGCCGCCCTGGCCGCCCTGGCCGCCCTGGCCGCCCTGGCTCGGCGCTACACGTTACAGACAGGGATCGAATCCCTCAATGAAACACTTGGCAGGCTTCCCAGGCTGCTCCGGGCTCCAGCTGCTGCAGGCCCTGCCAAGGCGTGCCATGGTGGTGCCTTCAGGGCGTGCCACCGGGGCGTGCCCGGGTGCCCGATGCCCGACCGGCGGGCTTTTGCAATACTTTGCCCTTCAGCTACAATGGCCACGGCGGGCTTGATGGCGCCTCTGGTCCAGAGAACCAAACATCTGGCCGCGTTAACGGCGTCGTGTCCGCCCAAGACTCTCTCCGTTCCCAACAGCCAATCGCGTTGACGCCTGCTCCTCCCCGGTGTGTTGTGCTTCGGCCCCTTCGGCCTGCCCGGCAGCAGTGCGCCGCTCCTTTACTCCCCTCATGAATCCATTCATTTTCGATTTGGCCACCGCCAGATGTGACGCGTCGTCGGGGAGGCTGCCGGTGTCCGCCTTCCGGTTTCCGGTCAGGCTGTGCCGCCCCGCCGCGTCCGGCCGGAAGCCTGCCTCTGTCTCTCTCGCACCCCGGCGAGACTAGGCGAGACGGCCCGCGAGTGCGACGGAGACAGAGCGACGAACCGATTCTTCGGAATGGGCCTTCTGGGCAGCTCGATCGATTGCGTGGCTTGTTTCAGTGTTTCACCTTTCCGGACGCGTCGGTGCACTCCGCGGCCCCCCCGCCCCGCTTCTTTCAAGATCCTCTCTCCGTCTCTCCGCTTACCAGTCAGCCGCAGGACTTTAACATTTTTAATATTTCCCTTGACTCAGACGTTGCCGGGGAAGGGGAATTGATCTGGAGGCGCTCCGGCGGCCCGGCGGGGGATGACGCGCCGAGCGCCGAGCCGCGCGCGCCAAGGCGGGAGGGAGATAACTTTCTAACGAGTTTCTGTCCGAACAGCAGCGGTCCGAACGGAGTGCGTGGAAAAACAGGGGGCGGGGGTGCGACCCGCATCCACCGTGCTCCATCCCCGTCTCGCACCCTTTCTCTCTCTCTCTCTCTCTCCCTCTCTCTCTCTCTCTCTCTCTCTCTCTCTCTCTCTCTCTCTCTCTCGCACGCGTGCCTATAAAGCAACCCCAGACGAGCGGCGCGTGGCGAGGCATGGCGTGGCGTGGCCACGCCGTCTCTCCGGACCGAGAGCCCGACACACTCGGGACCTTCCTCCCCGCATACCGCCACTCATGTGTGTGTGTGTGTGTGTGTGTGTGTGTGTGTGTGTGTGTGTGTGTGTGTGTGTGTGTGTGAAGCTGAATCTCGCACCCCGACGCGCGCGCGCACACACACACACACATGCACACACATGCGGCCCAAGGAGGAATTCGGGAGGGAACTGGGGCGAATTGGAGGGAACTCGGGTGTGGAATCGTTCTCCGAGAGCACCGCGACACAACACCTGCCATCAGTGCGGTTGCCTCCGCCTCCCCTTCCCCTTCCCTGGGCCGTCTCGGTCGTCTCGGCCCTCTCCCGACCCGCAGTGGCCGCAGCCCTACGAAGTGTTCCCCTCCGCCCGGACATGTGGAGCGTTATGTGTTCCCGTCTGGCCCGCTCGGACTCCGACTGGAGTTCTGGGCGGCCCGCTCCGCTGGCTGCCCCAGGGCCCTGCAAGCCCTGCGGGGGGCTGTTGTTGAGAGTCTGCGCGCCGCCGTGCCGGTGCCAGTCCTCTGCCATAGAGAGTGCCTCAACGATATCACGTGTGCATATCGATCTATCGAAATCTCCCCGTGCTGCAAGTGCATTTTCCCTGCCGCCGCCCACGAGGAGGTACTCTGGCGCTGAAAAAATAATCAGTCCTCAAGCCAAAATTATTTTCCTCGCATTGATGGAATGCTCTCAAGCATTTCTTAATGCACTCACTTATCAGTGTCTTGTTTTTAGTTTCCGCTCGGCGGAGCAGAAAAGTGAGTGAGGATGCTGGACGGCGTCGGTCGCACCCTGGGCACCCTGGGCACCCTGGGCACCCTGGGCACCCTGGGCACCCTGGGCACCCTAGTGACGGTACGCTGCAGGGTGGACGCGCAAGCGGCAAGCGGGACACCGCAGTAAAGCTTTACGCGTGTCGCCCTTATCAGCCCCGACTGGGGCAGGGCTCGGACTGGGGCTCGGACTGGGGCTCGGACTGGGGCTCGCATCCCCAGCACAGAGGCACAGCACGGAGGCAGACAGGGGCACAGCACCGCCAGACAGGGACAGTATTTCCAGTTAAAAGATCGTGCCTAATTTGTGCACAATACAAGAAGCCGCTCCGGGCTGTCGCGACCATAGCCGGGACCTCTCCATGGAGCCTCCCCTAACAACGTCCATTGTTGTGTCTACGAAATGAATAATCCGAGGGCGGATGGGTAGGGCTGGCTGGAGGGATGGGGGTGGGCGTACACTGGCGTGCAGGGACACTGCCACTCGTGGGTGGCTGCCCCGGTTGCAAAGTTGTTGCGACAGCTTGTCCCCGCTTCGGCGCTGCGGCCCGTCCACGCCCGTGTGCGGGATTTGGACTTAGCTCCCCAGCCGACTTGGCGACTTGGCCGGGATGGGACCACGTCACCAACGTCACACAGCCCTGCACCACCCTCCTCGCACCCTTAATGCCTCACGAACTATCACAGGCCTCGCAAGGAAAACGGGGGGGCTTTAACATACTCTGAGCGAGCATGACACAAGTTTGAAAGGGAAATACATCGTCATTTACAAAGCGAATTCCTCGCATAACGAAGTTAATAGTTTGTACGAACCTGACATGCTGCAAAGGCTTGGACAATGTTTTACGGTGCGTGGAGCGGGCGGTGTCTTCGTCATCCTGGGGCTTCCTCGGCGGGGCACACCGTGAGCGTGCTCGCGTTGGATTCCCAGATCCCCACTTGCTCCTGAACAAGTTGGCGTCCTCCTCGCAGTGCCCGTTGGCATGTCGGCACACACACACACACACACACACACACACACACACACACACACAAACAAACACAAACACACAAACACAGACAGAGCCCCGAGTCCCCCACCAGGCCGAGCCATGCACTCCCACACGTTGACAATCTAATCCGGGCCCTGGTAGTCGTGGAGGTCCTGGAAGTCCTGGCGGCACGGCGGCGCCCCTGCGACGCCCTGCGGTGTCTCGATCCATCACGCTCCTCCTCATATGGGCGGGATTAGGGTGGAGGGGCTGGTTGAAGGTGGGCGGGGGGCTGACAGGGACAAGTGTACCAGCAGGCTCATTCCAAAGGGGTCGCATCGTCGGGCCGTCTCTGCCGCACTCGTGGGGCGTGCCGCAGCGGTGCGAGAGAGACAGAGTTAGAGACAGGCCGTATCGAAGGCGTGGGCCGCCTGGCCGGCCTCGGCTCAACCCCGGCCAGCAGACTGGTTCGCTTCGGGTCGCTCCGTCGCTCTGTCTCTGTCGCACTCAAGAGCCGGCCCGTCGTCAGGGTGCGAGAGAGTCCTGAAACGTGCCGCTCCGTGGGAGGCAGGGCGGATGGCATTCATCACAGCCCTCTCCCAGGCCGGAAGGACTTGGTGCACGGCGCGGCACGGCGTGCAAGGTGTGTGGCACACTGTGTGGCACACTGTGTGGCCGGCCGCATCTGCATACACCGGGCTGCTTTGCTGCGTTGGGGCGGCGGCCTTGTGCAGCCACTGTTAATCAGGCCGGGGGCGCGTCCACTGCACTGTGTGCGGTAGTGGCGCCCCAATCGCCCGTGGCGGTGGCAGGCAGAGGCAAACGCACTGCGCACTCCCGCCACAGCTCTGTCCTTGTCGCTCCTGACGGAGTGCCAGTGAGAGCGAGAGAGACAGAAGACGTTACGTCGAAAGTGGACGAACCTTCCGAACATTCGAAACGATCGGGCTCCTCGGGCGTCGCTGGCCCTTGCCCGGCCTTGCCCCAGCTCACCAAGGCCTCCTTGTTGCTTGTTGCAGGAGCGCCCTCCGCGCCCCGCCTGGCCGAGTGGCCCGCCGCGTCGCTGGGACTGCCGGCCTCCGCGGTGGACGCGGACCGCGCCGACGTCGTGGACGCCGGGCCGTGGCTGGCCGCCAACCGGTCCCTCGAGACGGAGGAGGTAATGTAGTGTCGACGCCGCCCCGAGCAGAGTGGAGCATTGGTTCCGCCCGGTTTCACCCGGTCTCTGCACCGCGCAGCAGCAACCGCAAGGAGAAAGCAGTCAGGACAAGGACTGTGTTGTCCCGGTCGTCCCCTGTTGGCAGCGCCGTGCCTCCTGGCTTGATGGCGGCAGGCAGGGCGGGCAGCGTGCCGTGCAAATGGCCCAGACAGTGCCGGCTAACAAGGTTCCCGCAGCCGCCCGGTGGAGCCGAGTGGAGCCGAGTGGAGCCGAGTGGCGCCGAGTGGAGCCGAGTGACCTGCAAACCGAATGAGTGCGCCATGACGACGGTGACGACGCCTTCCGCTCCACAGGTGTGCGCGCTGCAAGCCTCTCTCCGGCCCACCCCCGCGGGCCTGCACTGCGCCTCGGCCTTCGACGCCATCCTCTGCTGGCCGCCCACCGGCGCGGGGCTGCTGGCCGAGCAGCAGTGCTTCGACGAGCTCAACGGCGTCAAGTACGACCCCGCAGGTACGCCACCACACCGTTCGCCCACGCGGACAGTTCTAAAGATCACCCACTACCGGCCAGGCCCTTTTACCACCGGGTCGCTGCGCGTTGCGCGCATGCCTTCAGCCAGCAACAGTGTACCTGAAGGTATGCGCCACCTGGCGTGTACTTGGCAAGTAAACGCCAACCAGGAGTGTACATGCCATGTACACCCCAACCTGGAGTGTACATGCATGTGCACTCCGGGTGGAGTGTACTATGTGCACACTTGAGTTTGTAGAGTAGCCTGGGTTGGCTTCATATCCGTAACTTGGACGGTTGCTAGTCCACCGGAGCCCCATGCTCCATGCAAGTAGCTTTCGCTACTCGCTGCGGCGTACTTTCAAGCTGACGCTGCTCGGCGGAGCGCGAAGCCCGGCGAAGCCCGGCGAAGCCCGCCCTCGCGATCAAAGCGATCAGAGCCCCGTCGGACCATCGGCCTGTCCGCTCTGCCTCGCGATAAACATGACGCGGAGGATGTTTATCCTTTGCTGCTGGCGCTTTGCTGCGCTTTGCTGCGCCTTGCGGCACTTTGCTGCAGGCCTGGCGTCGCGGTGGTGCCTCCCCAACGGCACCTGGTCGCGCTACTCCAACTACACGCTGTGCCGCGAGCTAGCCCCGCCGCTGGGGCCAGAGGCGCCCGAGGCGTGGTGGGCCGTGGAGCTGACCCACGTCGTGTACCAGGTGGGGTACGGCATGTCCCTCGTCGCCCTCTTCTTCGCCGTGCTCATCTTCGTGTCCTTCAAGTGAGTAGCCACAGTGGGCCAGAAGCGACCCGCACAGGCGGCCAACCTTCCAGACGCGTTTTGAGAAACGGGACTCGAACCAAACGTTTGACCCCGCCAGTGGATTCCGCATTCGGGCAGGAATCCATTGGTGGGGTCACACGTTCGGTTCGAGTCCCATTTGGCGGCTCTGGAGCTCAAAACGCGTCCGGGACTTTGGCCGCCTCCACCGGTCCACCGCCCTGCGATGTTGAAAGAAGCGTTCTCACTGACACCTCTTCCTGCTCAGGGACCTGCACTGTCTACGAAACTCGATCCACTCCAACCTCATGTGCGCCTACATCCTGGCGGACTTCACGTGGATTCTTAATTATTCAATTCAGGTGAGGCAACTTTCCCCCCTACAAAGGCCCTGCAAAGGGCATGCATTGAGTCGCGCAACGACGCCCTGGGGCCGGCCGGGGCGTCGAGGAGGCCAGCGCCCAGCCAGGGAGGGCGAGCTGCGAACTGGCCGAGCGAGCGTTTGTCGGCGCGCACTGGCACACTGGCACACCAGCGCGCGTTCAAGCAGACAGTGTGCTTATAAGTTATTCAGCCACTCATCGGCCAGACCCGCCTCTCCGCCGCCGCAGGGGGGCACACACACATGCACGCACACTCGAGAACTGGCAACTGCGAACTGTAGCGCTGCCGCCGCTGTGGCCGTTTCCTGTGTTCTATGGACTCCATTCGGCGATGGTCGTGTTCTGCTAAGACTCACGAGAGTGATTTTCCTGCGTTGGGCGACGCAATAGCGGGACCGCTGACTCGGTTTGGATTTTGCACTCAATCTGGCACTTTCCGCTCACGACAATTTTATAGTGCAAGTTCGTGGGCCACCAGACCACTTAAACCTTTGGCTAAATGCTCTTTGCACTGAATAACAGGAAAAGTAGCGATGTACATCGGCAACTTTGGCCCGTCCCGTACATTAAGAAACGTACGAATTTCGCCCATGTTTAACCCTGACGGGAATTAAACCTGAGTCTGGGGTTAAAATAAATGTCGTTTTCGTCATCAGCACCCTCAAAAACACCAGAAACAATGCAAAAACTCGAATAAAAAGAATTTCGAAAAAAATACCCCGCTGGGATTTGAACCCGGGTCCGAACTTCTCCGATTCGCTCGAAACTGGCACCTTTGGTTTTTTCTCGTCGCCCCCTAAATACCCCTACATGCCCTCCTAGCTGCATCCGTTGCCGAGATCCTCCTCGACCCCATGTAGACCATGATGCACCTGCAGCAGCGCCCCCGGGGCTCGGATCGGATTTGCTGCCACCGGGCGGTTCTAAGGGTCACCCAAGGAGGCTGCATACCAAATTTGGTCAAGATCGGACCACGGGAAGTCCTCGGACGAACGGACGGACGGACGGACGGACGGACGCACAGCAGGGATCATACTATATGCCCGTCCCTCCGTCATTTTTTTACAAAAAATAAACGGGACGGGCCAAAAACCAAACGTTGGTCTGGACCGCACCATACTGGTGTGGTGCCATGAGGTCTTTCCATGCAATGACCACACCAAACGCACCAAACGTGGTCTAGACCACACCAACTGGTGCGGTCAAAATGACACCCATTTGACCACACCAGTTGCTGTGGTCTGGACCACGTTTGGTTTTTCAGTGTGCTCACTTCCGTTTTTTGTTTCCAGACTGATTCCACCGAGTGCGTTTGCTTGCTCGTGCTCTTCCACTATTTTCACTTGACTACATTCACGTGGATGTTCGTGGAAGGTGAGTACTAGTGATGTGCAAACTGCGTACTTCTGTCTCGAGACGTCTCGCTAGCGCAAGCAAAAGGTAGACAGACACTCAGAGGGTTAGTGGATGAGCCCCCCATTCTTTCTTTTTTTTCACCGGTCGCTCGCAGTGCTCAGGCAGTGCTCGCAGGGCGAAGTTTGTTGGTACTCCGGACCCACAGAACAACGACGCGGTGAGAAGTGCGTTACTGGTTGTATGCTGCGGCGTTCCCCGTAGCCAGGCTCCCGCAGCAACGCCGCGCCGCGCCCGAGGCGTCCGTCGCGGCAAACCGCTTCTCTCACTTGCAGTGGGGGTCCGCGGATGGCCGGGAGCAGCCAATCCCAATTCTTTCCATCTCACTGACGGCCTGACGGCGAGCAAATCGGGATAAATGGATGCTGTGCAGCGCGGCCTCGTTTTACCTGCGGCCTCCCGCCTGCGTCGTCGCTCTGTCTCCCTCGCACTCATGCGGCGTCCCGTGAAGGTGCAAGAGAGACAGAGCGACGAAAACGGCTCTCGGAATGAGCAGCCTGCTGGCGGGGCGCAGATGCCGCGATCGCCGCCAACGCGAACGAGAGGATGGATTGCTACGCTCGGCGCGGCGAGTCGCCTGCACGGTTTGCACCACACAGTGGGCCAGAAGACCGGTGGATGCGGCCAAAACTCTAAACGCGGTTTGCGCTCCAGAGTCGCTAAATGGGACTGGAACCGAACGTGTGACCCCACCAATGGATTGCTCCGAACCAGGAATCCATTGGTGGGGTCACACGTTCAGTTTGAGGCCTGTTTAGCGACTCTGGAGCTCAAAACGCGTCTAGAGTTTTGGCCGCCTCCACCGGTCTTCTGGCCCACTGTGCACCAGTGCGGTTTGCTCCGGAGAGAAGTTGGCGTGCGCGTGGCGCGAGTCGGTGCACCACCACGACAATGACGCCGTCCTGGAGGCTGCCCGCTGCCCGCTCCACGTGCCGAAGCGCCGCGGCCCGAGCTGCAGCAGGCGAGCGTCGGTGCATGAAGCGTCCCCGTGCCGCCCTTTGAAGTCGAGTCTAATTTTCATGGCCGTCCGCTGTGAGTGTGGAGACGGGGTGGGGCCTCTGTCCACGACCCGTGCCCCCACTCTCCCTCCACTCCCCAAGCTTCATTCATTATTTCCTGCATCCATTATCACTCAGCAACCCCTTCCCCTCCACTGGAAGTCCCCCTCGGCCGCCGAAACGCGCACCTTCTTCGTTTTTTATGCCGCCGGCGGCCTCAGGCAGCCCCAGGCAGGCTCGCCGTACGCGGCGCAATGCATCTTACATGTCGCTCAGTGTAACACGACCTTTCGCGCATGGATTCGCCCTGCAAGCACTGAAGCACCGCACCGAGCGAGAAACGTGCGAAGTCGCGCAGAGTAATACAAAGTCCTCCAAAGGACTCCGATACAATCGGTTTGCTCCAGGTTCACTGGTGAAATAAAGGCATTAAAATTATGCCCTTAAAGGGCGTAAACGATTTACGCCCTTAAAGGGCATAAATCGTTAATGCCGTTGAGAAGGGCATTAAAATTTTGCTTGAAATTCCTACACCATTTACGCCCTTTCCAAGGGCATAAAACAAATTATGCCCTTGCAAGGGCGTAAAAGAGTATTTATGCCCTAAAGGGCGTAATTTTTATGCCTTTGTTTTACCAGTGTTGCGCGAGTTACCTCCGAGATTTTTTTTCACTGCGGGGTGGGTTTACCCCGTAAACAAAACTAGTACATGTCTGGAATCCGATGTCTTTCGGACGTCCCGAAGAAGTCGGTTTTGGGAGCTCTTCGGGACCTCCCTAAACGTACTACAAATGAAGCTCTCTCGTACGTCGCGCGGGGACCTAGTGTGTGGTGCCAGAGTTCGCCGCCAGAGCGCGCCCTGGTCGCTCGTCCCAAAGGAGTCGGTTCTTGGAGCACTTCGGGACGTCCGAAACGGTAGGTCTATGTGAGGTCTTTGGGAGGTCCCCCACCACACCCGTCGCAGCGTCCTGCGGCCATGTAGTTCCGAGTGAGTCCGCTAGAGCGCGCCTCGGGCCCACGCGATGCTCACCTGTTGTGCAGATGACAGTCGGCGCACTTTGGCGCGCACTGTGCTTGTGGCGTCGGATCCTTACTTCTATTTATTTTTCTGTTAACTATAGTAAATTCATGTCTCCAAAGAAAAGAAACCACGCACGAAGATGTTCAGTTCTCAGGTGCACCAATAAGAAGAATACTTCAAAGCCTTGGTGCAGGCTTATTTCGTGTTTCAATCCAAATCAGAAAGTACCGGTGTAAGTTAACCTACAATATTCTGTTACTTTGATACTCTTATTGTCAAAGTGTTTATTTTGTTCGTCTTCTGATTTTATGCTTGAGGAATAGGCTCTTTGCGGAAACCTTGACCCACTGGAGTTGCCCAAGATTCTGGAACGATAACCTGCACCACTATGCAATTACATGTGGAACAAGAACTGACTCCTGTGCTTCAGTGTCAAATTAAGTGAATTTCCTGCGACAGAGCAAAGTAAGCATGACACCTCGGAATCAGTGCTAATTGAATTTCTTTCAGTCATTTTGGCTTATTTTTAATCAAGGGGTGTTACAGTTATGGTTGCTGTATTTTCTTTTCAGTCCAACCGAGATTCCTCTTTTAAATATTTTGTTTTTGAGTCCTGTCCACCATTTTTGTCTCCATATTTTCTGCTGTTCGTGACAAGTCTTATCGTTTGATTTTTAATTTAAAAAGGTCAGTGAATAAATACATTTTTCCTAACAGTTTATCTGTGTCATATTCACATTCCTATACGCATTCACATTCATATCTGGAACAGTGGCGCACCCTAGCGGCAGGCCATCGAACTACGACACAGGTGCGCGCTCTAGCGGTCACCTTCGGAACTACATGGCCGCAGGGCGCTGCGACGGGTGGTGGGGGACCTCCGAAAGACCTCTCACAGACCTACCGTTTCCGACGTCCCGAAGTGCTCCCGAAAGAGACGTCCTGAAATGTAGCACGGCAGTACTTCTTTCGGATGCCTTTTTTGTTTCATAAGGTACTCCTTCCGTACTACATTTTGGGATGTACAGAGCTCCGAAATGGTAGTACGACAGTACTACTTTTGATAGTAGTTTTGTTTACGGGGTACGCACCCCACCGTAAACGTGCCAATTCAATTTTTTTTTTTTTTCATAACCTTGGCTTTAACGGCGCCGCATTCCCATCGGCGGGGCGGGCGCCTGGCCCGGCCTGGCCCGGCCTGGCGCGGCGCCAGCCAATGCCAGTCCTCGAGTCCGACTATAGGCATGTCTGATTGATGAGCGAGACGGAAGTGGATCGGTTTGTCTGAATGCCGAGTGGATTGGAGGGCTGCGTGCACTGTGTGCTGAAATGTGCCCGACTTTTTTTTTTTTTTTTTGAAGCGCGGCTCGCTGCCCATGATTGATGCGCGTTGGCCGCCTCTTGTTCCAGGGCTGTACTTATACATTCTGGTCGTGGAGACGTTCACTCGGGAGAACGTCCGACTGCGGTGCTACATTCTCATCGGCTGGGGTAAGTGACGTCATGTTTCTGTTGGAGATTTTCGCAAATTGTTTCGAGTGTCCCCCGAGGGGGGAACAGCTTCCCACATTCGTTGTACAAAATTTGACCACATTCCACATTCAGGTGGCAAAAACGCCTGTAAGTAGGCAACACATGTATGGCAAAAACGCCAAAAACCTTGCACATTCTTGCTCATTCACACAAATCATTGTACACAAAATTTTACAGTGGGTCACCCCTTGGTGTCCCCGCTCGTTTTTCGGGATGTGTATAAAGTGTCTATACACGGCCTGATTCCACAGTGCCCCTCCCGTTCGGGCCTCAAAGGCGGGAGCAGCTTTTCGCTGTGGGGCTGGGGCTGGCCGCTGGGGCTGGCCGCTGGGGCTGGCCGCTGGGGCTGGCCGCTGGCCCTCCTCACGGTGGCTGGCCCACTGGCTTTCCGCTCGGCCGGGCTGTGGCCCGTGGGCTGTGTACTCTGTCCCCGGCGGCCGGGCGGGCCTGGCTGGCCTGGCTCTCGCTGCCCCTTTCCCTGTGCATTCAACAGGTATGGCCCGCCAGCCCGACCAGCCCGACCAGCCCGGCCACGAGAAGGGCGCAGATGCCCTTCTTGTTTGCCCGTCCGCGACGCTGTTTGCCTGCGGCGGCGCGGCAGCGTCCGAGCGTGACAGCGTGACAGCCTCAAAGACGGAGGCACAATCGATAGCCCGCCACGCCCGCCGCGTATCGGACTCCAGCGCCCCGGGACGAAGGGCCGCCGCGCCAGGAAGGGCCCCGCCACGAAGGGCCGCCGCGCCAGGAAGGGCCCCGCCACGAAGGGCCGCCGCGCCAGGAAGGGCCCCGCCACGAAGGGCCGCCGCGCCAGGAAGGGCCCCGCCACGAAGGGCCGGCGCGCCAAGAAGGGCCCCGCCACGAAGGGCCGCCGCGCCAGGAAGGGCCCCGCCACGAAGGGCCGCCGCGCCAAGAAGGGCCCCGCCACGAAGGGCCGCCGCGCCAGGAAGGGCCCCGCCACGAAGGGCCGGCGCGCCAGGAAGGGCCCCGCCACGAAGGGCCGCCGCGCCAAGAAGGGCCCCGCCACGAAGGGCCGCCGCGCCAGGAAGGGCCCCGCCACGAAGGGCCGCCGCGCCAAGAAGGGCCCCGCCACGAAGGGCCGCCGCGCCAGGAAGGGCCCCGCCACGAAGGGCCGCCGCGCCAAGAAGGGCCCCGCCACGAAGGGCCGCCGCGCCAGGAAGGGCCCCGCCACGAAGGGCCGCCGCGCCAAGAAGGGCCCCGCCACGAAGGGCCGCCGCGCCAGGAAGGGCCCCGCCACGAAGGGCCGGCGCGCCAAGAAGGGCCCCGCCACGAAGGGCCGCCGCGCCAGGAAGGGCCCCGCCACGAAGGGCCGCCGCGCCAAGAAGGGCCCCGCCACGAAGGGCCGCCGCGCCAGGAAGGGCCCCGCCACGAAGGGCCGCCGCGCCAAGAAGGGCCCCGCCACGAAGGGCCGCCGCGCCAGGAAGGGCCCCGCCACGAAGGGCCGCCGCGCCAGGAAGGGCCCCGCCACGAAGGGCCGCCGCGCCAGGAAGGGCCCCGCCACGAAGGGCCGCCGCGCCAGGAAGGGCCCCGCCACGAAGGGCCGCCGCGCCAGGAAGGGCCCCGCCACGAAGGGCCGCCGCGCCAGGAAGGGCCCCGCCACGAAGGGCCGCCGCGCCAAGAAGGGCCCCGCCACGAAGGGCCGCCGCGCCAGGAAGGGCCCCGCCACGAAGGGCCGCCGCGCCAAGAAGGGCCCCGCCACGAAGGGCCGCCGCGCCAGGAAGGGCCCCGCCACGAAGGGCCGCCGCGCCAGGAAGGGCCCCGCCACGAAGGGCCGCCGCGCCAAGAAGGGCCCCGCCACGAAGGGCCGCCGCGCCAGGAAGGGCCCCGCCACGAAGGGCCGCCGCGCCAGGAAGGGCCCCGCCACGAAGGGCCGCCGCGCCAAGAAGGGCCCCGCCACGAAGGGCCGCCGCGCCAGGAAGGGCCCCGCCACGAAGGGCCGCCGCGCCAAGAAGGGCCCCGCCACGAAGGGCCGCCGCGCCAGGAAGGGCCCCGCCACGACGAAGGGCCGCCGAGCTGCGCATCATAATCCCTCCACCGGCCGCCACGCGCGGGCTGTGGGTCCCTTGGGAAGGTCAAGGGGCCCTGGGCTGGGCCGGGCTGACAGGCCGGCAGCCTGGCGGGGCCGGCGGGGCGAACATGAACCAGGTTCAAAGGGCTCTGCTCGGCCAGCTCGGCCTGCTCGGGGCGGCTTTCTTTTGTCAGCCAGGCCGGGCCAGCCGCCCTGCCTGGCCCTCGGCGAGCCGCGCGCAGTTTGCCGCTACACTGCTACACTGTTACACGGCGTTCATTGTGGCTTCACAATGGCCCCGCCCTGGATTTAGCCCTATATTGCCTGCCAGCCGAGGACTGAGGACCGCCGCCCTCAGCGGCCAAGGGCCGAGGGCCGTCTTTACCGCCTCCAAGACGTGGGCTGAGCTGAGAGTCCCTCGGCGCGCGGTCGCGGTGGTCGCGGTGGTCGCGGTACCTCCCCGCCGCGAGGGCCCTGCGCTGCACCCTGGCCTGGCCTGGCTGGCTGCGCGGCGCTCCACAGTGGGCCAGAAGACGGGCGCAGGCGGCCGAAACTCTAGACGCGTTTTGAGCTCCAGAGTCGCTAAATGGGACTCGAACCGAACGTGTGACCCCACCAATGGATTCCTCGTTCAGAGAGCAGTCCATTGGTGGGGTCACACGTTCGGTTCGAGGCCTGTTTAGCGACTCTGGAGCTCAAAACGCGTCTCGAGTTTTGGCCGCCTGCGCCGGTCTTCTGGCCCACTGTGCGCTCCACCAGGGAATCAAAGAGAGACCCGAGGGGGTGGAAGGGGGAGGGGTGTTCAGACAGGGCAGCCTATTACGCCATGCGAACGGACAGACTCTGGGAGGCTGGGAAGGGGACCGAGGGGACCGAGGGGACCAAGGGGACCGGCCCCACCAAATTATATGTTTAGTTTGCCGGTTGCTGCTTTTCGTCTTTTCGTTATGCCCGTCTTTTTGCTCCTGTTATTTTTCTCCTGTTATTTGGCTCCAGTCCCGTCCCTTCGCCCTTCCGCCCTTGCGACCGAAACAGGCGAATTGACGCACTGGGTTCCTAGTTCCTAGAACGGCTCCAAATTCAAAGGGGATTGTTAACTCCAGGGACCTTTTTTTTCTGTTCTGTTTCGTATTTGATTTTTTCATACATATATTTCCGTCCGCAGTAGTTATACGTGTTGTGCGTGCTGGCATTGTCCCATTCGTTGGCCAACTTTTTCGGTGGGAAAAAACAGCGTGTTAGCGAGCTGTGCGTCGGGGGGGCTAGCCCTCGGCGCTCTCGGACAGGGCGGACCGGGCCGGACCCCGGGCCACCACCGAGAGGGCCTGCTCCACCACCGGAAGAGCGCGCCGCGCGCCGTCCTCATGAGGCTGATTTATGCCTCCGCGTGCCCTGGCTGCCCGCCTGGCTGCCCGCCTGGCTGCCCGCCTGGCTGCCCGCCTGGCTGCCCGCCTGGCTGCCCGCCTGGCTGCCTGGCTGGCCGCTGCGCCGAGGCAGGAAGTGGAAGGACGCCCTACACTCTAATCCGCGAGGGCGGCATCCCATTGGTCTATTGTTGTTCCCGCCAAGATTTAAACGAGCCGTTTTTCCGCGCCGTTCACTCCGCTCGTCCTACAAACCGTCCATTATGTAATGTATTCCGGCCACGCGTATGAAAAACGCGTCGACGCAAAACACGCGCACTCACACGCGCTCTCTCTCTCTCTCTCTCTCTCTCTCTCTCTCTCTCTCTCTCTCTCTCTCTCTCTCTCTCTCTCTCTCTCTCTCTGTCACACACACACACACCAACACCAACACCAACAACGAGAGAGGAAAAAAACAAAAAGAACGAGAGGGCGACTCAGAGCGGGTTTCATTTCGTGGAGTCCCATTTCGCTGCAGCGCCGTTCCCGTTGTGGCGCTGTGTGTGCGGCCGGGCCCGGCGAGGCGCGGCGGGGGGATTTTTGTCCGGCCAAAAAGGTAAAGCAAGCGACGCGCCGGCGGGGGCTGCGGGGGCTTGCTGGCTGCTCCGCTGCGCGCTCATTGTCTCACCTGTTTTAATTCCCACACGGACGGCGCGGGCGGGGGGAGGGGGGGTGAGGGGGGGGACGGAGCTGTCAAACGCCAAGGAGCGGGAACAATGGCCGGCTGACACGTCGCGCGGAGAGGAGGCCCAGCACGACCGGGACAGGACGGCCGGGACGACGCGCTGGTGGCGATGGAGTCGGGTGGAGCCCCTGCGGATCGGAGGATAGGCTGTACCGCCGCGCACGAGTGGTGGTCGGCGTGCCTACACTGACAGGCGCTCCGCCCCGCCCCGCCCCGCCCCGCCCCGCCCCGTCCCGCCCCGCCCCGCCCCGCCCCGCCCCGCCCCGCCCCGCCCCGCCCCGCCCCGCCCCGCCCCGCCCCGCCAAGCCGGCGGACCAAATGGAATGAATGCGCACACACAGACAGACGGCGTGGGAAAATCGGTTATCGGGAAACTGGCCTCTGCGGATGCGGTCGCGCGGACCGGACGGACGGCGGCGCGGAGGCCGGCCAGTGCAGTGGACGGGGCGCCTGCAGCCCGCAGGGTAGGCAACCCGACCGCGGAGCACTCACAGCTGTCGGCGTGCGGCCTACCCTGCAGACTGGCCCGGCCGGCCCGGCTGCCCTGCCGGCGTCACCGCGGCAACGCCCCACAGTGGGCCAGAAGACCGGTGGAGGCGGCTAAAACTCTAGACGCGTTTTGAGCTCCAGAGACGCTAACAGGGCTCGAATCGAGCGTGTGACCCCACCAATGGATTGCTCTCCGAACGAGGAATCCATTGGTGGGGTCACACGTTCGGTTCGAGTCCCATTTAGCGACTCTGGAGCTCAAAACGCGTCTAGAGCTATGGCCGCCTCCACCGGTCTTCGTGCGCCATCGGACTGGGCCCTCCGCTTGCTTCGTCGCTCTGTCTCTCTCCGCGTCCGCTCTCATGAGGCGCCCCGCGGGGGTGCGAGCGAGAGAGACGTAGCGACGCGGCGGCGTTCGGAACGTCTCTGTTGGCTGCCGGCGTGCCCACCACACGGCAAGGCGGCGAGGTGGTCGCGAGGCGCCGTGTCTGGGCGTGTCTGGCTGGGTGGCGCCGGAAAGCGGACAGGCTGGGACGGGCAGGGACCAGGGGGTCACGGGGGCGGGCACGGCACGACGGGCGGATATTGCTGCTGCTGCCGATGTGGCGGGATTCCGAGGCTGGTTAGGGAGGATGTCCGTCTGCCTCTCTCGCACCTACACGGGACGCCCTTGGAGTGCGAGAGAGACAGACAGAGAGACTTCCCGCAGCCTACAGCCGCCCTGGATGCCCGCCGTTACGCCCTTCATACCTGGTGCGCCTCGGTCCTGGTCCTGGAGGCCCTGCACACTCATTCCGAGATTCGGTTTCGTCTTTCGTCGCTCTGTCTCTCTCGCACTCGTGGGGCGATCCGTACAGGTGCGAGAGAGACAGAGCGACGAAAACGACTCTCGGAATCAGTCTGCAGGGAGACGAGGACGGCAGGATGTGCACGGAGGAGGCCGAGGAGGGAAAGAAGGCCGAGGCTGGTGCGTGCTGGGGGGGGGCTGGGAGCGGCGAGCGGTTAATGGCGGAGCGCGTAATTCTGGGTCGATTGCGAGTTAATTGAAAAAGCACTTACCGCCGTGATATCGCCGTGACGAGGGGACGAGGGGACCGGGGGGGGGGGGTCCTCGGCGCGTGTGTCCTTCGCAGTCTATATCCATCGCGCGGATTTGGCTTCTCGTGAAAAGGTGGGCCGAATCGACAGCACGGCCGCTTTGTTGCGAGTTCCCGTTCTCTTATTGGCACTTCAGCCAACATCCGGGCTAGCAATCGCAATCCTTCCTTTTAGTTTTTCCCTTTTTTTTGGTGCGAGTGTTTATGACGTTCCTTTTGTCTTTCCTTCCTCCGCGTGTTCCGCGCGGATTGGCTCACTCCTTTGACAAATAAACCGTCGATCCGCTAATCTGCGCCGGGCCAGCGGGCCGGACTATCGCCGGAGTCATGGTCCGCCGCTTCGCCAGCAGGGGAACGGTCCGGCTGGCGCGGCCGCCGAGCCCCGCGGTGCAGTCCGGCCAGAGGGTGGCCGGTGCACAGTGGGCCAGACGACCGCTGGAGGCGGTCAAAACTCGAGACGCGTTTTGAGCTCCAGAGTCGCTGAATGGGACTCGAACCAAACGTGTGACCCCGCCAATGGATTCCTCGTTCGGAGAGCAATCCATTGGTTGGGTCACACGCTCGATTCGAGCCCTGTTAAGCGTCTCTGGAGCTCAAAACGCGTCTAGAGTTTTGGCCGCCGGCGCCGGTCTTCTGGCCCACTGTGCGGTGCTTGCACGGTGCCTGCACTACACCCCACGTTCTGCTGTGTTGCAGGGTCGCCGATGGTGTTCGTGACGCTGTGGGTGCTGGTCCGCTGCCTGACGCCGTCGCCGGAGCCACAGGTTAGCACAATGGCACTTAAGACGTCGTGAATCATGACTTGACTTTCCCCGGAGGGGCCGAAGTTGGGAAGTTAGCGCACAGTGCAGCGCCGGTCCCGCCGTCGTCCTGCCGTACTCAGAGTGTGCAAGCAGCAGGTGGACTCCAATTAAATGCCGGGCTGGTGCACCTCGACCGCTCCACTCGAGAGCCTCTTCCGACCCTCCCCGACAACAAAGCTCCGAGCGAGGCGCGACTGGGCGCGACGGCCGGCCGGGCTGGGCCCGACGATTGTGCGATTGTGTCCCCTCCCCCTCCCCCTTTGGCGGCGCTGCGGTGCGGTGCCATTGGCAGTGCAGTGCCGGGGGCGAGACGCGGCGACGCGGGCCGAGGCCATGGCTAGCCATGGCGGGGCCGAAGCAGCCGCCGAGCGGATTGGACGCAGAAACGGCGGGATGCGAACGATGAAAACGTCGTGATGGTCGTGGTGCTGATGGGGGAGGGGAGGGCTTCCCGGCCTCCTCCGGCTTGCCGCCGGCAGCGTCGCCCCGCCAGGCCCGCCCAGGCTGACTACGCCCGCTACGCTGGCTACAGATGCTTCCGTGTAACTTTCCCCCAGAATTGCGTTAGCGGAGGGCTAACGGGCCGTTCCCGCGGTGCCCGCGGCGTCCCGCCCCGCCCCGCCCCGCCCCGCCCCGCCCCGCCCCGCCCCGCCCCGCCCCGCCCCGCCCCGCCGGCCACCGCCGCCGCAGCCTCAGCTTTTTCCCTGGTGCTTAGGCCCGCGGCCCGCTCCGCCCCGCCCCTTGTTCCGCCAATCCCCGGCCTTGCACCGCGGCGTCGTCTGTTCGAAACTTGCTCCAACTTACCTACTTTCCTCTCGGCGGCAAGGGGGAACGGGGAGGGAGGGCTCGACATGCAAAGTTGTGCCCGGGCTTTGTTTTCGGGGCGATGATGTGGAGCGGGCCAGGGTGGACACGGTGGACCCCTCCCCTCCCCCGGCCGCCGTGCCGTGCCGTGCCACGCAGCAGGCAGGCAGCAGGCAGGCAGCAGGCTGGGAAGGGAGGCAGGCCGAGGCAGGCCGCCCCGAACTTGGTCCCCTGCGGCGGTGGCGGCGTTATCGGCGGTACCGCACCCGGTGTTGTAAGGCTGGAAGGGCTGGAAGGCTGCGACGGTGCCATTACTCGGCTCATTAAGGTGCACCGGCGTGGCTGCTCTGCCTGCTGTTTCGAAGCGCAGACAGTGGCAGTGTGGCACACTGTGTGGGGCGTCCGGTGGCGTCATGGCCGTGCGAGTGGGACGGAGCATACAGCGGCATACAGCCACACTCCTCCGACTGCTGCGCGCTGCTGCGCTGAGCGACCGAGACCGAGACCACCTGTACGCCTCGCCGGCTGCCTGGCTGCCAGGCTGCCTTGCCCTCCTCGCTGGCACCACTCTATTTTGCTTCGCTGTTCTGCGGCGTTCCCTACCCACAGTACACCGCCAAGAAAAACACTTCCGACCGCTCTCTCTCTCTCTTTCTCTCTCTCTCTCTCTCTCTCTCTCTCTCTCTCTCTCTCTCTCTCTTCGGCCTCTCTCCCACCCACCCATTCCATCTATCTCTATCTCTCTCCCACCACCCTCTGTAGATATTGAGTTATCAGTTTGAGAAACACGCGGCCCTGACATGGAGTTGGTCCAGCGAAACGTTGGGGCACTTCGCCTCGCCGCCGGCAGCGGGGCAGCAGAACCCCCTTCTCTTCCCCTCCCCCACCCTCCCCCGGCCCCTTTGCCAGATGACACAGTCCGGGCCGCACAGCCATGGCACAGCCGAGCTCTCTGGGATACAGTACATCTCATCCGAAGGAAGCGGCAAAAATTGGCGAGGCCGCGCGGACGACGGCGTGGTGGGGGGGGGGGGGGGGGACGAAACCAATTGGCTTGCAGACGAACGCCTACACTCCTTGGCGCGACGGCCGGCGTAGCGGCGTTCATCCCCTGGGACACTGCCCAATGGCAGTCCCGATGGCCCAGCCGTCGCACCGGGTGCGCAGCGCACCCCCTTGGCGAATGCCCTACAGGCGTCCTGTCGTCCTGGAAATGTCCCGCAGTCCTGAAAGTGTCCGCCGCCAAGTCCCCGGCGGTGCACGGTAAACGAGCAGCGAGTGCAATGAGTGTCGCCGTCACGTCGTTCGCGTACTTTTTATTCTTCCCGCGCGATGGCGCCACCTGCAGACTGAAAAAAACGCGATTAAATATGAGAGAGCGAGACTTTTGTTTGTTGCATAGGAAAACAATCAAGCCACCGGCATTGCACTTGGATTGTGACCCTCCCCGACCCAACATAAAACCGCTCAAAAAAGACGCTGATTGAAAAAGAAACACCTGGCAACTGGAGTTTTAATCGCCTGCTTCCTTATCCAATGTGCCACTTATCCGTGACTCCGTGCCCGCAGGGCCCCGCCGAGTCGCTGCTGCGCCACTGCACCTGGATGATCGCGCACTGGTCCGACTGGCTGTACCAGGCGCCCGCGCTCGTCATCCTGGCCGTCAACTCCGTGTTCCTCATCGTCATCATGTGGGTGAGTGGACGCCGCCGCGTCGCCGGCCCGCCGCCCCAAGTGGACCGTCATGGCGGGTGGAGCGGCCTCGATCGGGGGGTTAGCGGCCGCCGAACGACACCCCGCGGGACCCGGGCCGGGCGAAGGGGGCCTCCCGAAGACCGGTGCCAGCAAACCCCCGGGGGTTTTAGTCCAGTTGGGGCCAAACCAGACTGACACACACACAACTCTTTAAAAACGGTAGGGGGGGCCAGCGGCGGCGACCAGCCAGCGATCGCAGCCAAAAGCGCGGGATTGGCCCCCCAGGCTTGCCAACCCAGGGGCCCCGGGCCCAAGCCGGACTGACGGGAGTCAGGCCAGCAGGCCCCGCCGGCCAGCCACTTCCGAAGGCCCCGCCAACGAAAGGCCCCGAAGCCAGCCGAGGCGGCTCGCATGCCGCCGCCGCCGCGGCGACGGCAGCGGGCCGCGCTGGGCTCGGGCGAGCCGTCGTCGGCACGCTGGGTCTGTGCCAGAGGCCGGAATCGGGACCCGTTGCCGAACCCCTGTAGCTCGCCTCCGCCGCAGCGACACTTTCGAGAGAGAGGTCCGAGAAAGCCGAACGGTGGATACCGATGCCCCAAGGTTGCCGAGTGAGCCGAAAGCGTCCGCGCCAAAGGGCCCCGTTGGCCAGATCAGCCAAGGCACGGCAGACAGACGGACGCGGGCAGGCGAGCCGCGCTTCGCCGGTGCCGCCGAGTCAAGCCAAAAGCAAGCAGCCACTGAGTGCGTCCGAAGGAGTGTCCGAAACAGAGAGGGCCCCACACAGCCGCTGCTGTGCGACAGAGAACCTTGTCGCTTGGAACGCAAGCCAGGCACAGCCGGCCAGCCGCCTCGGTGCTGGGCGGCCCCCCCCCGTCGGCGGCTCGTCCCCTCGCTCGGCCTAGCCAAAATCCGTCCCCCCTTCCCCCCCTCACCTCCGCGGCCAAGGGCCCGTTGACATGCAGGGCCCGTCGGGCGGGGACGGGTAGGGCCAAAGCTAGCTCGGGCGACCCGAGCCGAATTTCGCCCGCCCCGCCGAGCGGGGCAGGCGGAGGGGCCCAAACGAGACCCGATTCCGGCCTCTGGTCTGGCACCCGTGGTGGGTAGCGCGTTACCCGGCCACCTCAACAGGGTGGGTCTGGGTCTGGGTATGGGCCGGCTGTGGCCGGGTGAGCAAGTCAAAGAGTGCCAGGCCGGCCGGGTAGCGCTCGGCCGCCTTACCCACCCGATCGCAGGCTCTGATGGCGGTGTGGATGGCGGCCTCGATGGTGGCCTCGATGGCGCTGCAGGGGAATTAGCGGGCCGCCGGGGGGAGAACGACGACCGGGGGCCGCGAGGGACCAAGGGCCGGGCGAAGGGCCGCACAGTGGGCCAGAAGACCGGTGGAGGCGGTCAAAATCCCCGACGGGGTTTGAGCTCCAGAATTGTTCAGTGGGACTCAAACCAGACGTGTGATCCCACCAATGGGTTTCTCTTCGAAAGAGGAATCCATTGGTGGGGTCACACGCTCGGTTCGAGTCCTGCCTAGCGACTCTGCAGCTCAAAACGCGTCTGGGAGTTTTGGCCGCCTCCACCGGTCTTCTGGCCCACTGTGGGCCGGGAGGGCCGGGCCAAGGGCCGGCACGGTGACAGGGAGAAGGCCCAGCCAAGGCCCAGCCAAGGCCCAGCCAAGGCCCAGCCAAGGCCCAGCCAAGGCCCAGCCAAGGCCCAGCCAAGGCCCAGCCAAGGCCCAGCCAAGGCCCAGCCAAGGCCCAGCCAAGGCCAGCCCAAAGGGCCCCGCCGGCCCAGCCAAGGCCCAGCCAAGGCCCAGCCAAGGCCCAGCCAAGGCCCAGCCAAGGCCCAGCCAAGGCCCAGCCAAGGCCCAGCCAAGGCCCAGCCAAGGCCCAGCCAAGGCCCAGCCAAGGCCCAGCCAAGGCCCAGCCAAGGCCCCCAAGGGACTCAGCCAGGGGAAAGGGCCCAGCCGACCGGCCCAACCACCGGCCCAGCCGGCACCCTGGATTGCCGCGGGCCAGCGGGCCCGCCGGCCCCCGGCCCCGGGCCCCCGGCCCCCAGGCCCACCAAAGGCCACCAACCCGCGGGCCTGCCAGGCCCAGTTCAACCCGTTCGGCCCGCCAAGGCCCGCCTAGGCCTTTTTGAAACCATTCAGGCCCATCGCAAGGGCCGCCCTCGGGCCAAGGCCCAGAAGGCCCCGCTTAACCCAGCCCAGAGCCGCCCGCAAGGTCATTTCAAGGCCCCAAGCCAGCCAAAGCCGCCGGCCCAGCCAGGCCCGTTTTTGGCCACCAAGGCCCACCAAGGCCAGCCCAAAGGGCCATTCAAAGCCCATTCAAGGCCCAGCCAACCCATTCCAGGCCCAGCCAAGTCCAGCCAAGGCCCATTCCATGGCTGCGCCAACCACCAAAGCCCAGCCCAAGGAGCCGATGGCCACGCCAAGGAGCGCTGGAGGGGACTTCCCCCAAAACCCCTCCACACTTGTTGATTGCCTTGCGGTGTAGCGCCCGCGGCCCCTCGGCATGGTGCCCCTCGGCCCCTCGGGGACCAGGGACCGCTTCTTTCGCGTCTTGTCCTTGTTTGTTTTCATCGTTTTCGGCCGTTAGGACGCTTTCTGGCCTTTTTTTATAAATTCATTCATTCCATCGCAGCTTTTTTGCATGGGGCGAATCCATCATTGATATGCATCTTATTTTATTCATGCTGATCTCGCTTCCGGTGTTGTTTATTTTCAATCGTTTTGCTCCCTATAGTATTGCCATTCTTTCGTCGGACAGCCTGCGCGTTTTTGGTCACTCTTTCCCTCACCGATATGTGCCATGCATTTAGATTCATTCATTCATTCATTCATTCATTCATTCATTCATTCATTCATTCATTCATTCATTCATTCATTCATTCATTCATTCATTCATTGGCTGCGTTTACACCACCACCCCATGACTCCAGGGATGCCTTTGATGCACGTCTAACTGGAGCGCTGGAGGTGACACCCCCACCCCCTTTTACACACACACGCACACACACATTGACACGGCGTGCTGCCATCCAACATTGTTTATCTCACGCCCCTAATCGAGCCCCCATCGCGCTGCCCGTGTTTAGGGTGGCGTGGCGTTGCGTGGCGCGGACCGCGGCGTGGAGTGGTGGCAAGCGGCGAGCCCTGGCCGAGCCTGGCCGTTGCATGGCGGCCCGCGGACCGCCGCCACCACCGCGCGGCCAGTGAATGGATCATGAACCACCGCGTGGCGCCGCGCCACGCCACGCCACGCCGCGCCACGCCACGCCGCGCCGCCGCGCCACGCCGCGCCACGCCGTCAGCCGAGCCGTTCTGCTGTTCCATCAAGTAATTGATGACGTTGGCCCTGGGGCTGACGCAGGCTGGGCAGGCTGGGCTACGCGAGATCCCCATGGCGGCCTGCCGCCCTCCCTGCCAGCCTCAAGCTCGTCGTTAATCCAAATGACGGTCAAAATCGGGCCTCTTTTTCTTCCCCGCCCTTTTGTTTTGCCGTTCGAACGTTATGGGCGGTGCGCGCGCGCGGTGCGGCGCGGTGCGCTGGGGGGGGGGGCCTTCCTCGGGGCAGGGGAAGGGAGCTCCCCGAACACCGGAACAGAGCCACCGTGCCGCCGCGCCGCCGTCGACCCGATTGGCCCGAGACTGGAATCTCAACGGGTGCATTCCGGAAGGCGTTAATGGAGGAGGTGGCGCCCGGGGCCCGGGGCTGCCTCCGCCGCCGCGCCACGCCGCGCTCCGGTAGGCAACATTTTTAATAAAACCGGCTACGCGCTACGCCACTGCCACTGCCGCTCGGCGCTCATGCATATTTCATCGGCCGGAGAGAGAGAGAGAGAGAGAGAGAGGGGGGGGGGGTGAGCAGATGAGCCGCGTGACGTGGGCATGCCGTCGGCACTGCTGATAACTGCCAACCGCGCATCACGAGGCCAAGGCGGCAGCGGCGCGCATCGCGCATCGCGCCGCAGGGAATCGCAGCTAGAGCGAATCAGCGGTCCCGTTGCCGGCACTGCTTTCCTTGCTCTGCCTCTCTCGCACTCAGTCATCGCCCCGTGTGAGTGCGAGAGAGACAGCGCCACTTGTGCACGTTTAACACCTTCGCGCCGGTGCGAGAACATGGTTCTCGCACGCTGAAAGCCCAAACGCCGATACGAGAACATGGTTCTCGTATAGGAGATTTTTGGCGCATGGTGTTTAGGTGGTCATACCAAGTCCGAATATCCATGTGCCATGTGGTTGCGACGTAAGGTTCGGAAGTTAGCACCTTCGGCATCTAGGCTTTTCCACCAAACTTGGCTTCGGCGCGAAGGTGTTAACGAACGGCCCATCCTTCTCGCCTAACCGCGCCCTTCCGTCCCACGTGTGCTTCCCCCCCCTCTCTCTCTCCTCTCTTCTCTCTCCTCTCTCGCCCCCCCTCTCTCTCTCTCTCTCTCCTCTCCTCTCCCTCTCTTCTCTCTCTCCTCTCCCTCTGCTCTCTCCATCTCGGGCCTCGGGGCTCTGCTCTCCTCTCTCGTCTCTCCTCTCTCTCTCGCTCTCTCTCTCCCTCCTCCTCTCTCTCCTCTCTCTCTCTCTCTCCCTCTCTCTCTCTCTCCTCCTCTCTCTCTCTCTCTCTCTCTCTCTCTCTCTCTCTCTCTCTCTCTCGAGGGGACCACTGATAGTTGACCGTGTGCAGCTCCTGCTTTCTAAAGCTTTTTAACTAGTTTCTTGCTAGTTTTTGGGACCCACCCAAAGTGAATTAGTGAATGTTTCCATCAATCATCAAGATGTGATAAGAATTTTTACTCCCCCTTTCGTCTGGAGACGAAAAATCTCCATTCACTACTGGACCACGCCGGGCCCCCGCCTGGCATAACCTCAACATCACCATGAGTTTCGCTCAAGTTGCTGCATCCTCACCAAACCACTACGGATACTCCGAAGAATTCATCGATCCAGAAGAAAACCACCACCCCCGAAGCCAAAACATCGATCAAGATCACCAAAACATCGAAAACGGCAGTGTCAACAATCCACCTACGAATGGCATTCCCTCTGAGAATGTAAACAACAACAGAACCACTCCGAATTCTTACTCACCTTCAAAAATTCGCCATCATTCTAGAAAACACTGACAATGTACTTCAAGACCAATGCCTTCGTGCAGTAGCAGACGTAATCTCAGGTAAAACATCCATTATGCCACAAGACTTAGCGGAGGAAGAGTCTGCATGTACCTCACTGATGAAACGTACGTAAACAAAATGTGCACAGAAGGGGGAGTAACCATTGGAAACGTATACATTCCAATCAGGAAGTATGTCACTGAAGCCAAAAGTTTGTCATTTCAAACTGTCCTCCAGAGATGGGAGACGATGAACTGAAGCAGCTACTACAACCATATGGAAAAATTGTGTCAGCCCCATCTAGACTTCGAGTCTCCACTGCCCATGAAGATCTACGTCACATCAAGTCTTGGCGAAGATCAATCTACATCATCACTTCAAGAGATGGCCCTGAAATGCCGAAGAAAATCCCCATTACAAACAGGATTGATGGAAGTAAGTCAATGCTGTACATTGAAACAGATGAAATTATCTGCAGTTTTTGTCTGGTCCCAGGTCACAATGTGGATAAATGTAAGAAGAAAGAACTTCATGAGAGAGAATTTCCCCTCTTCCAACAACCTGTTGCGGCTCGTTATTCAACCACTCCACCCCCAGGACTACTCAAAAAGAAGAAACATCCCTCGAGGCAGTACCAGCATTCTCAATCAAACCACTTTCATGCCGGTCTACAACAACCAGCAAGTGAGACAGCACACTGTTCAGCCAACTCAAGAAGGCCAGACAGGCCAGCAAGAAACGCCCCCTCAGTTTTGAGCTCAACTCTCAACACTAGCTTCACCCATCCCCAAACAACGTTCTTCAAATCAAGAAAACTCTCAACTTCAACATCAGTCATCGCTTCAAGAAACCAACCGTCACAAATCCTCTGACACAGCTATAGTTGCACCAGAAGAAACTTCAAGCCTCAACGCATCAGGAGACTCAGCTATGTTTTTTGATTTCTCATCTCCAATCTCTATAAGTGCTTCAAATAGAGACAGTCAAGCCAAGAGCCAGAAGAGAGTGCTGGTTTTTCACCTGATAAACAAGAAGTCACAGGAAATAAATTTTCAAAAATGATTCAGTGGAAAACAGCAGTGAAAGTGACATTTCAGATGTGGACTTTGATTCTTGTGACAGTTTAGAAATAAAACTCTCCAAGAAAGACAAGAAAGAGAAGAAGACTATTCAAGATATAATGAAAAAATGGATTTTGATAATCAAATTATAACCCAGCTTCAATTCTCCAGTTTCCTCATAAACTGCAGGGGAAAAGCTAACTCCAAGAAAATTGCTGATCAGTATCACATTGACAAGACTGCTCTGATAGAGCATCTTGATAAAGCTGAACTCCTGTGTAGTGATTTTAACCTGAAGAGAAGAATAGAGCGTGCAACTGCTGCTCTCAAAGTCCCTGACAAGAAGTAGTCTCATTTAAAAATGTTATATTTAAATATTTTTAAAGCATTCTATTTTATAGCATTTTGTTTTCCACTACAAGATTTTTACTTTTTCAAAAATGCTTTCACATGCATTATTTTGTATAATGCTCTCCATTCTTTCACTCAACACCCAGGACTTATAAGCCATCAAAAACAGCTGAGTCTTCAAGAATATTCAAGAACCAACAATAGTGATATCATCCTGCTGCAAGAAACCAACCTTCATCCTGGCACAATTTTGGCCTATCCGAGTAATTTCCATTATCTTCTAAACCCACCAGTACAGCCAGCATCAGGTGTGGCAATCGCAATCAAAAATGAATTTTACGAAAAAATAGTAATACTGTCACATCAAAATCCAGTGCCCGGCTATCTACAAACACTTAATTTTAAAATCAGTGATCAAGAGTACCATCTAATAATGTTTACATGCCTCATGATAATAATCTAGCCTCAACTGTCATCAAGCAAATTCATCTGTACATAGAGAAGCAAAATGAAGAATCAAAATTTTTTTAGCTGGGGACTGGAATGTCACCCTAAAAGAAGAAGACAGAAGAAACTGCATTGAAAAAAGAACAGAACTTGCTCGTGAACTTCAAGTTTTACTCCAGCAACACAACATGTCAGACATCTGGAGAGATTTTAATCCAAGAAAATCACAGTTCACTTATAGAGGTCTTCACCATAATCACCCCATGTCAAGACTAGATAGAGTGTACACTAGGAAGAGAGATCTCAACCTAGTCATCAACACTAAAATTATACCATCTTTCTCGGACCACTCCAGTGTCCATGTAAATCTCAACGCCAACCAGCAGAAGTATCATCCACCTTATTGGAAATTGGACACGGATCTTCTCAAATCTCAAGAATATAGAGAAATAGTGTGCAATATTCTTTCCCACTTTGAAGAAAAATCTCTTGAAGAAAATCAAAATATTGCAATCTTGTGGGATGACCTGAAGCAAGAAATAAAGTTAGCATCTCAGCGATTCATGAAGAAACTAAAAGAAAAGAAGCAAGAAAAACTTTCTATACTCCATGCTCAAATAAATTACATTGAATCCAAACACAAACTATCAAGACATGATGAAGAAATGCTTATAGAGTGCCAGAGAGAAGTCTCAGATGCTTACCAACAGACAAGTTCAGAAAAGCTGAAAAACCTGAAAACTAGTTTCTGCAAAGAAGCCAACACACAGTCCAAGTTCTTCCTCAGAATGGCTAAACAAGGAAGCCTTCTGCCGCCATAGATCAACTGGAAATAAATGGAAAAATTACTTGTGACAAAAAAGAAATTTCTCTTTTGTACAAAATGCATACAAGTCATCCTCAGCAGCAAAAATACCAGCACCATTGACCCAGCCAACCCCATCTACCAAAACTTACCAAGACTCTCTCAGGCGGAGCAAGAATTTTGCGACCAGCCCATCACAGAAGAAGAAATAAAAACATCCATAAATGAAGCGAAGCTCAACAAAGCCCCTGGAATGGATGGACTTCCCATTGAGTTTTATAAATTTTTCTGGGAACAAATCAAAAACATCTTTCTCAAGGTTATCCAGAATTTTCAACAAACCGGAGAACTTCCAAAATCAATGAAGAAAATTGTAATTGCACCAATACCCAAGAAAGGTGACAGGATGAAACTCAAGAACTGGCCCATTGCACTCATCAATGTGGACTACAAAATTGTATCTAGAACATACAGCAAGAGGATTTCAAGTGTGGTGACAACCTTACTGTCATCTGACCAAAGCTATTGTGTACCAAAGAGAACAATTTATGATAACCTTCATCTCATCCGCAATGTCATCAAGCACTCCAACAACTCTAACTCACCACTGGCAGTTCTCAGCCTGGACCAGACGGAAGCCTTCAATAAAATCTCTCACCAATATTTACATCATTTGCTGAAGTTGCATGGATTTGGACCTAAATTCTGCAATGCAATAATATCACTTCTAAGTGGCACTCAAGGATACATCAAGATAACCTCGACTCTTCTTGCCCCTTTCTTTTTTGAAACTGGAGTCCGACAAGGCGACCCACTGGCAGGCCTCTGTACAATAAATCAATCGAGCCCTTTCTTCGTTACTTGTACAGCCTAGTGCACTTCAGAGGTTACCAAATCCCCAACTCCATTTTATCTGTAAAAGGCACTGCCTTTGCGGATGACATCAACTTATTCATCACTTCAGATCAAGACTTCAAAACAATAGCAGAAGCTTTTCAAATCTACAGCCAACATCAGGAGGACAACTTAACAACACAAAATCCTCCGTTCTCTTCTGTGGAAGCTGGAAAACAAGAACGTCGTCCCCATTTGAATCGCAATGCAACAATGAAGGGAAAAATTTCTGGGAGTATATTTTGGAAATGAAAAAAACTATGAAGAAAGAAATTGGAACATGCTCACAACCAAAGTCAAAGGAACTCTAAAAAAGTGGTCCCAGTTTGTCCAACTCACTTCCTACCAGGGAAGGAAAATAATATGCAACCAACTTGTTGGATCACTTCTAATCCATGTTCTAAATGTATTGCACCCACCCACAGCATTTGTTGAAGAAACACAGAAAGCAATGGTTGACTTTGTGTGGCAGGGAAAACACTGGCTCCACCCAAACTATCTCTACTCTCCTCTTGAAAAAGGCGGTCAAGACCTCATCAACATCAGTGCCAAGATTAATTCTCTCCGCCTCAACCTGGCCAGCAAGATTCAAGAAAATTTTTCCGCCCAAAATGCATCTTCTCTCTTTCACCGTTACAACCTCTCACTTTATGGAGGATTGTCTCCCATACATTTCTTCAGTCATGAAAAAGATGAAACTTATTTTGTCAATCTCAATTATTTTTATCAAAGCTTACTGAATGCATGGCTCAACATTAATCCAACCAATTTTCTACAAAATTATCCATGGAAACAATCAGAGAAATGCCTTTAAGTGGAAGCAAATTTATAGACGGACAGAAACTCAGGATAATTCCAGAATGGAAAAAAGCTGGATTCAAGAAGATGCAACAACTCCTTGAAGAAAATGACAACTGGAAAAATCTAAACTTCCAAAATTTATCCTTGTCACTCCAAAGAAGACTCTCCATCAATTACCAGCAAATCAAACCTACATCAACAGCAAGAAAAAAGGAAGTCAAGAAGAAAACTCAGATTTTGAAGAACAGAGATTTCAATTCACCGTTCAAGACCAAGCCAACCCAAAGATTTTCCCCGCTGGAAAGAAAATTTTGTACCAAGCATGTCTTCAGCCGCTGATAACAAAACCTGAAGTAATGGAATGTCACAGTGGTATAGGAAGAATTTCAACTGGTCCTCCATCTACCACTCTCCAATTGAAAGAAAAGATTCTGACATTTCCTGGAGACTTCTTCACAATGCCCTAGTCACCCCGAAGAAATTCAACGCATGGCATATCATAGATCTCCCCATTGTCCTTGGTGCCCGGAAGAAGAAGGAAACATCATTCACATGATTTTCAAATGCAAGACAACAAAGCCGCTTTGGTCTTTCACCTCAGAAAAAATTCTCCAAATCACCCAAAGCACCAGCCCACTCAACCTTCAACAAGCACTAATTGGCTTCTCCCCAATCACTCCTGCTACAAGACTTGCCAACATTCTTCTCTCTCTAGCCAAGAGCACCATCTATAGATCATACCAGAAAAGAATTAAAGAACCATCTCCCCCACCTCCAAACTATCTCATCATCTTTCAAAGAAGATTAAAATTTAGACTTCTACTTGAAGAGTACCATGCATCAATAAATAAAACTGAAGAAAATTTCATAGAAACATTTCTGATAAATGGTGCCCTGCTCGCCATTTAGATCTGCCAGAACTTCAACAAGAAAATGAAAAAGAAAAACTTCAACAAGAAAATGAAAAAGAAAAACTTCAACAAAAAAAAAAAAAAAAAAAAAAAAAACCTTCTTTGCTAACTGTTTAAAAATAAAAATTCGAACAAATTGTAAAACACTGCACTTCATCACTTTTCAAAAACACCTCAAGAAACATTTAAACGGCATGCTTTTATAACATTTTTGACTCTTTCCCCCCCCGGCCCTTATTGTAAACAAAAATCCCCCCAATAAACAATTGTAAAAACTAAAAACTAAACTCTCTCTCTCTCTCTCTCTCTCTCTCTCTCTCTCTGTCCCCGTTTCTCTCCGTCTCGCGAGGCACTCTTTGGAGCCGCCCCGAGCCCACTCACTTTTCGCGCCACCTTTGATAGAACAGGGCAGCAGGGCGCAAGAAAATTTTTAATGGGGGAAGTTGGATTGTCTCTCTGTTTGCCAGTCCTTCCTCGTCGGAGGAGGACAGATCGGCCGGCAACAGCGCGGGCCGGGGCGTGCCGGGGCTGGAGTGGGAAACTCGGAGGGGCACTCCATGCCCCAGTGCCCCCATGCGGCCGGCAGCGCTGCTGGCCCTGCTGCCCTGCCGGCCCTGCCGGCCCCGGGGGGACGGGACTCGTTAGCGTGGGCAAACGGCCGCCGATGAAATGGCACTTTTATATGTACTTGACGCTTTCTTCACGAGGGGAAAGCTTTCGGCCTGCCTGCCCGGCCGTCCGATTGGCTGGTTTGGTTTCGCACGGTGGCCACCACAAGCAGCCCCCGTTATGAGACTGGGACTCAAATATCAATCCGGTGTCTGTTGTGCGATTGGGGATTCAAGAGAGAGTGTCCTGCTGCAGGTGCTCATCACCAAGCTGCGGTCCGCCACGTCGTTGGAGACGCAGCAGTCCCGGAAGGCCACCAAGGCCCTGCTGGTGCTGATCCCGCTGCTCGGCATGACGTACGTGCTCACCATGGCCGCGCCGCCCGACGACGCCACCGGCGCGGCCGTCTACTCCACGGCCAGGGCGTGCCTGCTGTCCACCCAGGTAAGCAACCGCCCGCCGAGTGTGCTGCGTGCAGTGTACTCCACGTGGAGAGCCCATCCCCGCAGTGACGGGCAGGGTGTTGTTTAACACACTCCGGGGGCTTGCTCTCGCTTGCCTCGCTTGCCTCGCACCCTTCCCGACGCATTTTCCCCTCGGCCGGGCTCCGCTCCGCCCCCCACCCCTGCCCGCCAGCCCCGCCAGCCCCGCGATCTCTGCCCCCCATCGGCCCAGTCGAGTTTGATGGTGCGGAATTTTATGGCAGGCCCCGCGGACCCGGCTCGTGCCCGTGCTGCCCGTGCTCGTGCTGCAACACTCTTGCGCCGCGCGCCGCCAGGGCTCGGGACTCGGGGCGAATGAGTGAATATCGAGGGGTTTGCGCGGAAGCTGCGGGGCTCCAGATTGGGAGCTGAAAATGTAGACAGCTATCGCTGTCCTCGAGGGAAGTCGACATTCGTGCGCAAGTTGAGCTCCGCATCGCGTCGCTGGACGCTGGGACTTGAGGCCCTGGCTGGACGGTCCCTGCGATACAGAAGGGCCCGGTTCCTGGGCCCTGGGCGCCGCGCTCGCCGTAGTTCATTTGTACGCCAGTCCCTCTCCCCCCTCCCCCCAGCCTCCGCCCGTTGCCCTCCGTTCAAACAACGGCCATGCAGCCCGGGGCTGGCTGGCTGGCTGGCTGCTGGCTGGGAGGCAGGCAGGCTGGCAGGGCTGGCAGCGCGCACGCCCGTCAGTTCGGCAGTAGTTGGGTGAGCCAAACTTTATCTTTATCTTTATCTTATACGTTAACTGGGCGAAGCCCTCCATTCAGCCCACAGCCCAGAGCCCAGTGGAGATGCCGGGACTTGGCGGGACCCAGCCGGTTGTCAAGTTTACTTTCGATCTTTAGGCGTGTTAAAACCACGAAAGTAGCATAAAATGTATATGCATGGAAAGGGGAAAGTTCAAAGATTACATTGACGCTAATTTGGACGAAAATAAACTCTTAATGTGAAAATGAGAAGACGACGGGCGTGAAATGGCGAAGGCGAGAGAAGGCGAAAACGATCGTCGGGCCGTCGTTTACTCGCATCTTTGAGCATGTTAGAACGCCGAAAGTGGCACAAATTGTATATTAATGGAAAGAGGAAGGTTCAAAGATTACATTGACGCTAATTTTGACGAAAATAAACTCTTTATGTGAAAATGAGGAGACGACGGAGCGTGAAATGGCGAAGGCGAGAGAAGGCGAAAACGATCGTCGGGCCGTCGTTTACTCGCATCTTTGAGCATGTTAGAACGCCGAAAGTGGCACAAATTGTATATTTATGGAAAGAGGAAGGTTCAAAGATTACATTGACGCTAATTTTGACGAAAATAAACTCTTTATGTGAAAATGAGGAGACGACGGAGCGTGAAATGGCGAAGGCGAGAGAAGGCGAAAACGATCGTCGGGCCGTCGTTTACTCGCATCTTTGAGCATGTTAGAACGCCGAAAGTGGCACAAATTGTATATTTATGGAAAGAGGAAGGTTCAAAGATTACATTGACGCTAATTTCCGTGAAATTGAACTCATTACGTGAAAATGAGAAGACGACGGGCGTGAAATGGCGAAGGCGAGAGCGCACTAGCTGAACTGTGAATAGCATGATCCTGCCAATAGTGAAGCGCAGAGTCGTTCGAGCAGAAAGCAGAATTCAAGAAAATAATAACATTCTTTCAGATAACTTGACACTTTAACTGTACTTATGATTGTTCGTTCACCATAATTGTAACGTGGAATCGAAGGAAATGAGTACATGAAACCTGCATTCTATTGACACATCTCACCGTTCATAATCTTAATCTTAATAATGGAATAATATTTTACCAAATTTGATTGGTTATGCATTCAAAGTAGTTTCTGTAAAACGATTGAAATTTATTATCATACACATTATCAAACATCTAACACTGGCACATGTATCACAGTGTCTTGTGTTTTTCTTGTAGACTAATATTCATTTCACAAAAGTTTATGATGCCAAGCGATAGATCAAACGAAATTAAAGACCTTATTCTGCGGTCATTCAAAAATATAAAAAGAGACAAGGAGAATCTTCAGGGGAATATATGGCCCTTGCCATTTTCTCTTGTCGGTGGATGTAAATTGTGAGCGCTTAAAGGCGTTCTGTGGGCAAAGGCGTTCTGTTGGGGTAGGCGTTCTGCCTGCCTAGGGGGATGTTATGTGTTAGGTGGCCTTTGCCACTTGTTCTTAAAATTACACATAAACTGTTGGTGCGCAGTTGTGTGGGTTGCACAAAGGCAACTAGAAAAAGAACAAACAGCTACAATCTATCTGATAGAGAACTTGATACCTTTGCAACCAATGACGTTCCTTAGCTTTTATTTGTAATGTGAAACTGACGGAAACATTGTCATTACATCTGTTAAGGTTATTGTAAAGTGAAAAAAGTGACTATTTAATATTTTTTATTTACTTGTGTCAAATGTCTTAATTTATGGATAAAAGTTCCTTTTTATTGCATAAACTCATACACTAAGAGCAGGGCCCCACTTCATTTTAGTTTCCGAGTTATGGATGTTTACGGTAACTTTCAGTCGTTTCTCTCAAATTCTCCTCACGACAAAGGATTAGCTACCCAGTCCCCAGATTCAAGCAATTGTATTCTTCTTTGCCTAGGGAAAAGATAGCGTTGCCCTTTTTTCAATATGTCACTTAGTTTTCTTCAAAATTCCAAGACCAAAATAAGACAAAATCTCTCAAATTTGAATAAAGATAAAAATGGGCCTGGTGAAATAGCTTTTACAGCCTCTTCCAGACTGATATTTTCAAATTTGCCCACGCCATCTTTTTCCAGTGCAATAATAGATATACTTGTCCGAATCTGAAGACTGGGTAGCAAATCATTTGTCATGAGGAGAATTTGGGAGAAACGACTAAAAGTTAACGTAAACATCCATAACTCAGAAACTAATAGGAGTTGGGGCTCCCAACTTCAGAAATAAATTCACCTAGTAGTGGTTGAATTTTGACCACAAAATGAACTTTCTGTGACAAATACTTTTAGGACATTCTAGTTTCACTTGACAGCCTCCTTAATCTAGAGATGTTAGGTGGCCTTTGCAGTACAAGGTCATAAATTAAATAAATGTACACAGCTAAAATCCTAGCGGCACGGGGTATCGCCGCACGCTTCACGAGGCACGATGGGTTGCCTACCCACTGGGCTGATTCCTGTTCCAGCCGAGCCCACCTAGCGTCAAAGACATCAATGATCGTCACAGACCCACTTTCCGGAACACAATAGAATTTTTTTCAACCTGGATACGGTGCGACGTCATAGTAAAATTGACAGCACTGTTAAATTAATCCAGAAACATCCTTAATAAATTAAACAAATGCTTAAAAATTGTCACTTTCTTAGCGACATAGAGGAAAATTTGAAAAATAAATTACAAATATGTAAACGTAGGAGCCCTTAGGCTCAGCCTGAAGCGGTAGCTTTTCCTAGTTATCGCACATGGCGAACTAGACGGCAGTGCGACTCGTATCGCAAACAAAGTCGGCCCGGGATGTGGAAAGGGGGGTGGGGGAGATTCCGGGCGAAGATCCGCGTGGCACAAGTTGCACCGTCCGGGCCGTGGCGCACAGTGGGCCAGAAGCCGGTGGAGGCGGCCAAAACTCCAGACGCCTTTTGAGCTCCAGAGTCGCTAAATGGGACTCGAACCGAACGTGTGACCCCACCAATGGATTGCTCTCCGAACGAGGAATCGATTGGTGGGGTCACACGTTCGGTTCGAGTCCCATTTAGCGACCCTGGAGCTCAAAACGCGTCTAGAGTTTTGGCCGCCTCCACCGGCTTCTGGAGAGTCCCGTGGCGGACGTGAGCGCTGCCGGCCGCCGGGCGGGGCCGCTCCCGTATATGTGTCGTTTGAGGTGGTATAAAGTCGGTCCCGGCGGCTGATTTCGGTACCATCCGACGCGTGTCGTAGCAGTGATTGTGTGTGCGTGTTCGTGTGCCGATCGGTGGTGTTTTGTGGCCGTTGTGGGCATTTTTCGTCCCGCCACGTGCTTCCTTTGTTCGCTGCGGGTCTGCGCGTGCGATAAGCACGTTGTGACGCGCCTGCGTGCCCCGCGGAGTGAGGTTATCACATTCACGACCGGACTCGTTTTGAGCAAACTTCCACTCAGGACCGGAGTCTGCTTTGACCAAACTATGCATCTCCCAGACCTCGCGACTAGATATAAGCACGAATCATGCAATAACAAAACCAATCAGCCGAAAAAAAAAATTCCGGGAACCCCGCGCCCGGACGGTCGCGAGGGCCATGCCCATTCACGGGTACAGGGTTCCCGTGTGGACGCCAACGACATTAGATGCGGGAACGCAGTACGGAAACACGGTTCCCGATCAAAATGAGTACCAAAATCATTTTATTTTTCAAAAATAAGGAAGAAAACGCAAGAAGTCTCAGTTTGAAGCTTGTATGGCCGTTTTTGAGTCCGGGAACCGTGTACCCGGACGGTCGTCAGAGACATGTCCAGTCCGGGAACACCGTTCCCGTACGTAAAAGCAGCCCAGCAAACTAAATGAGGGTATTTTTGGAATCAGCGGAGCGAGCCCAGGCCATTCGCACACTTTTCGACCTGTTTTGAGATGTTACAACCAACCCGATTTCCACGCGGCCTTCTTGACATGCAGCAGAATCGGGCCGTGTCAAAATCGAGTTGGTTGTAACAGCTCAAACCAAGTCGAAAAGTGTGCAAATGGCCTGGGCTCGATCCGCTGATTCCGAAAATACCCTCATTTAGCTTGCTGGGCCGCTTTTACGTACGGGAACGGTGTTCCCGGACTGGACATGTCTCTGACGACCGTCCGGGAATCATGTACCCGTACCAAATTCATCGTACGAGGTCCGTTCAAAAAGTAGCTTGCGTCTTTCGTTGAGGCGGTTCCAAAAAAATATGTCTCATGATCGTGACAATTCTGTGAGGCGAAATCGGAAAATCGGATTTGTCCGGGAACGGTGTTCCCGGATGGTCGTCTGGACTTTTTCCCGTACGGGTACGCGTGTTCCCGGACGGTCGTGAATGTGTTATGCGGCCCTCGGCCCTCGGTCTGCCCGCGTCACGATGGACCCTGGGGCCCCGCAGCTCCTTCCTTGGTGTCATCGCCGTGGATCCTCCTACAGCCCCCGCTTCTCCTGCACCGACATTCGGCGGAATTCCAGGTGACTCTGCGTCGTCCGGTGGGGCCTGCGGGCCGAGGGGCTAGGGGGGTCTAGTGGGGCCGGGTGCTCCCCGCCCGTTGTCTGCAGGTGCAGGGCCTTGCTTTGGCCGCTGCTGTTGTGTTTGCCTTGTCTAGTTTTAGTCAAACTGCTCCAGGAAATGGGACGCGCGGCGTGGTAAGACGGGCTGGTGTTGCCTGGGCTGGGTGACGCGGTGGTGGCTCGTCAAAGGGCCTCCCCCTGTCCTCTGGCTTTGGCCGGCCGCCCGGCCTTGCCCTGCTGGCGCGCCATAGGCCGGACAGTTTTCACCCATTTTTTCCAGCTTTTCCTTTTCAGGTTTTTTACAGCATTCTCTTGCAGCCTCGTCGATTTGTTATCAGCGCATTTTGCCGTCAACCGTCACGATCTTTCAAGGCTTCCCTTCGTCTGGTTTTTCTAATTCCCAGCCAGAAGCATTCGTCTCGTCCTTGGTTCGCGGCCCGGTAGCGTCGCGACGCGGCTGTGATACGCGGCTCTGCTGAGACAGCGGCCGGATGGAGGCGTCGGATTGGCGGGCCCGCGTGGTCCTTTGGTTCCAGTCGGTGTCGTCGCGGCGCAACTGCGATAAGCGGTACTGCTGAGGCAGCGGCCAGGCGGGATCCGCGGCGAGGCGCGCGGACGGCCGGACGGACTGTGGCCGCGCTGCGAGACTGACGTCACACGGCCCTTTGCTGCTTTTATTTTGCCGACATCGCCGCGCTACTGTTTCAAGTGAAGTCGCCGCCGCTGGGGAACAACTAAAAACGCAACAGCAAACCAATTGCTAGGAATGACGGAAGCTTGTCATCGGACCGTTTGGCAGCAGGGACGCCCTCGTACATTGCTCCAATTTCCGCGGTACTGCCTCCAATGCGGGGACACAGGACCTTTACCACGCACCTGATGCGTTTGCGTCGGCTTGCCTCGCATGCCATGCGCTCCGTACGTCCGCTCCCACGCGGATGCAGGAGAGGAGCAAAGGGTTTTTCGCCTCCGTCACGGCACCGATAGTCGCCAGAACAATAGGCACAGGCCACATTTTGCCCCTGTACACAGGCACCAACCTCCTCTGCTCCACCCAAAGGCCGCCTCTGGATCCGCCACTGTCCACCATCGTCCAGGCCGTCACCCTACGCATCATTCTGCCACTCCGCGCAGGAGGTTAACTGCTCTGCGTGGACTTCCAGAAGCTGCGACAGTGAGCACTGCTCCGCCCTGTAGGCCTCCATGCAGGCCGTTGGAGTCCCGGAGTAGTCCACCGATTTGATCTAGCTGTCTCAGGGTGCTCCGTTCTGCACCGTGCGAGACTGAAAAGGAGTTCACTATCTGCGCTGCGGGACCCACCCTATCTCCGTTTCGGGCTGCTCACGAACTTCCAGGAGGCCCTCTCCACTGGTTGTACTTGTCCGAGACGCGTATGCGCGCTGCGGTGCGGCTTTCCCAGACGTCGTTGTGGTGTGTCTGCAGTACCCCATCGCCCTCCATGGCACCTTCGTCGGCGCGGGTACCGTCGCGTTCCGGAGTGGTCCCTCTTTCAGGCTCTTGGCTGTGTGGCAGTGCCGGTTCGGAGCTCCCTGGCGTGCTGCAGATGTTTCAGATCCCCTGCGGACCCGACCGGGGACAATCAAGCCTCCACTGCTCTTCTCCTCTACCGTGTCTCTGCCGCCATCCGCGAAGCGTCCCGTGATCGGCCGTGCACTCACCTCCTGGGCCAACGTCAACGGGACGCGGAGTCGTGCGGGGCCGCCGGCTGGAGGGATACTTCCTCTGAAAGAGACTCGTGGACAACGGCGCCGCTTCATCAGCTTCAGCAGCCCCGCCTCAGTGCAGTTCGTCGCATCTGCGGCGCAGTCCCGCAATGAAGAGGTTCGACAACTACGTGAGGAGCAGGACTGGCGCCATGCTACACCGCAATGCATCCTCCACTGTCTCCACAACACTCAAGGGTCCAAAGGCAACGAACCTCACTTTCCTCAACCTGGGATGGGTCATACTTCCACGGAGGTTGCCCCATACCCCCCCAGTAGAGGGTGGCTGCCTCAGACAAGACACAGCCTGCATTTGAGGTTTGCAGTCTGAGTTCTGTGTTTGTTGTAGTTGCTTACTCGAACGCTAAAGGTCTGCTGAGGCCTAACAGCGCCGATGACGATGACCGGCTTCTGGCCCACTGTGTGGCGGCGGCGAACCCAACTCGGCCCGCGAGGGCAACAGCCCGGCAGGGTAGGCTGGCCCGCCGGACGCGCAGGCGTGGCGGCACAGCCTACCCTCCGATTGACAGGCGCTTCGGCCAGCCTGCCTGCACCTTGACTTGACCGCCTCACCGCCTGTCCGTCTGTCCGCAGGGCTTGAGCGTGGCCCTGCTGTACTGCTTCCTGAACGCCGAGGTGCGGCGCGCCCTGCACCACCGCTGGCACCGCTACAGGGAGTCCCGCGACCTGGCGGCCAGGCCGTGCCCCGCCTGCGCCAAGGACTGGTCGCCGCGGTCGCGCACCGAGAGCATACGGTGAGTACGGGTCTGTCTCTCTCGCACCCACAGGCCTGGGGTGAGTGCGAGGGAGACAAGACGTGCGCGGTGCGGCGCGGCGTTGGCGTGGCGTTCGTCACCGCCCCATCCGCGGTGCGCGCACTGCGGATTTGTAGCCGTGGAAATTGCCTCGAGGCGGCCGAACAGGCTGCGGGGGAGGCGGGGGCTGTTTTATGTCTCAATGCACAGGGCCGTGCCGGGCCGGGCCCTTTCAGGGTGCGAACGAACGGCCAGGGCGCCAGGGCCACAAAGCCGGCCCAGGCCCTTCAACGCGCTTCGCAGCGCCACGCAGCGCCACACCGCTGTTGCGTCTCGTTCCCACGCCAATCCAGCACACTGGTGCGGTCGCTCTGTCTCCCTCGCAGTCCTGCGCGACGCCGTATGAGCGAGAGAGACAGAGCCACGACGGCGCCGTTCGGAATCACTGTGCAGTGCCGCGAGCTGTGGCTGTGGGCATGCACCCTCCATTAGCTCTCAGAGCCGGCCTCTCCGCTGCCGCGCTGCCAAGGCTGTGGGGGATGAATTTTAGATGCGCCGCGCCGCTCCGCGCCAGGCAGCTCGATTCCGACCGGTGCCCTCGTCGCTCTGTCTCTCTCGCACCCCTACGGGACGCCCCATGAGTGCGAGAGAGAAGACGGCGCCATGGTTGTGCAGAGCTTGTGCTGGCAGCCGAGCCACTGCCGTGTTCGGCTGGTGCGTAGTGCGTGTGTGAGATACGTGGGGCGTGGCGGCGTGGCGGCGCCTAGAGAGGGGGGGGGGGGGCAGCGAGCCCGGGGCCCCGGGCACGCCCAGGGGGTGCATGCCGTGCAGACGCCGTCACGATCGGAAAGGACGCGCCGGGACCGCGTCGGGAATACGAGTCGGGAAAGGAAGCGTGCACTCCGCCGTTTCTGTGGCTGCCCAGGGCGGCAGAGTGCCTGGAGCTGGAGCCTGAGCTGGAGCGCGCTGAGCCATGCCAGGCAGCCAGGCGGGCTAGGGCCGCAAGATGAAAATCATGAGCCACTCCACTCCTCTCCAGGTCTGGCCGGGTCTGGCGCTCTGCCTGGGAGATGAGCCCTCTGTTTGCTGAGCCCCTCTGCGCGGGGCGACGCGGGGTGGGGTGGGGCGGGCGGGGTCCGGTGTGCAGTGTCAATTCCGTAATGTCCCTCCCGGCCATCTAGGCCTGGCCCGGGTAGGCTCGGCCGCCTGGGGCACTGTCCTGCCAAAGACGCGTGGCCAAGAACTGGCGCTCGATTCCGAATAGTGCCAAATGGCGGTCCGGCCCTTTCCCCCTCCCTTTCCGCGTTCGCCCCGCTCTTCACGCTCCGCGCTGCTCCCTGCTTCCAGGCTGTACTGCCCGCCGGCGACGACGGGCACGGGCGGCAGCGGCAAGCGGGAGTCGACGGCCAGCCAGAACACCACGACCACGCTGCTCGGACACCAGCTGGCGCTCCACCACCAGGCCCACCACAACGCCGTCGAGCACACTGTCTAGGCCGTCGAGGCCCTGGACTCTGGCACGGAGCACGGCCGGCCGCCGAGCCCCACCGCCCACCGCACCTCGGCCAGCCTCCTTGCCCTCTTCCACCGGCCGTCTGTCGGCTGCCCCGGGGTCTTCAGAATAAATTTGAATTGTTTTCGCGGGGGATAGTCCGGAGGAGTTTGAGATAACACACTGGGAGTCGCAAACGCCTACAATAACAGCGCGATGGCCAGTGCACCGGAACGTCGGCGTAGCCAACACAGCCAAGTCGTGCTTGAATCTCTTGCAGAAGAATTTGAGTTCGTTCACTTCGAATGAGGACGTGTTGTCTGTCAAGTGGATCCCGTGGACCGTATGGGCGAGGACTGTGGACCATCCCTGTTGTGGGTTTAGTACAAATCCAGTGAACCCAAAACCACATAAACACTGTGTACCCTGTGTGGACCATGAGTTGAATGGAAGAATCTGTTTGAATGAGTAACTAGTGTGAAAGTTAGTTTTTTACAATAAAATTAAAGCTACAAAAACACGCAAAAAAAAATTTGCTTGCTTTGATAAAGGCATAATATTTTTTGCCCATTTGTTTCACAAAACACAGTTGTTACCTTTCCATTATTTATTTTTGTGCTAATACCTAAAAAACTTGTGTTTATGTTCGTTTTTCTCAATTTGCCTTCTCAAAAAACAACTTTTACTATCAAGATATTTACACCATACTCAGGTAATTGGCGAACAGCAAAACATGTTTTGTGAAACAATCAACAAGGAGACCAGGGGGCTCCGTTTCCCTTATCTCCACACTTTATGATCTCTTTGCAAGAAAGCCAAGTACATCACAAGCAAGCATTGTAATATATAAATAATAATAAATGAAATATTAGAAATTTCAGCACCAAAATACATTGTTTTGTTTCTTTGTAAATATATTTTGTTAAGTGCTCTTCTAGAATAGTTATTAAATAAGTGTAAAAAAATATAAATAAATTCACTGTTTTCCACATTGTTTTGTTTCAATATAATATAAGTTGCTACATACATGTTTCATTTGACCTCTCTTAATTTTTCTTAGGTGTACTACAGAAAGGGCACTTCAAGAGTTTTGAAATTCAAAGAATAAGTTTAAAGGAGAATCTTGTATTTCACTGCTTTTGGCACCTTATTTATCACTAATCGTCCATCGTAGCTTAATGAGGCAAAGGTCCATGGATCTGCCACAGACCACTCCACACTGTATACAGAATCTTCATGTTGATCATAAGTTGCCAGAATTCCATCAGCAAGTCTGAATAAAGAGAATGTTTGCCCAAAAGAAGAAAAATAGGGAGAAATAAAATCATTAATTTATTTTCTTGAAAAGCAACTCACCTGCCATTTTTAGAATCAACTTCATCTTCAGGTGCTCCAAGGTGCCCATCTGGCTCAGAGGATATGGATGCTACACTTGTGAGCACAAGGCGTGCGTCACTACTAGAAGTGAGGACTAATTGGTCATGGAAGTGATTGTAGCGAACAGCCCACACCCTGCGGCAACAAAAATATTAATGACATGTATTTCCACTTGATCATGAATTGACATTAACTTGTATGTAATCTCAAGAGCTTTCCAAATATTTAAAAGTACCAGTGGGAGTGATCAGATATTGAGATTACAGGTTCAGAGGGATTCCGCACATCCCAGAATTTTGTGCTTCCATCATCTCCGCCAGATGCTATATAATACTGCTTGTTAGGATTGATGTCAAAATCTCTGTAAACAAAAATAAAGTTACAAAACCAATTTGAAATATTAAAACTCTCTATGAAAGCCAAGAAGGCCAAGAACTCTGGCACCTCCCTCCCACCAACGCTACATCCAGATGGTAACAAATACTTGAAAACTTACCGAACTAATTGAGAATGAGCACCATCAATGCACCAAGCTTGTTTATTATCCTCTCGTAGATCCCAACTGCGAATACTGCATTCACTAGCAGTTACAAACTGAGTGCACTTATGGTGAGAGTTCCATTTGCCTGTCATGAAACGTGGTTGGCCTTTACCTTCTAAAGTACCTTTGGAGATCAGCTGAACAGACATAAGTGGTAATTTCTACATAAATGCGGGAGCTAAATGTTAGAGACAAAACTGCACAATCCTCTTCTACCAATTACCTTGGGAGATGATTCACCAACATCAAAAAGTAAGAAATGGTTATCTACAACGGACATTACTCTTGAGCCATCAGTTGGGTGGAAAACAGATACTTTGACTTCTTTTCCATGCTGCATGGTGTCGAGTTCACACAAGCACTCAAGAGGATTCATTGAAGAATGGTGACTTCCGCTTCCACCTTCTTGATCAACATCCGTCTGGTCTTCAGTCTCCGCAGGTGGCAACCGCCATAAGGCAGACTTCATCACACATGAATTATCTTCTGTAAAGCACTAAAGATTAAACAACTGTTTTTCAGTTAACTTCACAATATACCAAGTAGAAATAAAATAGCAATTATGTGTCTAGTTAATGATTCACCTGTAATAGTGTTGTAGCAAGTAGATATGACATCAGCACTGACTGGTGATGGTGACACAGACCAAATCTCTCCAGTACTGTGTGGAAAAACACGCGTATTCACATAACTATGCTCTTCATCCAGCTCAACAAGATGGATTTGGTTTTGAGTGAATTTTAAGGACTGAGTTCCCACAAAGAATCGCACAGCCTCAGTCTCAGCAAGTTGAGGAGCAAGTGCACGAGCCTGCAAAATTAAAAGAAACACTAGGTATACCATTAAGAATGAAAGACGAAGGTTACAGAATAAATAACTCCACAAGACTCTTAGAGATACTCTCTAATAATTGTAGAAATCATGCTGTAACCTTAACAAAATATAATGTTTGTTGCAAAGAGCTTTATTGTCAAGTAAAAACATATGGCTATTTACAAATAAAAAATTTACCTGGAATTCCAAGCCGTAGATTATGGAATTGTCATCTGCCATTTCATAAATAATTTAGCTCTCTCAGTCACAAGTGTTTGTTTACCATCAACACAAGCAGAAGCTAGCTGTGTCAGTGTCAGTGACACGTCGCCCACTCACTGGCCAAAAGCAACATTGCAAACACAAATAGTACAGCTTTCGTCAATGACCCGATGAGATGGACAGAAAAGTACAATAAATTCGTACTGGTCAAATGTTTTTTATGATTTCAGTCAACGTTCACCGTTTTGGTACCTATCATTGTCTGAGAGAAGTTTCGGTCCGTGTAACGATCGGGCGCGGGCGTTCTTTGCAACGCGTTATGTTTAATTGTTTCAGTCAAGTAAAAAAGCTAAGATTATGAAAATAATAAGAGTTTGTAACAGTAAATGGTGATTTTTATTCAACAAGTAGCTCTTACTGGGAGATATTAATCAATCAAATAACGAGAAAGTGCACTCTATTGAAACTCTGGTTGCACACGAGAGGTCCCATGGCCAATATTTTGACGCTTGACAAGTTGCATTGTGGGTCGTCTTGCGAAGAAGCTCAGCGGTTTTCCAAATATTGTTATTTCATTTATTATGTAAGTAAAGCTTGATATTTGGTCTACTTTTCATAGTTTTTATTCATTTTGTATCCCGCATTTTCCATTCATGCTTCCATTTGCCTACCCGCTTCTAGAAACTTTCTCGTATAGCCGAGAATCCTGTAGGAGGGAAAGATGTTGTTGCATGGCGTAGGCCATATCACTTGCAAAATACACCGCAGACTCTGTTTATATTCTTTCAAAACTCTCCTTTCCATTTTGCCATGCTCCCCTTCGCTAGTTTCTCTTCATCTATAATTTGTTTTCAGCATTGTCTTCTTTTTATACATCTTTCTTATATTAGAATTACTATCTAAAATAAGGCTATTTTACGCTAGAAATCACCTCTTCCTGTGGATTTTGTTGTTTCATTGTAGGATGTTGTCCTAAATATCGTTGGTAATTCATGTTAAGCCCAGTTTTTTTAGGGAGTGTCCTGTTTCTCATTAACATCTGGAATGAATGGTGTACACCTTCTTTCCTCACTTCTCAGGAATATTTCATGTTCTTCAACCGGAAACTACTTTCAGATTACTCTGGCTTTGGTACCAAATTAGCACATAATGTACTCCTAATTGGGTTCTGAGCCTTCTAAAATCTGAAATAATTGTAAACCACTAATTATAGTGCAATATTTAACAATGTTCTCTCTTCTTGTCAGGCTCCGATCAGTTTGAAAGATGTGTGACCAGACGGAGGTGCAGTATCTCCCAGGGGAGGTAGTTTGGGTGAAACTTCGGGCATTATGGTGGCCTGGACTCGTTCAAGACTATGACCAGTTGCCAGAAGAAATCACATGCTCATTTCGTAAGCGTCCACTTGCTACCGTCAAGTTTTTCCAAGAGGACAGCTAGTAAGTGTTTAAGGTTTTCCTAACTTTAGGTCTATGTGAACACCATTCTACTTAACTATAATTTCATTTTCTCCCCAGTGAATATGTTCATAAATTTGAACTCATCTATCATTACAACTGTAGCCGAAAGAATGAGTTCATCAAAAAGGGGCTTGGTAAGAATATTATTTTAGATAAACAAACGTAACAATTTGGATTTTATTGGTCTTTTTACCTTTTATTCTTTTGTTTTTTAGACCTTTACAGGAAAAAGTCAGCTGATCGTCCTGCTACAATGGACTTCTTCCCGCTGGATATTATAACAGCAGAGGAGAGAACTGGTGGTGATCCTAATATTTTACAGGATAAGGCATTTATGCCTGATGAGAAGCCAAAGTACACCGCCCTCTTTGGGGAGCAAAAGAAATTGGGAAAGAAGAAGGGTAAAGAAGATTCACCTTTTAAAGATAAGGTTGCCCGCCGTAAAAAGTTGACATCAAAACTGGAAGCCATGGGTTGGATTAGCAGAGGTATTACTGCAAACATCATTTATCCCTCTCCCGATACTCCTAGAATGGTCACCCATAAACGTTTCGTAGCCAAAGCGCATAACCCAGATGCAAAGTCAGATTATGAGTCTCGCATTATGGAACAAAAAGGTGACGATGACACCAGCTGTATTATGGAGAAGGAATATCAATGTGTTATGTGTGGCTATGTAACTCGACGTTTGAATGTCATTGTTCTGCACTTCAACTCGACACATTCTCTTCGAATGAAGAATATTTTCCCCACGCCTAGTATATTGAAAGGAGGTTCTCTTCGCAATCCGCTCTTGAAATTGAAAGAAAGTAGGAAAAGTGAAGCAGGAAAATCAAGCTTTTTCTCAAAGAAGAGAGCATCTTTGAAAACAAAGATAGAGAAACCTAAGAAAGAAGAGAGTGAAGTGGAGTCCTCTGAAGAGGAGGCCCCTAAACCTAAACCTCAGCCAATCAAGAAAGAAAAGGGCAAACCTGGGAGAAAGAGAAAAGTAAAGCCAGATGAGAAACCTGAAGAAGAAATACCAGAGACCACTAAGAAGCCTAAGGTCTTGGATTCTCTTTTAGCTGATTGGGATGAAGAGGATGCTGAGCAAAATGAAACTGAGGACCTTGACCAAGACAAGAGCCAATTAGATGACGAGGATGAGGAGGGAGATGATGAAGACGGTGAAGCTGCAACAAATGAAAGTGGGGACAAATCATCTGCCAGCATGGACACATCTATTCCATCCAAGTCGAAAGAGGTCTTTGAATTTGATCCCGATGAGGATGATAGCATTGATTTTGATCTTACGCCTAATGTCAAAGGCTTTGGAAGGAGAATTCCAAGAGTCATTGAAAGCTCTAAAGACAAGAAAGGAAAGAACGATTCTAAGAAAACCCCCAAGGATAAGTCTGACAAGAAGGATAGTAAGAAGGATGATAAGAAGCATAGTAAGAAGGACGATAAGAATAGTAAGAAGGATGATAAGAAGGATAAAGAAGATGATATTGATGACTTTGAGAGTTTGCTTGCAGAGACGTCAGTCCCATCACTTCCTGCTGTTCCGAAGTCAAGTACTTTCTCTATGGATGTTGAAGATGATCTAGATTCAAAATTGGATGAAAGTAGCTCCAAGTCAGTTCTGAAAGAACAAAATGATGCTGTTGAGGAAAGTGTGAAGATTGGTGGTGACAAAAAGTCAAAAAACTCCGAACCTGAGGTGGATTTGGCTGTGGACCCCATTAATCCACCTCAGGACCAAGAGCAGAAAAACAAAGCCACAGCCAAAGTTACTGTTCAAATGATCCCTGACATTGCCTCAGCTGGAAGCAACATAAATGTTGGGGAGACGCTTTCTGGTAATGATGCCTCGTTATGTGAGACTAAACCCTCCAGTGGAGATCACACATATGTTAGTGGAGGTAGTGGTCGCAAGAGACGGCGCCATCTTTTGCCTCTGGAAAAGGTTGATGGTTCAGGTGGAATGTCCGTTTCAGTAGATACAGATGATGATTTTATGGTTGAAGAATCTCCCCGAAAAAACAAGCAGCCCTTTTTACCTCAGGTTGAAGGTTCTAATGTGGTTGTGAAACCAACACCTCGCAGGGGTCGACCACCAAAGAAAGGAAGAGGTGGCAGAAGTGGTAAAGTCTTAATGACGTCCACACCTCAGCCGACCTCTAAGAGCTCTTCTCACCTACTCAGCTCTAAAGGACCACCTATGAGCCCTCCTCCTGTACCAAGTCCTAAAAGCCCACCACCTCTTCGCAGCCCCAAGAGCCCTGTTGCTGAACAAACTCCCAAGAGTCCATCTCGTCGCCAAAGTTCTAAGAGTCCAACTCTAAGTCCTGCTAGGCAAGGTTTGCAAGGCTCAAAAAGTCCTGTGCATTTCGTAATGAGTCCTGGAGGTCCGAAGAGCCCTCAGCCTCTTCAAAGCCCAAAAAGCCCCAGGAGTCCTCAGCCTTACCAATCACCCCTCCATCAAGGGCCAAAGAGTCCACAAGGCCTTCAAGGCCCAAAGAGTCCGCAAAGCCTTCAAGGCCCAAAGAGTCCGCAAAGCCTTCAAGGCCCAAAGAGTCCGCAAAGCCTTCAAGGACCAAAGAGTCCACAAAGCCTTCAAGGACCAAAGAGCCCACAAGGCGTTCAAGGGCCAAAGAGTCCGCAAGGCCTTCAAGCCTCCAAGAGTCCACAAGGCGCTCAAGGGCCTAAGAGCCCGCAAGGCCTTCAAAGCGCTAAGAGCCCTACTCCCACGCTTTCAAGTCCTAAAGGCATGAAACTTCCCACTTTATTCACTCCTGATGCTAAAACTATTATTAGAAGCCCACCACGAAGCCTTATGAAATCACCATCCGGAGAAGTCCAGGCAGTGGTTGGTTCTAAGAGTCCTGCCAAGAGCCCTCTGCCATCACCTACATCATCGCAGGCAATGTTGGTTTCACCAACATCTCCATCAAGAAGCACTGGAAGCAAAATAGTTCTCCAAACATCTCCTGTGAAAGTCAGTGCCGGTTTGAAGAAACTGAATACATCAGGTGCAGTGGTTGTGCAGTCCAAACCTGATTTGCAGCCTGAAGCTTGTGGCATTGGTAAAATTATTTCATCAACCCCAACAGCTATTGCCGCGGGCACGCCTGGTACTGTAAAAACCATCAAAGTAGCAGTTTCAGGGTCTTCCCCTATGGTAGTGACAAAACCTGGCTCTACACCTCGCAAAGTCATGATTGTTGGTAAGGGGGGAACCCAAAAAATGCTGATGCCCGCTGAAGCATCGCAGCAACTTCTTAGCAACATTGGGTCTGGCAAAAAGATCATGGTCATTACTAAGGGACCAGCTGGCTCACCAGGCAAACTTATGTTGACCTCTCAACAACAGAAAATACTAGCAAGTGGAGGAAAAGTTACTACTTCAACTGGCCAGACCATTACTTCTAAGGGAACTGTTTTGTCTTCAGTAACAAAACTTGTTGCAGCTAAACCTTCAACATCCACTTCTATTGCTAGTGGTGCTGAGTTAAGTGGTGATCCACCAGCTCTTATAAAAACAGATGGGAAAAAAACCTACAAGATCATAACAACTCCTCAATCCAAGGGAAATATTCTTTTAAATACTTCTGGAGGTCAAATTCTGGTGCCAGTTAGTAGCATAGGTGCCTCTGGGTCTGGAGTCACCACTCTTAGTGGATCTAAACAATTTATTCTTCCCGTTGGGGCCAAGCAGATGAAATTCTTGAATACTGCTGGAGGCACAGGCCAGAAAGTGATCTTGCATATGAAGAGTACAACAGCTAAAGCAGGAATTGCAGCATCACCAAAGACTGTTCAGCCCATTGTTCCTAAAACTGTTGTTCAGTCCATTTCACCGAAAGCCATCCAGACAATATCCCCAAAGCTTGTCCAGACTATTTCATCAAAGACTATACAGTCGATCACCCCGAAGACTGTCCTGCCGAAGACCAGTCTTCCAATGAAAGTGACTAAAATAGCAACTGCTGTGCAGCCTGTTCCACAGCTGGCGCCTATTGCTTCGCCTATTGCTTCGCCCATTGCTTCGCCCAAGACACCACGTCCCAAGCAAGTGAAAGCGACAGTTACAAAACCTGTTAAAACTCCGACCCAACCAAAGTCACCAAGAAAGAGTGTTACTTTAGCTAAAACCATTGCCCCTGCTGGTGTAGCTTCGTCAAGTACCACCACTATTCCTGTGTCAACTCCTCTGAAGCGTAACACTGGTATTCTTCCAAATCCTAATCTGAAGCCCATAGCACCCCATGCAGTAACAACAACAAAAAAGATATCTCTTGCTTCTAAGCCAGCTTCAGTGGAAACACCATCAGTTTCAACTGTTCCAGGAACAGTGCAAGTTGTGACAAGTGCAGTAACTGGTCTAGATCAAATTCAAACCAGTCTTGTATCATCAGTTGACTCAAGTGGTGCCATGACCCTTCCCACTTCCACTCAGCAATTAGTGACCCTCCCCACCGAAGATGGCGGACAGGTGATGTACCTAATTGACAACAGTTCTCTCATTGGGCTGGATAATGCCAGCCAGGGAAATCTCGGCAACATCATCCTTGCTTTTGACAACATGGGTCAGCCCACTGTCTCAAGTGGTTCTGACTTCACCTTCTCAACCCCTAGTTCTGGTCAAGATATTTTGGCTGAAGCTCTTGCAAATACTGATCTGCAGTCTGAAGCAGGTGCTGAGTTGAGTCTGGACACATCAGGTCTGCTCTCTTCTCATTCAAGCGCCATGTACCCGCCTACTCTATCCCATGGAGTGCTGGAGACCTCTTTAACTCTAAACCAACCTATTATGACCCCACTGGAGGATCTCTCTGGCGTAAGCACCCTTCAAGCGCTGCCTGCAACTAGTGTTGCTACATCTGTTGAGCTGCCCACCATCTCTGTGCCTGACATCACCATATCAACGTCATCTTATTCCTCACTTCCCATCCCATCTGCCACTATCCAGAGTACAGTCTTCTCAGAAGCCCAAAATGTGCCAACATTTACTACAACTACTACTGCAGATGGAAGTGTGTTCATTGAGGCTCCCACTGACGGAGAGTCATTCTTAACAGCAGATAGCGTATATGAACAAACCTCAGAGGGTGCATCAATGCCTTTGTTAGATGGTTAATTGTGAAAGACTTAAGTAACATACTGTGTAACCGGAAGTGGTTACTGACTGATTGGTGCAAGTTAAGTTTAAGCAAAGCGCCTCTGATGACCTCAGGGTAAGCAGTACTGATCGTTGTGGAAAAAGAAATCATAACTCTGTATAGCAAATGCTGTTTAGATTTATGAGTTTTTGGTTCGCAGGACTATAGTAATTTAGTAATTTTAGAATCTTTTATTGTTGCCATGTCTCATATCTATTGTATGGGAAAGTTCTTTATTGTTATCCTTGTGTCACATTTTCAGAATTGTGGTTCTGAATGTTTTTGTTTATTTTTAAATCACAGCTTAACAAAGTTTATCTTTTAATTTTGTTGCTGTATTTAAGTTGAATAACTTCTGTTCAAAATTTGATATCAAGGTATTGAACCTTCTGTAAAAATTTAAATGATGAAAGTTCTATTCTTAGTTTTGTGCTTTTGAACCTCTTTGATCGTTATTGAAAGTTTTGTGCAGGTGGTTATTGAATAGCCCTTTTAAGAAATATTTCTAGGTTGACCAGAAGGTCATTTTAATAGTCATTATTGTATAAGCTAATATTTCAAGGTTGATCATTCTTATGAGGCAGCCTTACTATTTTCCTATTTTGTTCTGCAAGTACCTGTTCATCTCAAAATTAAGAAACCACTAAGATACAGTTTGTGACTCTGAGGCATCTATAAAGTATCATTATTTTAAGTTGTCTTTGAAGTAATTGCATGAATAGGTGCTGTCATTTGTCTCTGTATGTGTGTTTGTTTGGAAGTTAAAGGACAATAATTGGTTTTATATTAAAGTGAAAGTCCTTTAAAATATGTATATGTATGATGTGTGTATGTAATTAGGGGCTACTTGGTTTATCTCTGTTATTATTTTAACTGTTTACTTTTTGTATGTTAGAAAAGAAAATATCCTTGAAATAAGTAAATTAGAAGTATTGTATTGTGAAAGGTAATTAGCACAGTTTTAAATGTTGTTTTTGACTTTAGCCGGTTGTTTAAACATTTGTACAAAGAGTTGCAACACAGCTGTGTATAATTTTTATGTTCCTATATATGCTTCAATTTTCCAAAATACTTTGACAACTCTCTTGATGTGTTTTTTCGTTTCATTTCTCATTTTTTGTGCGAAGTATGATTGAGAAAGTATAAGTATATATGAATGGATCACATTTGTAACTTTGTAAATATTTGTACATGTTACTCAAGCTCATTCACATCAAACATATTTTGAAGCTTCTTGCTCCTGAGTTGTAAAACCAAGTTTTGACATAAGTTATAGTACTTATTCTTCTATTTGATTTCATAGATTTGATGTAACTCATTGTACGTAGGGAACACTCATCACTTAAACACTGATCACTTATTTTCAATCTGTATACTTGGTTGGTTGTTACTTTGCTGAAGTTAAATGTGCTGGTGACTAAGGGAACAAATATGAGTTATTAGGATGGCATTTCGCTTGACAGCTCTTGTCACTTCTTTTTTAATTTATTCTACACACATCGTGCTGTAGTAATTGGGGAAAGAAAGATTTATTGTAACAGAGGCTGTCATCCAGCATTTGCCATAAAGTCCTTTTATCTCATTTTTTTAGCTACATGCTCCTATGGGGTAAATGAGGCAGAGTTTTGATCCTGTATTTGTTTAGTTTCCCCCTACCCCCATTTGTTTTTAGCGTTTCCAAGATCAAAGAATGTTTCTTTACACTTCTGGAGAGTCTCAAGTTCTCATATTAAAATATGTATGATCTATACATAGAATAGAAATTTTGTTTATGTAAATAGGTCTTGTAATGTGTGCATGCTTGGCAAACTGTGTGGCTGATTGGTTTATTTGTAATTTAACACAGACTTAAATGCAGATGTAGGATTGTGGATAATATTTCAAAACCAATGTAATGATTTCATTCTATTTGTAACTGACTGTGCTGCTACTGCTGCTCATCCTCTTTTTGTGGGTTTGGTATTGTGCACCTATGGTTGCAATGTTAATTAAGATTGTGAAAGCACTTAATATTGATTTGCAGCTGTATTTTTTCTCCTTAAAAAAATTATAGATTTTCTTCCTTTTTACCCTGTTGAGTTTTTGATTTCGGATGTCAAGTAAGATTTTTCACAAGGTATAAAATTAAGAAAATGTGAATTTTTAAAAATGTGCAGATACTGTAATTTACTCATCTTTCTGTTTTCTTGTCCAAATTTTTGAACCAAAGAACTGAATGAATCCAATATAACTTGTTAACCACTAAAATTAATGGAATGATTCAGTGTTCACTTTTATACCCCTCACCAATTATGTTCACAAGATAATTACTTCTGACTTGTATCAACTTTGCTGTACCAATGTGCAATATGCCTAGTTTGCAGCACCTTTTCAGTTCCAAAAGGTCTGTGTCTGTACAGATAGTCAAATGTACATAAGAAGTTACGCATATGTATTTTCTTTCAGGTGTTTTCTGTAGCAAATTTTTATTCATATTGTAGATGAGCATGGTATGCCCAATTCATTAAAATTGAAGTAAGTAAATCGACTTGCCTTGTCATTTCTTTTCCTCAAATTTGATCTCAAATTTTTACATGCAACCACTCTTTTAGAAAGAAATTCAATTTGGAACACATTGCATCTGTTGGGAAACATTTCTGGAAGCATTTCTACATTAAAACCCCTGTTTCACTTGCCGTCCTTGAACATACACCTCCTTGATGTTTCTTTCAGAACCGCAGTAGATAAATTTTTGAAGTAACTGTAAGCTATTGAGGGGTCCAACATGTAGGTCTGGATCAGGCACACTCACAAGTAGCGCATCGAATTCCTTGCCTACAGCAAAATTACCCACAATATTATCCATATCCAATGCTGTAAAATGAAACATAAATTAATCAAGAACATTCAACCTCACACTGAAGCAATTATTACATGGCATATTCTTTTACCTCTTGCTCCACCTAAAGTGGCTAGATAGAAAACTTCTTGATAATTTAAAGGCCTGTAGTTTTTCTTTGAGAATGACACATGTATGGAGGTATCCAATGCCGCTCTTATAGCATCTAAAATGCTGGGACTTGGTCCGCCGGAAACATCTGAAAGTTGAAAAAGGGGTAAATAAGTTGAGTTGGCTCATGGACTGAAACTGGGCGATACGACTCTACGGGACTCTACCTGTGCCGAGTCCCACCGTGACGCCCGCGTCCAGCAGGCGCCGCACGTCGCACATGCCGCTGCGCAGACACGTGTTGGACGCGGGGCAGTGCGCCACCGACGTGCCCCGCCCCGCCAGCAGCCGCAGCTCCTCCTCCAGGAGGTGCACGCCGTGCGCCAGCACGGTCTACATCGTGGCGCAACACAAGGAACACGCGTCACATCAGTGGCGGATCCAGAGACGGCCCTTAGAGGGGGGGGAATAACTTGTTGCCTGCTTACAGGGGCAAAGCATGGCTTTTTGCCTACCTGTCAGGCGGTTATCTAGGTGCCATCGCCCTGCCGTGTGAAACACTTACTTTTTTGGTAAGGAGCCCCGCCTTGTCGTACACGTCTGCGTAGTTGCTGCACTGTTGGTACAGGCCCCTGACAGCCTCCACCTCGCCTATGTTCTCCGAGATGTGCGTCTGGAATACAAAAGCGAGCCTTCATTTCGAGGATTATGTAAGGCGGGGAAGTCAAAACTAAAAGGCGGTTACGTGAAAACGGGGCCCGGCCCAGTGCAGCGCAGCCCGTCGGATGTGGAGAAGAGCTTACATGACCACAAACAGTATACGCGGTACACTCATGGGGTAAAAATAGTGTGGACGAACTTCCTCTGAATGGGTGGCACCCAGCCAGAAATGAAAAGTCAAAACGAGGTCGATTCGAGGTCGTCTCCAGATATCGATGATCAGTCGAAATTTTTGCTCGATTCGAGGTTATTATGGTCGTAAAATCGAGGTCGGTTTGAACGTCGATAACGGTCCCCTATCCGTGGCCTTAAATTTGACGCATATCGATGCATTTTCGATGAGTGTTTCGAATGTTCCCGGACGCCGGTGGTGACTCTTGGCTGATAAAAGTCCCCGGCTCAAATGGCCGGACGGATGACCCGCCAAATCAAAATTAAGCCCCCTCAGAGGAGGCATGTCCCCGCACGTCGGGAATACATTGTTGACTGGCCAGCACCTTTGCCCAATGCTATTCCCAACCGTAGCCACAACCGAGAAGTAAGTCCGTGAAAACGATGCTAGCGCCATCTAGCGGATGATCCTTCAGAAGAAAGAAATAGCAGTTTTACGGCTCTTTAAATGTATGTACACTCTTGAGTTTGTAGTATTCCATGGTATGACGTACTCTTTGAGCTTTAATAATGCTGAACTAATTACGAAAGTTTGAGCGGAAATCAATATCGAATCGACATCGATTCGATATTACATTTTTGACTAGCAAAATGTCGACAAAAATCAGTGTCGAAATATGGGAATTTTCGATGCTTATTTCGACCTCACCGGATTGTCGATTGCGTAGACGTCGAATCGACTTCTTTTCGAATGTTCATTTCTGGCTGGGGCAAGTGTAAGGTGTGCAACATGGTAATGTAACATGGTAATGGCCAGGCGACAGATGCCAAGGAAAATGCAGCAAAGGCTGCGAGGGTCGGCGAATCTTTGAAGCGTGACGATGGTGACGCAGGTGACGCACCTGGATGTGCAGGTCCTTGGTGCGCGCGATGTCGCCCAGCCTCTTCATGAGGTCCATGTCGCAGCTGATGGCGAAGCGGGGCGTGATGACGGGCTGCACCAGCGAGTTCTGGAACAAGGCACAGTAAGTATCACACCGCACCAACGAGTCGTGAACGGTTGTCGCAAGCGTGGATCCAGTGGGAAAGGGGAGAAGGGCAGAAATGGCAATGGCCCTACCCCCACCCCTGGCCCAGCCTGAAAGGTAGGCAAACCGCCACACTTTGCCTCTGTTGGACGCGTGGCACCTCGCGGGGCACTCACCTGCATCGCCCGCACGCTGTCCACGAAGCTGTGCGTCTCGTCGATGGACTGCTGCGTGGCCTCGTTGTAGAACTCGGGGTTGTTGACGTTCATGTTGACCTTGCCGATGAGGGCGCGCTGTCCCGCGCGCGCCACGCACCGCGCCAGCTGCAGCGAGCTCTCGGTGTGGATGGTGGCGAAGTAGCACGCCAGCGTGGTGCCGGCGCCGAGGCAGCGGCGCTGTCGGGCGGAGGGAGACGCAATGCAACGCCGTGTCGGATCACTCCTCTGGGTCTTGGTTCAACTGCCGTCACCCTCGACTCTTACCACGACCGCGTCGTACACCCTGGTGGCGAACTCCTGGTCGGCGTAGCGCGCCTCCAGGGGGAAGGTGTAGGTGGCGAGCCAGTCCAGGAGGGTCTTGTCGTAGCCCAGGCCCGCGTTGGGGAACTGCGGCGCGTGGACGTGCGCGTCCACGAAGCCCGGCAGCAGCAGCTGTCCGGGACGCAGCACCACGGGGGAGCCCAGCACGCCGTGCGCAGAGGCCAGCGTCACGGCGTCGCGGCCGCGGAGCGCCTCGGCCAGCACCACCTGCGGCAGAGCGGCATTGCGGCAGTGTAGCAGTGCTGCAGTGCACCGCCAAGCGGAAGCAGCGAAGAGGTCATTCCCTATAGGGCCCAGGGGCGAGCGCGGATCCAGCGGGGGCAAAAGGACAATGGCCCCCACCCCTAGCCGCCTGAAAGGCAGGCACTAGGCTGCTGTAAAGGCAAAACTTGCTGATTCCCCCCTCCGGCCGGCTCGGGTCAGGATCCGCCCCTGCCCGGGGGACAAGTGGGCATAGCGCGGCCCTGCGATCTCTCCGGTCCAATGTCAATGTCCAGCAGGCTGAGTCCAAGTCCAAACAGTGTTTCTTCGCTGTCTCTCTCGCACCTGCGGGACGGGACGCCCCGTGAGTGCGAGAGAGACAGCGACGACAGCGATGTGCGGAACCAGTTGGCATGTCGGCTGATGTTGCCATAGGACCCGCGGTCACGAAGCATGCTCTCTCTCTACTGTGGACCCGTCGCAGGCCCCATCCATCGCGGGGACAGGTTTACTGAGCAGTAGGCTTATCCCGAGGCTGTCTCTCTCGCACCCATACGGGACGCTCCATGAGTGCGCGAGAGAGAGAGAGAGAATTCCCGCTCGGAATCAGTCTGCAGGTGCACACTGTGCGCGCGCGGAACGAGTTTCCGTGCTTATCGCCAGAACAGTGACAGGCCCAGGCTCGGCCAGGCTCCCAGGACGACCACAAATGCATCCGTCCCGTGGGCCGCATCGCGCCGCATCGCGGTGGGAGCGCCTAGGCGGCACGGCACTGGCCACCTCGGTCTATACCTTGCCATTCCTGACGATGAGGATGCCGTCGTCCACCACGGTGACCTGTTCGAAGCGCTCCGAGTGGATGAACGGCCCGAGGAACACGCCGGAAGATTCCATCTGGAAAACACAAAGCGAGAGTGGCATTCATTACCATAGCCCGGGAGCCAGAGGAGGAGGCGTGTCGTTGACCAACTGCGTCGCAGACCTCGCAGGCCTCGCAGACCTCGCAGGCCTCGGCGACCTCGCAGGCCTCGGCGACCTCGCACCAGTGGAGTGCGCAGAAATTTAGAACGGAGGGGGGGGGGGTCAGGCCACGCTTTTTGCCTACTTACAGGGGGAAAGTGACGCAATTTGCCTACCTTCCAGGCGGCTGTCTAGTGGCCAAAGGCACAATGGACCCCCCGGTCATGCCCCCCTCCCCCCTTGCGCACGCCACTGCCTCGCACTGCCTCGCACTGCCTCGCAGCAGCTCCGAGTATTCGCGGGAATAATTGAATCACTCTCTACGAGGGCCGATGTTTTGTTTTGGGAGTCTCATCAGAGCGGGGTCAAAGAGCCACAGGTCGACAGCCGGGCGGACGGACAGACAGACGGACGCATGGGCGGGCAGGCGGACAGACAGCCAGATAGGGAGGACGATTCAAGCATTGACGGCCTAACGGCCTAACGGCCTTACGGGCGGCCGGGTCGAGGCCTGGACTTAGATTGTATTGAACTGTCACCGCTGTACTCGGCTGTACTGCGGACCGCGGGGTGCACCCGGACGCAGCGCACCAGCACACCCTGGTCCGAAGGTTTTATAGAATCCCGCTCCAGGCTGAGGGAAAAATGACGCCGTAAAAATTTGAAGGCGCGCAGCCAGCTTTTCAATGCTTTTCAATGGCTCGGCGATACTTTTCAATGAGGCACTGTAAAATGGCCGCCAGGGCGGCCTTGGAAAGGGTTGCCGCTGTGCTGCGCCATGGCTGGGCGTGGGGTTGCCTATCTTTTTCGCTTTCCTCTCGGCGGGCTGGACGGGGGGTTTGCGGCGCTTAAAGCGTCCGCGTCCGCAGACCTGACCAAAGCGCACGCTCGCACGCTCGCCCGAATCATATTTCGCGAGTCCGGCAAAGACGCGCCGCGGTTGCGCGCCGTCGAAGGGAAGTGAACGACGAGGGCGTGAGGAGGGACAGAAGGAAGGAGTGTGGGCAGGAAAGGAACGGATTAGAATGGGATGCGATGGGATGCCGGGCAGCGGGACGGGTTCCCGGGTAGCGTGCCCGGCGAGCCCGGCGTTCCTGGAGACCGGCACTAAGAGACCGGCCCGCGGCCCCGCGGCCCCGCGGCAGCCTCTGGCCTTGACCGCCACCTCCTCGCTCTCTGTAGTTACACGCCTGGCGACCGGCATGACCGGCATCGGTGCCCCGCGCCGCCCCCCGCGCCGCCCCCCGCGCCGCCCCCCGCGCCGCCCCCCGCGCCGCCCCCCGCGCCGCCCCCCGCGCCGCCCCCCGCGCCGCCCCCCGCGCCGCCCCCCGCGCCGCCCCCCGCGCCGCCCCCCGCGCCGCCCCCCGCGCCGCCGCGCCCCGCGCTCCAGCCTGGATTTAGACCGTTGATTAAAAGAAAAGAAAACACCAGCACCTGTTTGGACGCCACAGCCACGGCACGAGGGGGGGGGGAGGGGAGGGGGCGTCCGTTGAGCGTCTCACGGCCGGGCCAGCGTTCAGGGGTCTCGGCCAGGGCGGCGGGGGATCGGGTCGGTTACACTGACCACAACTATGATGCGGCATCATTGGTGCTCGCCCACGCTTATCGCGCTATCGCCGCCCATCCCACTGAAAGGCTGTAACGCCGCAATGCAGCGGGCACGGCGCGGCACGGCGCGGCAGGGCGCGGCACGGCGACGAGCAGAGACTTCCCTGTCAAAGCCACGTGCGTCGCACGAGGAGTCCGTCCGGGCGGCGCACGGCGCGCACGGCGCGCACGGCGGCGCTGCCTTGGCAGCTTGGCACCGCTTGGCGCAGGGCAGGAAGGGTGGCGGAGGGGAGACGAGGCGGCGGGGTGTTCGCGAAGGGAAACGAGCAGAAACGTGTGGATCACGGCCGCGCCACGCACGGTGCCGCGGGCCGGCGGCCGGCGAGGCAAATTGTTGCTGCTGTCATGTCGTCGTCGCCGTCCGGCAGCGGCTCGCCGCGCCGGTCCGGCCGGTCCCTGCTACTACTGCTTCTGCCACGCTGCCAGGCTGCTATCAGTGCCAAAGACTACCAAAGACGGGCCGATATACGCGAAGGCCACGGTGTGGCACGCACAACAACAAAGCCGAATGGAGGAATGGCCGGAGCAGACTGCGGGTCGCGGGTCGATAGGCGGGAAGGGTTGCCTACCGCATGCCTACTGCCCGGTCAACGTCGTCCTGCCCACGGCGCACGGTAGGGGGCCCCGAAACCTTCGTAAGGTACGCGAGGGTCCAGGACCGTCCAGGGCATAATGTAAGAAATTTTTACAACTGCCGAAATCCGGACGACCGGGGGGGTCAATGGGGCCCAGCGGCCGCGATCAGGTGTCTCCCCGAGATGCGTGTCGTCACCACGAAAGGATTCTGATTCTTTATAAACTTCTAGTCATTTTTTTGGAAAACTGCTTACACACACCGTCATTTCCCACAAAACCTGTGTTTTGCCACATTTCCTTACCCTAACTTCGCCAAATTTGGCCTCGAGACAACTGCCCATTTTTTCGGTAACAACTGCCAAATTGAGATTAAGAACTGCCCAAACAAGCCACAACTGCCCGTTACATTATGCCCTGGGACCGTCACGCCGCGAGCAACCCGCGTGAACTGCTGCGGCGCTTGACGCGAGAGACCAGCGATGGCTCGTGTGGGTTGCCTCTTGCTCCGACTCATCGACTCCCACCGCCACCTGCTGTTACGTAGTGCTGCCAGTTACGGCGTTACGTGCACCATGTCATTTGCTCCATCCGCCCCGTGTGGCGCCCCGTGTGGCGTTCCTGGCAGGCAACCTATGGCAACCGTGAGCTACTCGCGGACTCGCGTGCCGTCCGGCCGCAGACGGTCCGACAACACGTCCCCGAGGGGGCGAATGCGTTCGCATGCGAAGGCACTCACCTTAAGCTCGCAGGGCTGCAAACTGTAGCGCAGGCCCGTAGGCAGCGGAGGCAAAGAGGGGCGACGCCGCGGGCCTCACTCGCATGGACTCCTCTTCACACCTACTCCACTGGCCGGCAAGGTAAAGGGAAGTTGCCAACTATCCCACGACTCGGCGCGGCACGGCACGGCACGGCACGGCACGGCACGGGTCAGTCAATGGCTGCCCCTCGGCTGCGCCAGGGCTGCGCCACCAGTAGCACTACTGCGCTGCCAGGCTGTGCCAGGCCGCCTGTTCTTGCTGCCGCTGCCTCTGCACTGCCGCCGCTGCCCGCGGTGTCCTGCCGCTGCCGCGGCCGCCGCGGCCGCGGCCACACACGCACACACACACACACACACACGTGCGCGCGCGCCGCACCAGGCCGCGGGCCGCGGGCGGGGACCGGCGGGGACGAGCCGAGGACGTCAGCGACTTGTCTCTTGTCCTCTTGTTCCTCGCGCGGGTGCTCTGTTCTCGCGGGCCGTCGCGGACCGCGGGCCCTCCCTGCCCTCTCCGTCCCGTCCCCTCAGTCCACGCCTTCACTGTGGAGGCACGGCCACCCCGCGACCCCGCGCCGCGCGGCTCGCGGCTCCTGGTTTTGGCGCGGACTGCGCAATGCACGCGTGCTGCGCCGTTCGCGTTTTCGTCTCTGTCGCACCCATCGCTAAGGGGCACCATCAGTTCGAGAGAGACGGCGCGACGAAAATGAATCAGTCTGCTGGCTGTGACGAGGCGGGATTGCCGGGAAGACAGCGACAACTCCCGTCGATACTTCCTCCATCACTGTAAAAATAAGGCGCACTTCACTGCAGTCAGGGGAGCTTTAAAAGTCTGCAGTCGCGACGCGGCTCCAATTCCAAATGAATGCATCTCGCTCTCGCTCGACTCACTACCAGTTCTCATCTCGTCGGCGGTTTGAGCTCTAGCCTCTCTGCAGGGAACGCGCTGTCCCTAACGCGAACGCGAACCTGGCGCTTCTGACTGCGTCATCAGCTGTCTGCTGCTGCTGTCGTCCTGCGTGTTGCTGTATCGCTTGTTGTTGTGCAGTCATTCAGTCAATATGGACAAAAGCGCGAAATCGGCCGAGAAACTCCACCGAGTTTCCTTTAGTTTTGCAGACGTGAAAAAGTATTTTGAAAGCACCCAAGTCCTTCCCATTGTCATTGGAGTTGTTGTCATCCTAATAACTCTCTGTAAGTGTGCTTGTGGTTATGTTGACCATATGGTTGGGTTGCCGGTCGCCTTAGTTTTGGCGCTAGCAGTTCCATTTTGCTTGAAAAATGAGGACTTAATTTTTGTTTTTCTTCGTGCTTATATCACTGCTTTTATTTTCAGTTCTTGTGAAGCTAATATTCCGAGGCCGCAAAGCCCGTCGTGATGTGCAAGTCCTGGGTCTGTGCGACGCAGGAAAAACTTTAGTTTGGTCCCAATTATTGCATGGTCGCAAAGTTGAAACTCTTACTTCAATAAAAGAGAATGTTGATTTTTATCAGACCAATAGGGTAGGTCAAATACGTCCACCATATTTAATTTTATTAATAATTGACATAGAGGAATGATTCAGATTTCTTCAGTTGTTCTAGATGTTCTGTACGTTATTTATTACACATTACAGGGTCTTCTGCGCTTAGTTGATGTTCCTGGTCATGAGAGACTGCGTATGAAATTCTTTGATCAATACAAAGAAACCACTCGGGCATTGATCTTTGTGATTGATGCCATGACATTTCAGAAAGACTTACGTGATGTCGCTGAGTATGTATACAGTATTATTCAGCAAACATATGTATCAAACCAAGAATCTATTTTCGTTAATGCAGCACTTTTTGCCTCTTTTAGGTTCATGTACAACGTCTTGCTTGACAGCACCATTTCATACAATAGCCCATCTGTGCTGATTCTTGCCCACAAGCAGGATCTGCCCATGGCTAAAGGAATATCTCTAATCCAGTCAAATCTGGAGAAAGAATTGTAAGTTTATTGACATCCACCTTTTCTAAGTGTCCTAATGTTTAATCCTCCATTAAATTTTTAAACACTTGTTCATCCTTTCAGGAATTTACTGCGCGAGACCAAAGACAAGCTTACTAGTTTGTCTGACAAATCCGAGAAGCAAGCATACTTAGGGAAACAGGGCAAAGACTTTACATTCTCTCAGCTTAAGTTTCAAATTGATTTCGCTGAGTCAAGTGCCCTTTCAGAAGAAGGCCTTGAATCTGTGAAAAAGTGGCTAGCATCCTCAGCATAAACATTTTGTTTGTTTATTTATTTATACATGTTCTGTTATAGTTTGTTCATGACTTTTTTCAAAAGACTGTTAACTTTGCTAATTTCTACTCCATTTTGTGAGCAAAATACTTTTCATGTATCAGCTGTATGAACCCTGTTCATTTCTGTCTATATTATTTCGTACAATTAGGGATCTAATAGATCTTGCAATTTTCATTATGTGTCTCTTATGTGTAAAATTGTAGCGTTCAATTTGAACTGCTGTTGTTGGTTGTATTGAAGTGAGTGCTCTCAGCAACTCAGTTATTTTATTATTTTGTTGGGCTTGATACAGAGGAAAAGATGCCATGTACTGACTTTTTTACATTTTGAACTCTTCTGTATTGCGACCAATAATTTATTTCCCTAAGCTAATTGACTCTTGTTGATTTGTTCGTATTGTTTTTGTATCTCCATATTTCTGTTTGGTTCGTCATATAAAAATGTTTTTTTCACAGAAATATCTCTAAAACTGTATGTTATTTTGACCTGGTTCCATGTCTCATGGACCATGATTTGTTAAGTGGTTCAAGTCATATCAATTCAGTCTTGTTGGCTTGGTTTTGTGGGAATGTGGAGGTCTCATGGAAGTAATAACAAGTACAATGACAAATCTCAAAAGTTCACATGCTTACCATACCTCCATAAATAAAGTAAATTGATTGTTTTATTTCTTATCATTTACAAGTGAAAATCTATAAAGCACTTACATATTAAAAATGAAAGATTATGAATATATTTTCTCCCTTTTTCCAAAATACTGATTAGAATCAGCTCAACAAACTGTTTCTCAACTCAGCATTGCGCCGGACTAGACTTGACAACTGCCCCTGCCATGGGACTCTCTAATGTCTACTGCAGTCCTAAGTAATTTTGACAGGTCTACATACACTACTATTTTTGAAACTCATCCTAACTTAAACAAATGAAAATGTTTATATAATATTTATTAATACTGCATAATATAATACTTATCACCATCCATTCAGCTCCGCATACTAAAAAAAAAGCTGTTATATACAGAAAAATTTTCGTCTTTTGTTCTCAATGATTTTTTTCATTGTACTTATGGAACATTTTATGGAATGAACGTCGAAAGGCAAGAGCATCTCAGCTGTTTCGTTTCCTGGAAAGGAAAAAACATTACATGTTGTGTAGCCCATGGGACTAGAATGCCCCTCGAATCCAGTCGAGTCCGCTTCGAGTCTCCACCTGCTTCTCATGTTGAATTCTGAAACAAGGAAGAGCCAGTATATTGCACAAGTCGTAAGTAGCACAAAGGCACCCCTATCCCCTCTTTCTCACACCAAGCAGTACCCATCCTCGTGTTCCCCGAGTACGTGCAGCTCTCTGCTCTCTCCGTCGGATATGCCTTGTACCTTGTACCCCGCGGCTTGGCACCTCGCCTCGGCGCGCCCCGACGCTTTTTCCTTTCTCTCTCCCCCCTCCCCCTCCCCCTCCCGGCTCGTCCAGCTCCAGCAATCACGGTCAAGGTCGCGCCGGCGGCCGAGGAGAAAAAGGGGGGGGGCACGCACAGGGCGTACATCTCGATGGCATTAGAACAATTGACTGCTGCCGGATGATTCCGAATACCGCTTGGTCGCTCTGTCTCTCGCTGGCACCCCTAGGTAGCGCCCCGCATGAGAGAGGGGGGAGGGGGAGCGACCGAAGCACTGCTCGGAATCTGCCTGCAGTGTACTTGACGCAGAGAGCGTGGTGTGCACGAGTCACGAGTCCTGCCTAGGCGTGCCTAGTCCTGGCCGGCTCGGCGAGATGCTGCACGATGCAGCACGATGCTGTTGCCGCCTTTCTAAATTCGCGCCGGCCGTTTTCCGCGCCGCCTGCCGCACGCCAGCCAGTCAGCCAGTCAGGCGCCTGCCGCCCCGCGCCGCCCCGCCCCCTGTGGATTCACTTTCGGTTTCATCGGGCCGCCGGCGCAGGCGGCACGGCTAGACCCAGGCCAGACCCTAGACGCCGGGTCGAGCGAGGACCCCCCCCCTCCCTTCATAAATCTGGTTTCCCATTTTGGATCCGGCTGCGGATGAGAGCGCCGCCACGTCGGCCCGGTGAGCCCAGCCGGCCCAGCTGGCCCCAGGTCGAGGTCGCCGTCGGCCCTGACCACGCACCACGCCGGCCACCTTCGCGCCGGGCGCGCTGGGACTGGCTGGGACGCTGGACGGGCCGACAGCTGATTCCTGGATGCTAAGCGGGCCTGGAAGAAGGAAGCTCGGATTCCAGCTGTGCCGACGACGGTTCGAAACCAGACGGGGCGATCCCTAGAAGTCGGTGCGACCAGCCTGTCAGGTGGCAAACGGTCTTCCACAAACGTAGGCAGGCCAAGCGTTACTCCGAAGGGATCACACGGTTAAGATAGGGCTTTCACCGCTCACGTGGTAGGACAGTGCTTTCGTCGCTCTGTATCTCTGACTCTCATGGGACGGTCCACACGAGAACCACAGAGCGACGAGGCGCAACCCGGAATCAGCCTGCTGGCAGCAAGAAGCTTGGCTCCTCGGAACTTAGTGGGGCATCGACATCGGTTAAGTTTCCGAAATGGTTCGAGCGGGGCCAAGAGGCCTCGAAGGATTCGGAATGGGGCGCGGCGCGGCGAACTACTGTTCTCGACCAGAAGGCAGGTGTGCATCGCATCGGCCGGCATCGCCTCGAACGGGAACGCGCACCGAGGGGTCAATTATTTTGGTGCGGGGAGAGCGCGCGGCGGAGAGATTCCGAACGGCGCCTCGACGCTCTACCTCTCTCGCAGCGTCGCAGCCCGTGCCGTGAGTGCGAGAGAGAAGCACTGCTCGGAGTGAGCCTCGTGAGCGGCCGCGGCGGATCTCCCACTGCCCCAGTGGTTGGCATGGCAGGCGGTCCAACTTGCAATTTGAGTCCCGATGCCGGGATGGGATTCCGAGATTCGAACAGGGTTCCCGGCCGCGCCGCCGCGCCTCGCCACTGATAATGACAGGACTTTCTCCTCGACCTCCGAATCGAGAATCGGCGCGGCGCGGCGCGGCCTGCAGGGAATGACCGGCAATGGCCGGGGAGGGCTCGAAGGCCGTCGCCGTGGCGTGCGGCCGGAAGAATCAGTTCGTCGCTCTGTTTCTCTCGCTCTCATGGGGCTCTCCGTTAAAGGTTAAGAGCGACAAACCGATGTTCTGAATCGCTCGGCAGGCGGTCCACTTCACCAACGCTCGGCTGCACTTTTTCGGCTGCGCTTAAACGGGTGAACTGTTGAACGCACGCCCCAAGGGTGCGAGAGAGACAGGGCGACAGGTTCCCTCGGATCGAGGCGGGAGACGCGTGGCCGGCGCGGCACGGCACGGCACGGCACGGCGCGGCACGGCGCGGCACGGCACGGCACGGCGCGGCACGGCACGGCGCGGCACGGCACGGCGCGGCGCGGCACGGCGCGGCACGGCACGGCACGGCACGGGGCATGCAGACAGGGACACCGGCAAGCCAGAGCGGCAGCCCAGGCAGTCCAGGCAGCGCCCCCATTCCGGCAATCCATAAATGGGGCATCACCGTGCCTTCATTTTGTTGTTGTTTTTGTTGCTTTTGTGCCTTGAGAACCCGAGCCTGCCGCCCCAGAGCTGACCAGGGCTGTCCAGGGCACGCCGCGTGCGTCCCGGGGGAACCTCGCGCATCCCTGGACATGGGCAGGGCAGGGCCCTGCCGGACAGGGACAGAACGAGGACGGCGAGCAGGGGCCAAAGCAAGGGCCAAAGCAAGGGCCAAAGCAAGGGCCAAAGCAAGGGCCAAAGCAAGGGCCAAAGCAAGGGCCAAAGCAAGGGCCAAATCAAGGGCCAAAGCAAGGGCCAAAGCAAGGGCCAAAGCAAGGGCCAAAACAAGGGCCAAAGCAAGGGCCAAAGCAAGGGCCAAAGCAAGGGCCAAAGCAAGGGCCAAAGCAAGGGCCAAAGCAAGGGCCAAAGCAAGGGCCAAAGCAAGGGCCAAAGCAAGGGCCAAAACAAGGGCCAAAGCAAGGGCCAAAGCAAGGGCCAAAGCAAGGGCCAAAGCAAGGGCCAAAGCAAGGGCCAAAGCAAGGGCCAAAGCAAGGGCCAAAGCAAGGACCAAAGCAAGGGCCAAAGCAAGGGCTGGAGGTCGTTTGGCGTCGGCGTCCTGCTGGCCTGCCGCAGCCTGCCGCAGCCTGCCGCTGGCCCGGTGGTTTGGGAGGGGCCAATTGGAGAACCCTGCCCCCGCCTGCGCCCCGCAGCCCCGCAGCCCCGCAGCGCCATTTCCAAAACACTTTTTTTCGGCCGCCAGAACCGAGAGGGCCGAGAGGGCGCCCAGCTTTCTTTCGACGGCGACCCAGAAACACTGCCACTGCGACCATGGGTGCTGAGGGCCCCGCTTTGGTGGCGCCGCCTCCAACTTGAACCGGGGGCAGTTTGGTGGCGGGCGTCGCGAACGCAGCGAGTCGGGGAAGGACCAAAAGGGCCAGAGAGGACCAAAGGGCCGAGGGGCTGGGGTAATAGGGCCTCGGCCACGGGCCTGGCGTGGCCGGCTGGCCAGCCAGGGGCAGGGCCAGGCCTTGGCCAGGCCTTGGCCAGGCCGAAGGAAGCCGTTACTTTCAAAAAGGTTTAGTGGGTGCGGGGCGCGGAGCGCGGAGTACGCCAGGTACCAGGTACGCCTTTCGGCGGCGCGGTGCTCGGCTTTTGGTGCTGTTTCGAAAGTAAGTCGGCCGGGGCGGTAAGTGCGACGGGCGCGGCGGGGCGGGGCGGGGCGTGCCATTGCCAGGATGCAATACGCGGCCTGCAGCCTGCAGGCATGTGGTGTCGCCATACCGACGCCTGCACTCCAGGCATGCTCCAGGCGCGCTCCAGGCTGGAGCGGCGTGGCGGGGCGTGGCGGGGCGTGGCTAACGCGTGCACTTTGCGCGTCAGTGGGCAGGCCGCGGCAGGCCGGCCGGAGGGGCGCTTTCTTTTTGCAGCTTTTAACGTGTTTTTTATTGTTTTTGTTTTTTCGTCCACGTGCCGCCGTGCCGGGCAGGGTCGCGCCGACACAGCGGACGGCCGCGCCGAAGGGGAAGGGGGCCGCTCGACTTTTCCCCGAAAGGCAAAGGGTTCAAGGCAGACCCAATGGGCAGACCGCTGCAGCTTCGGATGAAAACGAAAATGGCCAAAAATAGAGCGCGTCCGAATGCCAGCATCACGCTTCGCACGCTTCACGCTCCGCTCGAGGCGCCCAAGTGCGCCGGCCTGGTGAGGCGGCGAGGCCGGCCGTAATCCCCGCCCTGTCCCTCCAGTCCCCGACGGTCCCCGACGGCCCCCGAGCACTTCCCGAGCAGCCCAAGGAGACACGGCGTTTCTCTACCACTCTGTGACCCATATCCCGGCCCGGCCCGCCCGGCACCGAAAGCGCCCTGTCCGTCATGCCGATGCCGGCTCGAGTCCTCAAAGCTGTGCCGTGTTTGTGATTGGTGTGTGCGATCGCGGCGCGGTTTTACGTCGTCCGCGTGTTCAGGTTCAAATTGAGATTTCTTCGTGGCGGCACGCTGCAAGCACGCCGCAAGCACACTGCAAGCACACTGCAAATGGCAATGCTAATGCCGTCCGGCACGGCCAGCACTGCGAAGCACGTTCTGTACTCGCTGCCCACGCCTCCTCGCGGCGAAAGGAGGGCACCCCCTCCGCCTCCCCCTGCCCGCCCCTGTCCGCTCCTGCCGCCCGCCTTAATGAAACCGAGAGTAAGAATGCCCCCCGCGGCCCCGTCTGCTCGGCCCGTCCCCGCCCCGCCCCGCCCCGCCCCGCCTCCCCGGGCCCGCCGCGTCGTCGCGGCGTCGCGTCCGGCTGCCGCCGCGCTGGTTAATACTCTCGTCAGCTGTGAGTTTTGTGTCCAGTTTTCGCACACGAGTGGCCAAAAAAGTTTCCTACCGCGATACACCAGTGTCAAAAAGTCGCTGAAATAAGTTTATCTACCAAGCAATAACTGGGATTCGCCTGAGCGGCGTTTCTCTACCTCTCGGTCGGTACAGCCCTCTCGCAAGAATGCAGACTTCAAGTTAAAAGACATCCAGCATGCATCCAGGGAGCAGGGGCGAAAAGGAACACCGCGCTGCAGCCGGAGTTTACACTCTCATTCCAGGAACGTGACATCACGTTGAAACGAACGTGACAAAATGTCACGTTCGTTTGAGCATTGTGTCACATTCGTTTGGGTGTGAATTGGCCAAAAAATCAGCTTGTTCACATTCAAACGAACGTGACACAATGCTCAAACGAACGTGACACTTTGTCACGTTCGTTTCAACGTGATGTCACGTTCCTAGAATGAGAGTGTAAGCGTGGTGCAGGAGGGCAACTGGGGCGAGAACGCCTGTCAGCCAGCGGGTAGGCAGTCCCGTTGCACAGCTGTGTCGTGCGGGCTGGCCTACCCGCTGCCTCACAGGCGCTCCACGGCACCCGCGGTGAACGAAATGCCTTGTTCTGGCTTCACAGGCTGGCCCAGTCTGCCCAGTGGTTTCATGTTTGATGCAGGGGTTGGAGTGCACTGACCTGGCCGACAAGGACATGACGACGCGACGCGACGCTGCGGCTGCCTACGGCCGCCCCAGGCGGGGCCTACGGCCGCTTGCCAGCCGCCTTGGCCGCCTTCTCGGACGCCTTCATACTGGAGATGGCACTGACGGTGCCGAACAGGATCTTGGCGGTGACCTGCACGCGGCGCTGCGGCCCTGCCCCGCTGCCGCCCCCGCAGTAGCCGCTCCCGCCGTGGCCGCCGCCGCCGAAGCACGTCGAATTGTTGTTGCCGTTGTGGTGATGCTGATGACAGTTCGCGTTGTGGTTGGCGGTGCCCTTGGTGTTGTTGTTCTTGTCGTGCACGGCGCAACCCTTGAATCCATCGGGCATGTTGAGGCGGTGGTCGTCGTGGTCGTCGTCTCGAAGGAGGCACACTCACACACTCGGCGAACACACAGTAAACGGCACGGGCGCGCGCGAACTGCTCTGCTACTCTGCTACTGGGCGCGAGGGCGCTGGCGAGGCGAGTCCTGGCTCCTGGCTACGTCGGCGGGGCTCTGCAGGGCGCACGTCGGGGAGTCTTGACGCTGCGAGCCTACACCGCCACACGCTCGCCGCTCGCACCCACAAACAATAACAAACTTTCACCCTTGCGCATCGGCGGCACACTGGCGCTCGCGCTCGCGCTCGGCGTCTCCCTGGTCGGCGAAAATCCCGCGGTTTCCCATGAACCGTGCCGAGCCGAGCCGAGCCGAGCCGGGCCGACCCGAGCCGAGCTGAGCTGAGCCGAGCCGAGCCGAGCCGGACCGAGCCGAGCCGGCAACAGGGAGAGCTGGGCACGTGACAGGCCGGGCGGGCTGGGGCGGGCTGGGGCGGGCTCGGGCGGGCCGGGCCAGTACGACCACGTCGTCAGCCAGTACGGCTGCACTGCAGGCTGTGCAGCCCCTACCCTGCCTGTCGGCGGGCCGCCGGGCTGCCCTACCCTCTCCTAGGGAGCCTCCAGCCTCCCCGTTCACCCCGCCCCTTCCCTTCTCCCCGCCTCGTCCAGCCTGCCTGCCAGCCTGCCTGCCTGCCTGCCTGCCTGCCGCGGGGCTCCGTGGAGGTCGTGGAGGCAACGCGCAGCAACGAGTCAGCCGAGGTACCCCTGAGGTACTCTGCCGCAGTTCGGCCCAGAGGGGAAGGGGCCGAAGGGGGCGGGGGGAGGGAGCGCACAGAGACCAGAGGGGAGGGGACGGCGGTAGGACCTTTGGGGCCCAGGACCAGGATCCTCGGCCCAGGGGCCCGGGGCCCTACCCACGCCTTGGCTTGCCCCCACTACGTGTTTACACCCGGATCCAAAAGCCGGCCGGGAGGAGCTTGGTTCAACTGAACGGGTTGGAGGGGGCCGGGGCATGGGGGCGAGGGCCCTCGGCAGGGCTCGGCAGCACGAGCCGAGCGCCCTTGCCCCCCCCCCCCTCTCGCCGTCCCCTACCACCCCCGCGCCAACCCTCCCCCACCCTCCCCTCCATCGCGACGCGACCGACGCGGCCGCCGGCCGGCCTGGAGAAAGGCCCGGCGGCACGGCGAAAGGTGAGGCGGCGACGTCGCGGCGTGTCGCCGGCGTGCTTCTCCGCGCCCCGCCCTCCCCCGAGACGTTCAGGACGTCCAGGACTTGCACGACGCCGTCCTCGGCCGCCTCGGCACCACGCCGCCCGGCGTGTCGCCGGCGTGCTCCTCCGCGCCCCGCCCTCCCCCGAGACATCCAGGACTTGTACGACGCCGTCCTCGGCCGCCTCGGCACCACGCCGCCCGACGTCGCCCCGCTCAAGTCCAGGCCCTGGACCGAGCAGCAGACTCATTCCGAAGGTTCGCTTCGTCGCTCTCTCTGACGCACTTATGGGACGTCCCGTTGGGGTGCGAGTGGGAGACAGAGCGACGAAGCGACTGCTCGGAGTGGCTCGGCCGATCTCCATTCGCGCTTCCCTTTCTACCGAGGGGCCGGGGCTAAAGAGCCTGGGCTGCCTGGGCACCGCGCGCCGCATGGGCTGCACTGCTGCATGGGCTTCATGACGGCGTTGTTGCAGTCCTTGCCCTAACGGTGCCCGGCGCGGTGCCCGCAGAGAGGGAGAGAAGGGAAAACGGCTCCCGAAGAGAGACCGAGCGAGAGGCAGAGGCTGTCCTCGAAAAATCGATCGCGGTGGCGGCACCGTGGTGCTGGCCTGCTGGGCCTGCTGGCTGTGCATCACCTGGGGGAAAGTACGGCCCCTGTTGTCAATGCCCGCTGCCCGCACACGATGGTAGAAAGGCGTGCTTTTAATATCGTGCAAGGAGCATTGCCTGAACACTCATTTCCGCGCACCCACGTATAAAAACTGCAAAAAAGGTGGTTGTGCTGCACTGTGGAGTGGAGTGTGTAAAGACAGAGGCAACGTCCCGACCCGACGGAGTCAAAGGACGTCTTTACTTAGTCTATACTTTACTTTACGTCTATTCTTTGCGAGTCATTCTGATGCAAAATTTAAATTCTTGAGAAGGGACAGGCCTATGCCACATGGCTGGGCCCGAATACCCTCTCCAGAAGCGTTCTGCCCGAACTGAGCCTTGAGTCGATTTGAAGCCTAGCAGAGTCCGCGAGCAGTCTGCTCTGCTTTGAACGTCAGTGTCTGGAACCCTCGCCGCCTGCCTGTGTTGTTGCTGGGGCCCTGCTGGGGCTGGAGCCCTTCAGCTCCCTCGACGACCTCGGCCGAGACCTCGGCCCGGCCTCGGCCCCGACCAAGGCCCGTGCACTCAAGGCCCGGCCCGGCGGCCCAGACCCGCTTTTGTTTTCTGTCCCGATTGACCCACTGCCTTACTTGCCACTTCCTCTGGCATGGCGTCGTCTGCCGCCCCTCCCCCGCCCCGCCCCGGTCGTCGCCGCCGTCTCGCCCTGCCGGCCCGTCGTGTCTCGCCCGTCGCGCCGCCTCCGCCCCTCCCCCGCCCCGCCCCGCCCCGCCCCGGTCGTCGCCGCCGTCTCGCCCTGCCGGCCCGTCGTGTCTCGCCCGTCGCGCCGCCTCCGCCCCTCCCCCGCCCCGCCCCGCCCCGCCCCGGTCGTCGCCGCCGTCTCGCCCTGCCGGCCCGTCGTGTCTCGCCCGTCGCGCCGCCTCCGCTCTCGAGAGGGAAAGGAGTATCGAAATAGAAGTGAAGCCGAAGCCAGGGAAAGGAGGGTGACTGCATGCGCCATGCGTGGCCTGGCGTGGCCATGCGCCTTACCAGCCTGGCAGAGCAAGCCTGGCAGAGCAAGCCTGGCAGAGCAAGCCTGGCAGAGCAAGCCTGGCAGAGCAAGCCTGGCAGAGCAAGCCTGGCAGAGCAAGCCTGGCAGAGCAAGCCTGGCAGAGCAAGCCTGGCAGAGCAAGCCTGGCAGAGCAAGCCTGGCAGAGCAAGCCTGGCAGAGCAAGCCTGGCAGAGCAAGCCTGGCAGAGCAAGCCTGGCAGAGCAAGCCTGGCAGAGCAAGCCTGGCAGAGCAAGCCTGGCAGAGCAAGCCTGGCAGAGCAAGCCTGGCAGAGCAAGCCTGGCAGAGCAAGCCTGGCAGAGCAAGCCTGGCAGAGCAAGCCTGGCAGAGCAAGCCTGGCAGAGCAAGCCTGGCAGAGCAAGCCTGGCAGAGCAAGCCTGGCAGAGCAAGCCTGGCAGAGCAAGCCTGGCAGAGCAAGCCTGGCAGAGCAAGCCTGGCAGAGCAAGCCTGGCAGAGCAAGCCTGGCAGAGCAAGCCTGGCAGAGCAAGCCTGGCAGAGCAAGCCTGGCAGAGCAAGCCTGGCAGAGCAAGCCTGGCAGAGCAAGCCTGGCAGAGCAAGCCTGGCAGAGCAAGCCTGGCAGAGCAAGCCTGGCAGAGCAAGCCTGGCAGAGCAAGCCTGGCAGAGCAAGCCTGGCAGAGCAAGCCTGGCAGAGCAAGCCTGGCAGAGCAAGCCTGGCAGAGCAAGCCTGGCAGAGCAAGCCTGGCAGAGCAAGCCTGGCAGCGGCATGAACCTTCATTAACCTTAAACCCGGCAGCCTAGGCCAGCCAAGCCGGTCCTGCGGCCCTTCGAGGCTCAACCATCGGCAAGCTCACCGAATGATCGAGCGGGGTCGCGATGGAGCCCGTGGTTTTAATGTTTACCGCCTCTTCCATTTGTAATGTTTACAGCGAGACTCTCCTCCACTTTTAATGTTCGTAGTGACTGGCTATTCTCCCTTTGATGTTTAAAGCGAGAATCTTCGACGGAACCGTCCGCGGATGCATCGAACTCGACTGCTGTTGGAGACCTCAACGCCAGCGCCCCACCAGAGGCCTTCCCCTTCCCCTTCCCCGTTGCTTCCTTCGTGCTGGCAGAGCAGGGCGTGAGGACGCCTCTCTCCGCTGCCTCCCCGGTGCCCCGGACGAGACGTCGGTGTACAATGCAGGCGTGGGCGAGGGCCGTATGCCCGCCAGACTCGCCTCTTGTCAGCTGGTCGGGCAGCGAGCCCCGCCCCGCAGCAGGCAGTGGGTCAGTGTAAAGAGGGAACTAGGCCGACCCGCGCCGCCGCACCGCGCCGCGTGGTGCGTGGAATCAAAGTCAACAGCAGTTCGGCCACGTCGAGACGGCACGACGAGGGACGGCATGCGACGGCGTGGGAGGGAAGGACCTGAGCCCTTTCACTTGGGCCGGAAAGGGAAACAGGACCTAAATCGTTTCGTCGCTGTCTCTCTCGCCCTCTAGCGAACGTCCCCCTGAGAGCGATGGAGACAGAGCGACAAAGACGAAACGGTCCTTCGGAGTGCTGACTCGTGCTTATCATGTGCCTCGTCCCTCGTCCTCGCCAATCGTCGTGTCATTGGTGCCACGGGCTATTGGTGCTTATGAACAATGACAATGATGCATGCAAACTTTGCAGATTTTATTACACTTTCACCATTTCAAGTGAGCCATATTAAAACTCTATAAATCTTTAACTTTCGGAAAATAAAACACAAAAATATTACAAATTGCAAAATAAACAAATGATGGAGGCAAGGGATACTGAATGTGCAGTTTTGAATTAAACCCCTCAGTAGTTCTAATGATTGAATTGGTTATACAATAAAACATATCATTGATCTATGCTTTCGTATTTTGCCTAACAATAAAAAAAATACAACTAAGTGTTCTTGATACATTTACCTACATGCTTGGTAAACTGAAGCTTAAATTTCTAAAGCTGCACTTGTGATGACAAACTGCAGCTTAAAATTTCCCATTTATGACCCCCACACATGAGAACATACACACCATTTTATATTTCACTCATGTAAGTTTAAAATTTAAAACTAACTAAAATATTCAATTGTTTGGTAATTTATTGAATTCTGCAATGTAAAGGCAAAAGAGATTACATATTTTAAAAGAATCGAATGGATTGAAAGAAGTACATCACATTCACTTAACTCAACAATCCTGATAAATCTTCTAATATTCATGAAATCTACCTGTTCTCTTCCTAATTACTATTCCTCAAATGTTGGAAAAACCTACAGATTGGAGCTGGGAGATTTGTAGTATTCACAGCCAATAACTGAACATAGGAATAGGGAAAAAAAAAGCAAGATTATTCTGCTTCTTGTGTGTAATGCTGTTAAATACGTGAGGCAGTTCCTTTCCATTCAAATTAGCTGCATATCACTCAAATCCAGTGATTCTGATAACATCACTGTTAGTCAGGAGAGGAAGAGAAACTGATACAGTCCATTAAAGAAAAGTTACTTGTCATATCATTGTTTCTTTAGAGATGAGAAAGAACCTAACAACTGTTGAGACAAAAAGTGTTATCCAACACTACTACTATATCAAAAGCACATTAGTGTCACTGAAAACTAATGTGATTAAGTTCAGGTACGGCTTCCAACAAATACATGTAACTTGTGACAAATCCAGTCATTTCAAACTAACATTAGGATTTTTCCAGCCAAACACCTACTTCATAGTAGGCACAACACTACCAGGTTACAATTCATAAATTAATGGTGGTTCAAAATTGACTGAATTACAAGAAACCGCTGACAAAATGTCCAAGAAATAACAATCCTTTTGTAAAAGACATTTATTAAAAAATATAAGAGAGAGAATACAAGTGACATGAGGATCTGTTGAGGAATTCCTTAGAGGAATTCCAACGATTCCTCATGGAACTGTCTCTTGCTAAAACTGACTACATTTCTTGAACTGTTAATTGATGCTAACCTTAGTTTAAACAGAGTCTTAAGAAACAAACTTATTCTATCTTGTCGAAATGCTTAAATACAACTACAAAGTGTAGCAGAGACAAAGTGATGATATTTACAAGCAGAAAGACCTACATTCTTTCGACAATAATGCATTGTGTAGAGGCGTAACTTCAAAAGATTTTCCCTTTGACTCAAGTTCGTGTAGTCTGAAAAGTACTGCCGTTTAAAGGTGAAGAAATTGCCCCAGTTCCATTGCATAGCATTCTAATAGAAGTTGTAAAAGTTTCCATACAACAGACAGAACTAAGGAAACATGTATCATGATGTCAACAATGGTAAATTTCATAAAGGACTCATTAGAATTTCCAGAATGTTTATTACGCAGTTTCAATTTGTACCGCAACCAACAATAGGAAAGAAAACAATATATAACGAATACGCATTCTAAAAATTAATTCTATCCTTGTTCATGATTTGTAGAATACTTCAAGGGTAAGCTTAGATGACACTAAAGGTACTGTAAAATCATTCGCCTTGTTATATTTTTCAAACCATCATTCTCATATGGAATATGTTTTACTGTATAACCATGCGCTTTATTATTTACAATTAAAACCTAAATAAACCAAAATTCTTACTGATATAACCATATTAAATTACAAAAAAGTTCCATTTGCATTTTGCAGTCACTCTTTCTTTAACTAAAACCTATGTACAAAGAGGAGACGGGTTAGGACGCAGCATTATAAATTAATAAACATATTTTACACACATATGGGATATCAACCAGAACACACATGCGCACTCTCTCAGACATACACTCATAGTTACAAAGAAAGCATATATTAGAGAAATATATATTTGTATTTATATTTTTATATATATTTATATAATAATTTTTTGTGGGTTGCAACAATGTAGCAGTGAAAAAATTGATTGAACATAATCACTTCCCACCCTTTGCACAATTTGCACTTGTACTTTGTCAATATGGTGTTGTCAAATCCAACATAACAGGGCTCTTCAAATGCAACATTAACTGATCTATGATTCTCAAATCAAAAAAGGATTGAACAAGCATAGCAAAGAAACAGATTTTGTGCAAGTTATAAATGGAAAAGAAAGCTGTAACAGCTAGAAAAGGTTAAAATTTTACCAACACTGCAAGTCAACTCCAATCAGGATGGAAGCAGAATGCTATGATAAACTCATTCAGAGAATATTTAAGCAATCAAACGTGGATTTTTCAAAACAATTATCACCGGTTTGAGGATTTCAATTTAGGAACACAGAAGATTCTTTGAGATAGATTTTGCAGTAAATGCTTATCTATCAACACTAAGTGATGTTGTGGAAACCTTAAGCAATAGGAGTAATGCATTTGCTCATTGTTTAACACTAACGTTTGGCACACTGCAAACAAACTGCTTGGAGTTTCATTAAAGTCCTACAAGAATAAAATATCAAACAAAGGTTCTGAATTCACAACAAACAAAAGCTAGGTAACAAGGTGATATCTGCTAGACTGAGTACGGGACCTAACTCCCAGATTCACTACCATAGAAACCTTCATTGTTGACCACCAAGTGAAAATTGCTCAGCGTGATGAGGTACTGTGAGCAAACAAATACCAACCCATTACATTGCCCCTCCCATCAAAGTGCCACAATCCATAAGACACATTCACATCTCAATGCAAAAACCGTTTGCCTGTAGCTTAACTTAAAGAGGATTTGAGAATAAAAAATATTACAGCTTTGGTTTCTTTTGCTCAAGATACATCACCGAAAGATAAAAATTTTGAGAGGGGGCAGCAGGAAGGGGGACATATTTAGATTCCAAAAATGAGTAAAACTTTTGAGGGAAATTTTCTGTAGTCAAAGGAGAAATAGATAGAAACAAATTCCATTCGTAAAAAAAGCAGCTTCGCTGCAAAGCTCTAGAGCTCCAAGTTAGCTTTCTATAAATATATTAAAGAAAAATTTAAACTAATATAATCACCTAGTCATACAAAGAAGGGAGGACAAAAACACAAAAACAAATGCATCCAGGCACTTATGTGGAGAGTAATTAATGTTCTTTAACACCTTAAAGACCCTAAGGAAAAATGCAAGAGAAATTGATAGATGGAACAATATGTACAAAAACCGCTTGCAAAGAGCATTCGTCCACACAAATGTCATTCAATCTAATTTGTATTATAATGTATATTCAATAGATCAACAGCCTAACAGTAAACAAAAACCCGCTATTGCCACCATCTAGTAAGGTTCTGTACTTGTTAAAATGGAAGTTTATCTTTTGAAGCATGTGAAGTTCACACCCATGAACGGTACTGTATAAGAAGGCATGTAAAGATAACATTCACATCCACATTACAGTACTTTCATTTGTTCATGGAGTACGTTAAGTAGTATTTGAAATTATATTAACTCCTTTATGAAGGAGAACAAGCAATAAAAAAATAACAACGTAAACACGTACACCACAACAGTCATTGTGAAACTGAACATGCAGCACTAAAGTTGGATAAATCGTAGCACGATTAGTTGAGATTCGACCCAAATAGATATAGATGGGGTGAATGCTTCACATTAAAAATGTTTATCATTGCACATAGATCAAAGGCAACATTGTACAAAAACAAAAACAAAAAAATGGTTAAAATCCATGACAGTGTACATGGCCCAGCAACACAACACTCATACAACAACTAATATGATTCACTCAGTAACAAAAACTTAATTTAAGTGATCACTAAAACTCTAAATTGAGGCAGCCCTTTGAAACATCTCCGCAGCTCACCGAGTTCAACAGATACATACAAAGGAAAAAAAAAAAGAGGGGTGGAGAAAACATCAATATGGATGAGAATGATGATTGCAATGAGGTGGGATGAATGTAGCTGGTGATTGGTAACTAGCAGAGCTCAAAGATTGCAACATTATAAATTTCATGAGAGAAACCAGCACCATTTTTCTGAATTCTAGAGTGGACACAATGAATGAATGCAGCACAAGAGCAGAGAGTCTGCATATCTACATAAATATCACACTAAGGCTTACATCGAAGATAATTTGAAAATGTGTAGAAATGAACTAAACAAAAAATAATATATTAATTTGCATTATTATCAACATGATCATTTCAATGCCACTCATATTCTAAGAAATACCGGACTGGTTTCTTTGCATGTGTTCATGAACCTACATAGCTTGGTAAACTAGTGATGGTGATGTTGCAACATTATGGTACTGGTCTCAGTTTGAGTTGGGAGTACTACTGTCGCCTCCATGTGATGCTGATGATCCTCAATAGATCCATCTTCATTGACATCTTCAGTATTTGGTAAGATCGACAATACTGGAGAACCATCCTCCATAGTCTGTTGATTTGTTTGTTGGTCTTGGCCGGGGATGCCCATTGTAGTAATCTCTTCCTTAATTATTTTTTTGAGATGACTCCGTGCATGCTTCCTTAGGTGGTCTTTTCTATAGAAGCCTTTTCCACACTCTGGACATACCTGTAATAACCATTTAAGGGTCAGCAAACAGCATACAAGAAAAATGAAGTCCGAGCAGCAAAAAAAAGTTGCTTTGCTAATTTGAGAACAACACATTACCTGTGTCTTCTCGCCTGAATGAATGACAACATGTAAGTTCAAGTGTTCCTTGCGCTTGAAGCCCTTAAAACATGTGTCGCATGTGAATGGCCGCTCAGGATTGTGCCCTAGCTTGTGGCGCTCCAAGTGTTCCTTCCGCTTCAGAGCAGCTCCACATGTGTCACAAATGAACCTGCGTTCTGTTTTATGGACAGCTAAGTGTTGCTCCAACAATTCTTTCTCAGAATATGCCATGTTGCATTCAGGGCAACAGAACAAGGTAGTACCATCCAGTGCAGTAGCTATAGTGACCTATGAGACAATCAAACAGATTTAGTATAATTTCATACTGTTGAATTCATGTCAAGTTGTTTGAACTTAACAAAGATATGATGAAAGTTATTAATGAGCAGGGATCAACAGTACCTGTCCTGGCCTTGTTTTCTTCGGTTTCGGATTCTTCTTTTTGTATTTCTTCTTGACTTTATTGGTTTTTTTCATACCATCGGCCATTCCCTGAGTCCCATCAGTTGCAATTGTCATGTCTGATGAGTGATCCTGGGCCAACGGGTCCTCGGAAGAAACAACAAGATCATTTGACATTCCCTCAGGCGAATGTGTAGAAAGGGGTGATGATTCATTTTCAGTTTCCCGTTTAATAGTTGGAGCAAATTTTAAGAAACTTGTGAGGCCATGTGGAATCGCAGCTGGCAATTTTGCCAGGCAATCTGCAACCTGTACCATAGAAATTGACAATATAATAAAAATGAAATCTTGAAAAATAGTGTGTGTTGTGAGTGAGAAGCAAACAAATGACCTACCGTAGATCCAGGCTGCACTAAACTTGTCCAATTATTAGGCATTTCAACATACTGTTGAACAGTTTGCTGCTCTCCGAACCCTTTACCTTTCTCAACTTTCACAGAAATTTTATTACCATTGGCTTGAGATTTGTCTGCATCACCATCTAGGAGGAAGGGGCAAAAAAAAGAAAGCAAAAAAATTAATATGAGGAAACTTAAAATTGCTTACTTGACACAAATTGAAGTTGCTTCTGCACTTCCACTGCCATAAGCAACATTGAAAAAGGAGAAAATAAATTACCATCTGTTTGAGTTTGTATCTGTATAGTGTGCTGCTGGTTGTTATTATTGTTGTTACTGTTGCATTCTCCATTTTCTGTTGAGGTGGACTGTGTTTGTTGAGTTTGTTGTATGGCCTGCATCAGTGGGACCTCGACAGCATCACCTTTAAAGCATTATCATTTAAGGGGTTAATTTGCATAATGTTGGTTAAATCAATGGGATTCAAGATACATAGTGGGCTACAGATAAAACTTAACAAACTTTAAATCTTTAAGTCTTTCTTACCTTGCTGGTTATTATAGGCAAACTGGACAACAGTAGCATTTCCTGGGGCTAGTATTGGGCCCATGTGGTACTTGGGCTGGTTGCTGTCGCATGCAATGGCTCCTGTAATGGCTTGGCTACTAGGTGCAACAACTTGAATTTGAAGCATCTGCTGCTGTGGAGGGTCACCAGGTTTACTTCCAGGTACTTGGACAGGAATGGAGATAAAAGTAGGTTGCACCTAAAAAAAAATACGCAAAGAGCAATGAAAACACACAGGAAAAGACAGAAAAATGAGTAACAATGTCATTGAATTTGACTTATTACCTGGTTCTGCTGTGTTGTAACAGTTTGAGGCTGAGCAAGATTGACAGTGAGGCCATTTTCAACAGGTCGGACGTAGGTTACTCCATCTTCTGTCACTTGACTGAGAACCCCCAGCACCTTCACACCAGAAAAAAATTTTCATTACAATTCTTGTTTAATACATTTGATAAAAATTTGGTTTCAAAGGAAGTAAAATGTCATACCTGTCCAGCAGGCGCAGCGACATTCTGTGCAAATTTAGCAGTTGTGTAATGCTGCACAGTGCCAGCTGGCACCTGTGTAGTAAAGTGACCACTAAATGGCGTGTAATTCATTTTGATGCTGGAAAAAAGGGTAAAATCACAGAATGGGTATTAGAAAAATTCAGCAGAATTCTACAGATAATGACCAAAATGAAGAAACAAATGTAATGAGATGAAAAGTTTAGCAATAGAAAGTCATTAACTACTGTAAAATTTAAAGTACAATTATATTCTGACATAATCAATGCAGCATCAAATTTATTTTACATGCATTTAAACACGACGGGAAAAATTGTTTATGTTTATTTCAGAAGATATATTCTAAGTTCAAATTAACACACTGATAATGTGATAAAAGAATTCACAACACGTTAAGTAAAAAGACAAAACGGCGGTTGATTTAAATAATAGAGAAAATTTAATACAAGCACCATTCTGCTTCCTAACCTCATCTTGCCCAGTGTCTAAATGGAAGGGGAAAAGAGACGTTTCAATGGAGAAGAAAACTAACAAACTAAGTGAGAATGAAATAATTTAATAATTAGAAATACTTTTAATAGAAGTGGTAAACGTGAATGAGGTTTTACTGTGAAACCTGTCAAGCTTATTGGCCACATCACTTTGAGGTTAAGGGACGGCAAATAATTGTGTTAAATAAAAACTTTCAATCAAAATCTTGGGCGTTTAGTGAGCAAAATCGAGGAAAGAGGAAAAAGTTATGACTACTCAACCAACGCGAGGTCTTAAAACGGCGAGAAAAGAGCCTTTCACTTCCAACGGCAGGGCTAGATTTCTCTTTTTGAAGGCACTGAAGCCAGGGTATACATTAGCAAAACAAGATCATATATCAGAGATTTCAGCGAATGTATAAATTAAAGGATAAAAAAAGACTGAGCAGAATTCGCTAATAGGTTCGTCCCAAAGTAGCTCAGAAATAATTCGGAGGAAAAGTAATTCCCGGACAACAAGACCTACTTACCTCAAAAGTAGCCTAGTGGCACTTTCTCAAAACCCCGCTCACACTGAAGCCAACGGGCTGTCACCGGGGTCGACTTGAGTACGATCCAAATATAGACATGGGTATCCACAAATTCACAAGCACTCACTTTTAAACTTTTCTACACAAGTTTAGCACTTGATTTCATATCTTGATGAATAACTTTTCATTGAAATAGGCTTAAGAGTACGTCCGTTGAAATAGGGTCACAAGATGGGAAGCGCGCACACTACTCGCTGAAGCCGCTGGCACTCAATGCGGCGTCGGTTTCGGTTAAAAAATGTCTCCTAAGGGAAAACATGATTCCAAGTTTCGACTAAGATGTAACACAATTCAAGGAGCGTAAGAAAATAGCAGTCCGCACACCAAAAAATGTCAACAACTACACACGAAAACACCTGCTGTGCTTCGCGATATTGCGTTGTTTTTCTATCGAAGTCGACGCCATGACAGTCGCTCGAGGGGACGGGAATCGATAGTCAGTTGCCGCCTAACTTTCAGAAAGTAGTCCCGATCGTTGAAATGGCGGCAATTCGTTTACATTTCTAGGATGTAGATTTATGCTCGGACTGAACGCAAAACAAACCGACAAGGAAGGGAGACTTCTGAAAAGACATTCTGAGAGCTAATTGTCCCCCAAGGGTCTGTCCGAAAATACGTGTGGGAGCGAGGCGAGTGGCGCCGATTTTGAGCTGGAACTGGCGTGGATTCGATCAAACAATGTGATGCTCAATTCAATTTGAAGCACCTCAAAGCACGTTACGACACGACCACGACTTATTTGTTCGGCCCACCCCCAGAGGCAGCCAGAGGGCCAGGAGCATTGCCAGGCCACTGCAGGCCACCCGCCTTAATGCGCATTGAATCCCTTCCCTTCGCGGCCGCAATAACGGGGTTTTGTATTTACGACCAGCTAGCAGTGTATCATCTTCCTTGGGCCGCTGGGCATATAGTGTGAAAGATGAAGTATGGCGGGGGAATGCGGTGATTGCGGCGCACAATGGCGTGGCCACGCCAAAGCGTCGACTCGACTCGAGCGTCGAGCGCGTTGAGCGTCTCGCGGCTTGTCCTCGTCCCTTTGTTCCGCTCCACGTTCTCCGCGTTGCCGGAAGTACGAGTAAGGTGAGGCAACTGTCTTTTTTGCTGGGTTTTGGGTTGGCAGCATTGGGCACGGCCACGGCCTTCTGCGAGAAACCTAACGTTTCTGACGTCATTGTATGGCGGACCTCTCATGGGACAAATTGCCATGGTATCAAGTGATGGATTTTTATCCATTTTAATCTGATGAAATCCAAGTCGCAGCAAAATTAAATAAACGTCAAATTGGATATCGAAACTCCATCTTTTCTTTGGATCAGTTTTATTCCCTACTATTCCCAGTTAAATTTTTTAAGACCCGAAACCTTGGAATCGTATAGTCCAGCTCGTCATCCTCCAAGGATTGAAATGCAAGAAATTAACCTCGAGGAGCCTCAATAGAAGGTCTTGGTGAGTAAAAACTAACTCCCTGTCTTGATAAATACTCCGAGGGGCCTCCAAATTCAAGTGTATGATCAATAGTAAATGGAGCCTATGATCTAAAATGGCGGAGTGTTAGTTTGCCTAGTTGGCTGCCAAGAAACATTTAATTTCGAAGCTTGTAATGTTCTGAATTTGAGGAATTAACGTTCTGTTATCAAATTTACATTCTCCTACCTTGAGAGGTATTTACATCAATATGTAACTTGAAGGTTAAGGGGGAGGTTGAGGTTAAGTATTATAGGGGACGCAAACTGGTGCCACCCAGCCGGCTATTTCTTTAATTTACGAAAGCTTCCTTAACTTAGCAGGATTTATTGTCTCTGTGCACGGATACGACCAATCTTAGTTGAATTTTATTACTTTCTGTGCGAAAATGTGTTATTAGAACCCCTCTGATGCCCTGAAGTCACAACACCAATGTTGTGTTTTACTTCATTATTTAACTTGTAAGTTTTGTATTGCTGAAATTACACTGCAGTGATACTCCAGACGAGCTTTCTCACTGTTTATTGGTCATCTGTAGTTTTTATTTTACCAATAATAATTTCATGATTTGGTTTTTATCCTGTCTGGTCCAACCCCAAATGACTTATCCTCCAAAGTGGACTTTGCTGACCTTGCAATTGTGAATAAATTTGGTCTCTGTACAAAACTTAATTTTTCCAAATTACTCCTACTCTTCTTGTATGCCCCTCAAACTAGTGTCCATCCATAAGGATAGTTTTGATAGTACTGAACCAGTGTCAATTATGATGTTGCCATAACTTGCTTTGGTTAGCAAATTGATCAGCAGTCTGCTACCTGATGATGAATTGAGTGTTCTTCATGAGTGTGGCTCCATCCATCTGAGTTGGGCTTAGAATTGCTACTTTCAGAAATATTTTTGTTAAGTTCTACCATTTGTCACCACTTTTTTTTTTGGTTTTCCTAATGTATTTTTAACTAATTGCATGTAATCTACAGCATGTTCAAAGGTGTCTTGGTGTTTATAAATGCTTTGAAAATCTTGGCTTGTGTTGGTCTTGGAAATTTGCCTTAACCTACCACAACCAGTTTTGGTTGTTCTCCTCTTATTATTTCATGTGTATTTATTGAATTATCAACTGAACTGTCCAGTAATTTGTCTTGTTTTCTCTACATTCTTACAAAAAAAAAGTAATTAATTTCTGTCCTTTCTAGAGAGCTTCTTGTATATTATTCCTGATTTTCCTCAATTGGGAGCATAGAGTTCTGTAACTAAAAAAGTGGAACAGTACTCAAAATTATGCTTTGGTCCCTTTTTACTTTAATCAAGTTAGTATGGAACTTTAGTTTCTCATGTTGGTTTTTAGTTCTAATTTTCAAATGGCAACAAATAGTCAAAGAAACACAGTACTTTATGTTGTTTTGTTAATCAGTTAAGCCTATTATTATATTTTCCTTTGGTATTGCAAGATGTCATATAGTATGTGTCACATTGGTACTGAGATAGATTTATTAATCTGAAAGCATGTGATTTTCATGTTGTTCTCTTTTATCATTGCATTTATCCTGTGTTTCATTCACATGCCTGTGATTCTGTTTTATTTTCTTAACTATTTTGCATTGAAAGGTTTGCTTACATTTACTGCTTCCTGTGCAGGTGCTGGCTTTGCTACTGTGGTGTACATAAATCCTGCTTGATGAATCTTGCTTAGCTTCAATTATGATGAGGTGAGAACTAGGTATTTTTGTAAAGTGTAGCTCATTCCAAGGGTTTGTATTTGTTTGGGGCATTGTTTGGGGATTTTATTCAAAAGTTTCATGAGTTCTATTCAGGACCCTTTTTATAACATGCAACTAATTCTTGTATAAGTCTTATTTTGATAAAAACATTCTGTTTCAGGGGTCATGCCAAGTGGTCGTGATGCAGAACAGAACGGCACTGTATCAAGTAGACACCGGCCAGAGAACTCCAAGGAAGGAGCCCTGTCGGATGATTCCGGGAACGCCTTGGGGTTAAATAGCATGCAGCAGTCCGATGATGGCTCATCTGAATTAAGACACAGCCATCACTCAGAAAGCAAGAAGAAAAATAAGCGCAAGCAAAGGGAAGCTGATCGAGATCGCCCAAGCAAAACCCTTCCAATTGTTGAATACTCGGATGTGAGTTCTGAAGATCTTTCTGCACCAGAAGCTGGAGAGATCCAAAGTGAAGACGGATTTAATCTAAGTGAAGGGGAAGTAAGTCCTCAATTACAACTCTCAATGCGTCACCACAGCGACTCTCATAGGCACAGCAGCAGCAGCAGTAGCAAACATCATAGAGACAGAAAAGCATCAGACTCAAGATATTTGTCACCTTCTCCAAGTGAAGCTCGCCATACACACAGACGGTCGTCACCTTCTGGAGCCCCCTCTACTCCATCACCTCCGCCCAAAGGTACGAGACACAAGGAATCCTCCGAATCGAGGCATCGGAAACACAGAGATAATTCGCCCTCATTTCAACACGAAGCTAGTGACTCCCCCCCAGAATATCATTCAAAGAATGATATTCATGCCATGCGGCAGAAGGGGAAAAAACATAAACGAGACCGAAAGCATGAGAAGACTTCTAGGCATCCATCTCCTAGGAAACGAAGAAAGAAATCGAAACATCGTTCCCGTGATTCCAGCCAAGCTGCAACAAGCAGAAATGTGTCTCCTCCCAGTGCTGCATCACCAGATTCTGCTGATGGCTGGGAGAGATCGGTAGCACACAAGCATCATTCCCGAGACTCAAGTCAAACAGCCATGAGCAGAAACGTGTCTCCCCCAGGTATGCCGGGCTCTCCGAGATCTGCTGCTTGGGAAAGACCTGCCCCTCTTGAGGACAGTAGGCTTTCATTCAGGGGTACACCTCGTACTCCACCTTTAAAACAGGCCCATGGTCCAAGCACTTCTCCTGTGTCCCCTCCTTCACGCGGTGCTGGAAGTGACATGGACATCGCAAGTGATGAGCGTGACAGCCCTTCTTACCCTACAGCAAATCAACGACGTCGTGGCAGTGTATCAGCCCAGTCCCCTCACACTCCACCTGTCCCATCCCAGCTGCCTCGTGAAAATGCTGGTGGCAGGCAGACTCCTCCCAGTCCCAGCCCGAATCGCCGGCACGTGTCTCCCAACTACAGTCGCCGCTCTAGGAGTCCTGAAGGTATGTCTCCTACTTTCTGCTTTGTTTAGTTGTAACCTTTGTAAACTTGAAATTGTCCCGTAGAGATTTGGGAAATTTCTGATGTAAGATGTTTCTTAACGTATGCGGGGAAAGAAAGTGGAAATTGTTAGTGGATTAAATAAAGTACTTTTCAAATTTCACACACTTTTATTTGCCTTTTAGGAATGAGCTATTTTAATGCATCTTCTGTTCTTTCAACATGTTTTTTTCCTAATCTTTTGCAGTGAGAACAAGGGATGGAAGAACTCCAAGTCCTTCTAGAGTAGCACGTCTGCCACCAGATAATAATGTTAATAGTCAATCAATTCGTCAAGATGAATGGAGAAGTCCTCCATTGATCTCGTCTCCAACTCCATCTAAAAACAGGTCTAGAAGGTAAGTGGCAATGTGGTGTGAGTGTGTGTGAGAAAGAGATATTTTTGATATCATTATTACTATCAATGCATGATAAACTCTATGCTCAGGTCTGCGAGTCCTCCAAGGAAATCACGGCGAACCGACAAACGTGAATTGGAACAAATTATTGTTCATAGACTCAATGATAGCCGTCCACTGGATAGGGAAAGAGATCGTTTGGAGGAAGATTCTTATGATAGAGAATCCAAAAGGGATAGGGACAGAGAGCCTGCATATCTTGATAGAGAAAGATATGACAGGGGACCTAGGGAAAATCGGGAGAGACAGGACAGATATGATAGATCTGACCGTAGTGAAAGGAAATCACATCGGAGAGATAGGGATAGAACAAGATCACACAAACGTTCGAGGAGGTCAAGGAGCCGATCTCGGTCTCCTCTTCCATCAAGGTATTTGGACATTTTTTCTATTTTCCTCCATACCTCCCACCTGCTGTTCTGATATTTATATTTAACTAAATTTGTTTGAAGGGCTCGCAGGTCTAGTCGCTCACCTGTGTCCAGGTCAAGGAGCAGGAGTCCTGCTCGCTGGAGGGCGTCTAGAAGCCGTTCTCCTGCTGGAGCACCAAGATCTAGGCACTGGAGTGCATCTCCAAACCGCTCAAGAAGGTCTGTTGAGTTAAAAGTATTATGATAACTTATCTGAAAATATTATCCACAAAGTTAATCAATCCTATTATCCTTGTCACAAAATGTATCTCATTATTACTGGACTCATCATTCAATTTTTTTTAAATATCAGGTCTTCCAGTAGGGGTCATAAAGTATCTGGCAAGAGAAGGTCACGGACAAGAAGTCCTGTACGAGGACGCCGCTCGCGAAGCCCTCGATCACCACCAGGCAGAAGTCGCATTTCTTCTAGGAGTCCTTTAAGAAGCCCAAGAACTCCAAGAAGTCCCACATCAGCTACCGCACGCCGTCTTCAAGCAGAGGTTTGCTGACTAACATGTTAACACTTTTTATATTTGTGTTTCAAGGTATCATGATGTACTGATGGTCCATTGTGTTTGTTAGGCAAAGATTGGTGACACCAGTCTAGTTGCTGAAATCATGAAACGAAACAAGGTCGTCAGGCAATCGGCATTGAAATCCTTGGAAGCACTGGGTAAAAAGAAGAAGGCAAATGACGACGATGGCGATATCACTATCATTGAACCTGATGGAGGTTTGTAACTCAATAAATGCAACCAGTGCAGAACTGTTGCATCACAATCAACATGTGTTAAAATCTATTTCTTCTCATTTATTTTAGATTCCCAGTCTTCTAAGAATGGTCTAGAAATGGGGCATTCTGATTATACTGCTCACTCAAGTGATGTCAACCTCATACCTGTACCAGTCTGTGACGCAAGTCAACTTGTAAGTTATGTTGTGGTGTTGTGGTTTGGCTACATTGGTCAGTGGAATGAACTTTGATTGATTGTTTCAGCATCCTGGAATGAACTATTCCATGATGGACGTGGTGCCGCCTCCAGCGCCACCTCCAGGCTTGTCTGCGTACATGTACCCTCCTGGACACCCTGGACACCAAATGGTGCCCATGATGCCTCCACCCCATACATTCCAAATGGTGAGCAGTCTCTTTTTTCAACTCGCGACTGATGGGTTTGGGAGGGGTTTTGGTTTCTAACCTCCGGATTCTGTTTTCAGCCGCCTGGAATGGCTCCAGGCCTAGGAATGATCCCCCCACACCCTTCGCACCCCCCGCCCCCGCCGCAGATGGCGTCGAAGCAGCCGCCTGCTCTGCTTCCGCCAATGCAGATGCAGCCGCCGTTGCCCAACATGTCGACGCCGCCGCCTCCCGTGAGGCCGATGGGTGTTCCGCCCATGCCGGGGGCCGTGCCAGGCGCCGTCCCCGGGGCCCTGCCGGGGGCCGCGCCCCTGATGCTTCCTGGCCATCCCGGTCACCCTGGTCACCCTGGACATCCGGGTCACCCAATTCATCCCGGTCACCCCGTTCACCCGGGACACCCCGGACACCCGGGACACCCAGGCCACCCTGTGCACATGCCTCTGCCCGTGCCGCCCCTCAGCGGCCCGCCCCCACACTCCATTCCAAACGGCGAGGAGCGTGGGGCCCGCGGCGTGGACCGGGTGGACGCCACGGCCAAGTCGGAGACTCCAGTCCGGTCGAAGGCGAAGAGCCTCACCAAGCTGCCCATGCCTCCTGGCCTCAACCAGAGTGATTTGGAAACCATAGATTCTCCTCCTAGTCGAACTCCAAGCCCGGAACCGGAACCGAAACCTAAAACTCCACCAAAGAAGGGCATTAAAGATTTGCCTCTTCCTCCAGTTGTGGGTTCAGAAGATTTTAGTCCTGACGAAGATGGACCCCTTACTCCACCTCAACCAACTGGGATGTCAAAACCAACTGTAGGAAAACCTGCAAAGGGAAAATTAAAAAGGCCTAAAATTGTCAACAAGCGACGGCCCTCACGGAGCAGCATGATCCCTGCCATGGGAGGCAAAGACTGGGGCGAACGCTGTGTTGATATGTTTGACGTGATTACACAGATTGGCGAAGGTACTTACGGTCAGGTGTACAAGGCTAAGGATAAGAGAACAAGTAAGTATATATCTTGCTCTTAACCTTCAGTATTTTTTCTTGGCGTCACAACTAGACAGAAATTGTACTTTGCTTTTACAGAGGAACTTGTTGCTTTAAAGAAAGTTCGTCTTGAAAATGAGAAGGAAGGTTTCCCCATCACTGCTGTAAGAGAAATAAAAATTCTGCGTCAATTGAACCACAAAAATATTGTTAACTTAAGAGAAATTGTTACTGACAAACAAGATGCATTGGACTTCCGAAAGGTTAGTACATTCTCTATAGTTCCACTTTTGACCATTGAGTTTAAAATGTCTAACTTGCCTCTTCGTTTGTTTAGGACAAAGGGTCATTCTATCTAGTTTTTGAGTACATGGACCACGATCTCATGGGCCTTTTGGAATCAGGCTTTGTAAATTTTAGTGCTGTCCATAATGCTTCCATTATGAAGCAGCTGCTGGATGGATTAAACTATTGTCACAAGAAAAATTTCCTTCACAGGGATATCAAGTGCAGTAACATTCTGATGAACAACAAGTGAGTGATAATGTTTTAATTCCTTCTGCCCAGCTGTATGAAGGGCATGTCATGATTTGTGCTTTGCTCCAATTTTCAGAGGGGAAGTGAAGCTGGCAGACTTTGGTTTGGCTAGGTTGTATAATGCTGAGAACAGAGATCGCCCTTATACTAATAAGGTTATTACCCTGTGGTATCGGCCCCCTGAATTGTTGTTGGGTGAAGAGAGATATGGACCTGCTATTGATGTATGGAGCTGTGGCTGTATTCTCGGTGAACTCTTCAATACAAAACCACTTTTCATGGTATGGAATTTCTAGTTAATATTTCTTTTTATTTGTTATGTATGGTTCACATTTTAATTGATGTTGGTTGTTTATGACAGGCAAATACAGATTTGATGCAGCTGGACAAGATTTCATATCTTTGTGGCACACCCACCCCTGCTGTTTGGCCTAATGTTATAAAGCTTCCTCTTTGGCACACAGTGAAACCCAAGAAAACGTACAGACGGCGTTTAAGGGAAGAATTTGAAAAGCAAATGCCACCTTCTGCTCTAGATTTGTTAGACCGTATGTTAGAATTGGACCCTGATAGAAGAATTACAGCAGAGGATGCTCTGAAATCATCTTGGCTGAAGACTGTCCAGCCTGAAAAGTAAGTCTTTCCCTCTTCTAGTTTCCCTTTATAATTGTCATTCTTGCTAGCAGATGTACTTAGTTGAAGGACATTTATATTTCTGAAGCTTGGTAGTGAACCTGAGTGTTCTTTGTTTCAGTATGCCACCCCCTGACCTTCCAGTAACACAAGACTGCCATGAAATGTGGAGTAAGAAAAGACGAAAACAAATTCGTGAGCAGCAGGATCCTAGTTCTCATGTTCCCCAAGGGAAACCTCAAACCTCCAAAGATAAGCCAACTAAGGCGCCATTTGATGACAGCTTAGAACAGGGCGGGTAAGAAACGTTTCTATTGTATTTTTCTATCCTTGTCAGCATTGGATGTTGAGAGCTCTGGCAGCATGTGCAGGCCTGTTTGAAAAAAATAAAAAGCTTTAAATATCATTTGAGGGTGATTGGTTAGTAGGCTGTTGTTGGGAATGCCTGATGTAGTTGGATGATGGAAACATCTCCAAGTCTTTTTAACGAATTTTCTTTGTAAGAATTAGATCCATTTTACTTACTTTTCCCAGTTGTCTAATTAGATTTTGCTGCTATTGCTGTTCTATTGGATCCTCAACATCATGTATTTATTTTGTTTTATTCTAAAAACCATATCAATGAATCTATTGATATAATTTACAACAATATGAATTTGTGATATATTTAGTCTGTCTTTGCCCCAATAAGTTTCAGAAGTATCCGTTGCGAAACACTTTATATCAGTTAAGTTATTGAGATCACCAAAGTGGAGGCAAGAGTGTTAATTATTGACACTCATTGCTTTCAGACATTTGAATAGTTAGATTTTTGTATGTGGATTTTACACTTAAGTGGTCCAGGGCTTACTCATCCAAGACAGGTAATGAAATTTTGTACATTTGTATGGTAGGATGCTGTAAATAGGTATGAATATATTGTCTATAGATATATATAATAAATATATATGTACGTATGTAAATGCAAGATGTGATCCATGAAGTATTGTGCATGGTTATACCACAGAATCAGTGTTGATTATCTTCTCTCACAGATTTTTCTTTGTTTTCTCCATTTTTCTCCCTTGCACTTTGTGACAAACTCTGAGGTTGAAATTGAAGGTCTTACTGCCTTAGACTTAAATGTGCCAACTGGGCAATGAAACTGAGTAGTTTTTATGTTTTTTTATCAGATTGAATGAATTGTTATAACTCTTCCTTTTGGAGGAGGAAATATTTTGTGTATATAATTGCATTTGACATCAGTAGGTGCAAAACTAGATGTCAATAAAGAACTACCCTCATGTTAATGTTTTTTGTTTATTTTTTAAAATAATTATTTTATGTCTGATCCCTTTTCCTGTCCCTCACCATTCAATGGAATAACAGGTTTCCCTCACTCAGAAACACACACAGTAGAACAACTTGAGGCCCTCTCTGCTCAGAGTCCAGTATTCACTGTAGGTTGCATGTTTGTTGTAAAGTAGACTTGCTTGGTAATCTGTTATCAATCAAAGTAGTATCTCGTTCACAGAAAATCTTACTGGCCATGGTTTGCTAATCTTAGTTTGGTAGAACCCTTAGGATGGTGGTTGAGCTCTTCATTAATTTACTCATTTCATATGTTGTACCGTACATTGCATGTTTTATAAGAAATTGAGGTGTAGTTGCTTTAGATTTAGAGAACACACAGTGGTAGCTGTTTGGAAATTCGAATTCCTACCTGAAGTTGGGTGCATTCCCAAGGTGTATGTATTTTGAGGATGGTTTCTTCAACTACACTTTGGTGTATGAGACTATGTTCCAAAATGTTTGTTAGACCCACTTGCTTTTGTAAAATCTCTACAATTGCATTCTAATTTAACACTTGAGTTCTACTTTCAATCATGGCAAGCTTCCGGAGGGCCTTCATAAAATTTATTAACGTCTTTGCATTTTTGAAACAGAAGGCAAATGTGGCTTTTTGGAACACAACACAATCTTGTTATTGTGTGGTGTGACCATGTTATTGTTAATTTCTGTTTTGTAGGTGAGTTCCTTAATTGCCAATGCCAGTGTTTCCTCTCTGCTTGCCAATCATTATAAAATGTCTGTACCATGAACTTTTGTCGTACACCTACTTTCTCCCCTCATTTAGTGATTAAAATTGTTGCAAAGTTATAGTTTTGTTTTAGAAATTTGCCTCTTGCATTTGAGTGCAACAAATATTTTATCTTCATCAAAATATATTACTATTATCATTTTTGAAAGCTGCTTGTGCTTGCATAGTGTGATCTTTGGCTTGTTATTTCAGATCAAGTAACTCATTTCCAATGAAGCAAGCCTTCTATGACAGGTAACGAGTTCTTTATTTCCCTAGACTAAGTTTTGAATTGTCTTTTCTTTTTGCCAGAATGAGGCCACTTCTATATAAAACCTGTTACTTCTTTGCAATTAATTTGCTTTCTTCTATTTTCCCCTTTTTTTCAGTTCCTCCAAAAATCTTAAGATGGAGGCTGGCTTTACGTATCATGCCTCTAACAATGAATTCAACCATCAATCAATGAATGCAGCAATTGCTGCAGCGACTGGAATGAACTCTCCAGCTGCACGTCGATCAAGGCAATCCTCACCTTCACGACCCAGTCGCAATCTACCTTCATATTCTCCACCTTTGCCAGATGAAAATATCCTCCCCGATGTCTCTCTCCAGAAGCAACTCGCTATCATTGCTGATTACGTTGTCAGGAAATTTCCTGTCAGAGTACATCATTTATTGTCTCTTCACTTTGAGAATGAGGTGTGGATAATTTTCTTCATTCCATTTGCATCATGCTTGGTGTTTCCAGTATTGTGTTGCTATTAATTGAATCTTTTATGTTTCAGCCGGATGGATCAATAGTGGAACGTCTTCAATGGAGTTTGAGACAGGCTTTTGAGGTGGCACAAAGTTCCTCTCAAGGTCCAATGACATCACAAAGAAATCTACGAATCGAACCCAAGTTTGTGGTTTTCAATGGGCCAAGTAAGTTTCATGTGCCTTCTCACATGAATGATTAACTCACAGGGAATAGTTATTCTACAGTGACAATGCTTTTTCCAGCTACAAGTGCACCAAACAAATTTGGTTCTGGAGCAAACAGTGGGTTTGATCCCTATGCTGTTTATGCTGGTGATAATGCTGTAAACCCAAATGCACCACAAGAATCTATCTCAACAGAAACTGTTCGATCACTACTCGCGACCTTGTTGCTTAAGAACGGATTCTCTATGGCTGGTAATCTGATTCGACAGTCAATACCACAGCCATCTAAGGATCACCAAGATCAAGGTATGAAATATTCTTCTGTAAGATCAACCCCAGGTGCCTTTGACAAGCACACTGGCAACCCTATTCCAACGCTTCAATCAGTTTTGTCTAGAGATAATGATGAAAATATATTTGGCGAGTTTAATACTAATGCTAGCAATATGTGGTGATAAAAGAAGTAGTAAGAGTAGCAACGTACTAGTTATATCTTTCATACAAATTTTTCATGTCAAGTACCATGTAGAGCCTTATTGCCATCAGCTTTTTTTTTTTTTTTTTTTTTTTGTGTAGTTCAATAGATAACACCCGTCATTTTTTGTAGTTTTATGGCCTTTTGTTTACTTGCTTGTTTATTCACATGCTCTGTACATTTTGGCAGTTGATAGTGACTAAATGTATGCACAAGCTAGCATAGTAAAAATGCTGTTCTATGTGCGTACAAAATAGTCCTTATGTTGTGTTTTTGTTATTTTTTGTTTTGCTGACTGCACATCAACTTCAGATTTGTGTGTTTTGTATAGCCTTTTATTAGCTGCACAACAGCATTGTTTTGTATAATTTTATGTTACTTTTATGTTTCATTCACTGGTCAATTTTTCCATCTGTTGAATAATCATGTTTCTGTTATCTTTTAATTATCACATGTAGAAGTACATGCTGCTGTATTATGATATGTACATATATTTTTTCATTTTGTCTTTCTTTTTGGAGACTTTCTCATGTTTCCAGTTTAACCAGAACGTCTCTTAATATTTTTAAAATTTCATTCTTTTACATTTTTAATTTTGATTTCCTTTTTTTTTAAAGATTTGTAGCTATCAATCAATTGTTTGTGTGTACAGTAATTGCTTCTTTCTTCTTGACTCATGCATGCCAGTGCCATTGAAGCATTGAGTTAATTTGTTTGTGTGTTAGTAGTTTAGTGTAGGAAACTTTCTTTGACAATGTATTTTTATATTCACTGAGTGACAACCTGAAATAAAAGCATGACATGCCTCCTATATCTTTTCTGACAAATTAAATGTAATTTGTTATGTTATATTTCCCTTATGTTAGGTTCATTGTCACACCATTGTGCAAACAAGCTGTTTATTCGTGAAAACTGCTGTGTGTCTGAATGTGAAAACAAGGGATAAAAGCATGACCACACACAATCAGCTGTTTGAAACCTGTTGTTGTTATTTCAGGGCATAGCAGTGAGGCATTCTCCAGTGGGCTGTGAATTGATGTGGTCCTAACATCGTCTTGATTCTGGACAGAGAGGAGGCATCAAAGAAAAATTCCTTTGTCATTTGTAAATATTTATGCTAGAAATAAGCCTAATGTAAAAATGAACTAACAAAAATAAATCCAAACTTATATCAATTATACAGCAGGGTCCTCTATTTATTTTCCTTTTGAAATTCAAAGTCTTTCGAGTAGACAAAGAAAGGAAGTCAAACAAATTGGAGAATACAGAGCACTGAATAAATAATTGCATTCCGTATTCAACTGGAGTCCTTCTGTTAGCACTTAGAATCATGGCCACTACAGGCTTGCATCTCTCTGAGCTATTCATGAAAATGTTTGGCAGGAGAAGGGGTCCTGATAGGCAACCCGCGTCCTCGTTCCTGGAATTCCACGTTCCGTACACAGGTGTGTGAGGGGAGGGGAGGGGGCGGGGTGGGTGAGAGCGGCTGGAGGATGGAGGAAGGCAGAGGAAGGGGCCCGGGCAAAGGAACACGCTGGCGTGGCGCGCGTGGCGCGCTCGGCCCTTCTCTCCGCCTCCGTCTCCCCCACCCTCCTACCCCACACCGTCTTACCTTGTTCGTGCGCTCGGCGCGCTCGGCTCCGGGCCGAAGGTGCCCGAAGGCATGCAAGCAGCAACCAGGCAGCAGGCAGCAACACGAACGAACAGGGTTACCAGACTAGGCGACTTGTCGCCTTTTAGGCGATTTGGAGTCGCCGAAGGCGACGAAATTCTTGGGCCAAGTCGCCAGGCGACAAATTAGGCGATTTCGGCCGTCGCCAGGGTCAGCTTTTCGCCTGATGTTTTCCCCGAAATGAGGGCAAAAACTAGCCTTGGCATCGGCCATGCGGCGCTGCAGAGCGTCCCATAGGCGGTGCTATAGCGCTCTATCCTACTACACCCGCACCAGCCCCCTCAGTCCCCGCAAGGTGGAGGATGTCGCTCTCCCCCAAGCGCGGGGTGAGGCGGGGCTACGGCAGGCCTGCGGCAGGCTACGGCAGCTCTGCGGGTGTGAGGCGGGGCAGGGTGACGTGATGGTGGGGACGCGTTGGGTTGGCATGCCTATAAATGAGGAGAACAGCTGAGAAAGGACAACAAACATGAGAGGATCCGGAGGGGGTCCCACTTTGCCGCCTCCGCAGTGAGTGGGACAGAGACACGCACTGTCTCGCTCTCTGTCTCACTCACAGGGGCAGGTACAGCAGCCCTCAGGATCGGATGTGCCATATGACCGTGACAAATTTACGACATTCAGCTGTGCTGGAGCCCCTTTGTTTCGTCCTTGGCAAGTGCCGACAACCTTTCCCGAAAGAATGTCTGGGGGTGGGGTTGGTTCCGGTACGCAGCACGTGACTGCAACAACCAATAGAATAGCTGAAATCGTTTAAAAGCGCGAAGATCTGAGCGGCGAACCGCCCTCCATAGGGCCCTCGGAGCCGGCGGGGGGAGGAGGGGGGAGCGGAGCGGGAAGGGGGCGGGGCGGGGGGGGGAGGGGGGAAGGCGGGGAGAGGGGGAAGCGCGCGCCAGTGCGACAAGGATGGCGATATTAGGCGATTTCGGGTGGGGGAGCGAGATAGGCGACTTTAGGCGACTTCCGCGCGCTCTGGTGGCGACTTGGTGTACTCGGCATCTGGCAACCCTGCGAACGAACGAAGAAGACAGACAGACAGTTGAGTTGAGACCGCAGCGAAGGCCAGACGTGTCTCCGGCGTCGTCTTAGCCCGTTCACTTGTTCACTTCCAGGCGGCCGTTGCCCAAGAAATGTGGTGATTTCCGCGCGTAGCACCCCTAGCAGCAGCAGCAGACCCGAGCCAGGATACTCGTGCAGTGCCAGCCAGTGTGTTTGTGTTTTGTGTGTGATTGTGCCCCGGTGCTAGTCCAGCCTTGCCCCGCTCCGCCATGCCGTGCTCCGCGGTTACCTTGTCGCTAGCGACCATCACGGCCGTGATCGCCGCCGCCCTGCTGTCCATCGCCTTCTCCACGGATAACTGGCAGTACATCGAGGTGAAGCGAGCGCAGATCCAGGTGAGTCCAGTGGAGTCGGAGGCCAACGCGGACTGCGCGGACGCAGCCAGCGAGTTGCAACTGGTGGCCGCCCGGTACGGCCGCCCCCGTCCTGCAAGACAGCGAGAAGGCTGAACGTCGCGCTCGTGCTCCCTTGCGGGACGCCCCATGAGTGCGAGAGAGACGCAGCGGCGAAGGCAGAGTCCGGGATCGGTCCGTAGTGGCCATTGAATGGGTGTCGCAGGTGGCGGGGCCACACGCAAGGCCGGTTCCACGTCGTCTCGGCGGTCGGTGTCGTTTCTCATCATTCAGCGTTCCTTCGGTTCGGAACCAGGTCCTGCCTGAGCGCTAAGCGGCCTGAACCTTTTGGACCCGGCGTCGCAGTGTCGCAGCGCAGAGCTCTGCCGTGCGGCCAACTCGTGCGCCTGTTTTCTTTCGGCGTTTGAAATTCGAAGAAAGCAGAAGATGCCTGAGAGCGATTGTACGCTGAGCCATGGGAGTCGAGGCCGGCGGGCTGGCTGCTGCTAGGTGCTGCACGTGCCGCGCCGCGCCGTGCCGCGCCGTGCCGCGCCGTGCCGCGCCGTGCCGCGCCGTGCCGCGCCGTGCCGCGCCGTGCCGCGCCGTGCCGCGCCGTGCCGCGCCGTGCCGCGCCGTGCCGCGCCGTGCCGCGCCGTGCCGCGCCGTGCCGCGCCGTGCCGCGCCGTGCCGCGCCGTGCCGCGCCGTGCCGCGCCGTGCCGCGCCGTGCCGCGCCGTGCCGCCCGGTCCGCGGTGGGGCGGTCGGCTGCATCCTGCTGCACCGCCTGCAGTCTGCACTGCATGCCTGCATGCCGGAGTCTGGAAGGCTAAGGCTAGTGGAGCCTGGAGCCTGCCGTCCCGTCTGCAATCAGTCTGCTGGCAGTGTGCTGGCGGTCGCGGCGAAAGGGGTCGGGGCTGGGAGGATGCCGAGGATGTCCATGTCGGGGAGGAAGTTGCGGTGGCGCGCCAGCAGCAGCAGGTGTCGCAGGCTGCCTCCGAACACTGCTCTCGTCGCTCTGTCTGTCTCGGTCTCGCACACGCGGAGCGTCCTGTGGCGCATAGGGGTGCGCGAGGGAGACCCTGGCGGAAAAGAGAGCAAATCGGAGCGCGGGTGAGGGGCAAGGGGGCGTGGGGTGGGGTGGGTGACGCGGTGTGTGACGGTCCCCCGAGGCAGCCTCCGACCTTGAACCTCATGGATACACTGCTGGAAATAAAATGTGACGAAGTCCACCAGTTTGTTCCGCGGTTCGACTGCGTAGGGAGTGGGTTCGGTTTTCTGCTTGTCTGCATGACGTGGTGGTACAGCTTCCCAGCCCCCCTCCCCCCCACTACTTTGCCACGCACGCCTCAATTAGAAGTGTGTTTGAATAGGAATGCTGGGAAGGCGAAGGGGCCCTCTGCACTCTGTCGCGCAGTTTCCCCCGTAATGTGGGAAGGGAAGGTGTTGGTGTAAGTGAGATGAAGCGCCGCCGAGAAAACGGTGGTGTGGTCGTCCTCGGCCGAGGTCGTTCGTCTGCAGACCGGACGGCGGGTCCTCGCGCGCTGTCTCTCTCTCACACCCCTATGGGGCACCCCATGAGTGCGAGAGAGAGCGGCGGGGCAAATGTGACAAAGCTGTTGGGGCGGTGCGGTCCGAGCCATGGCATGGCTATGCAGGCGTTGGAATCATTTTGAAGACTGCGATTTTCTCCCTCCTCCCTCGAACCCGGTCAAGCCGGCCGCCCGGCCGGGGAAGTGGCGGCCGCGAGTGAACGGTGTCAATATCGGCGCTTAGCACTCTGGCTAATGGGGAATGGGGGCGCCCGCAGCGAGCAGCCCTCGCAGTGTGCTAGCTGCGCCTAGCGGTACAGTGTGGTGGTACAGTCCCCGGCCGGCGGTGACACTCTGACCGCCACGGTGCCGCGCGGCCACACAACGCCGCGCTGTGCTACGCTGCGCTTGTCGCGGTCGGGGTCGCTTAGGCCCGTCTCTCTCGCACCCCTACGGGCGTACGCAACGCCCCATGAGTGCGATAGAGACGCAGGTCGACGAAAGCTCTGTTTGGAGTCTCCTCGGCGGCGGTGGTCGTCGTGGTGCTCCGAGACTGATTCCGCATTGCGCTTTCGTCGCTCTGTCTCTCTCGCACTCGTGGGGCGTGCCGGCTTGCGCCGCCCGGTGCCGCCGGGGTGCGAGAGAGACAGAGCGACGCCGCTGCATCCGCGCATTCCGTTCCATCCCTCGTAGTTTACTTTCTCGCCGTGTCCATGTCAACGTCCAGGCGTCTCCGTCGCTCTGCCTGCTCTGCTGGGTGGTCTCTCTCTCCGTCTCTTTCCCGCACTTTCGATTCTTCTCGCGACTGACGGCGGGAGGGAGAAACCGATTCAAATTAGCCGATTGGTCGGAAGCTTGCCTGCTTGCTTGCGCGGCGTTGCGCGGTGGCAGTTTGGCTTTCTCGGCCCGGCGCGCCGCGGCGTGTGTGATTAGCTTCAGCGCTGCGGACTGATTCGTCGCTCTGTCTCTCTCGCACCTACGCGGAACGCCCCGTGCCTGCGAGAGAGACGGAGCGGCCAAAACGTACCAAAATGATTCTCGGAATCAGCGAGGGGGGAACAGCCTCCCACATTCATTGTACAAAATTTGACCACATTCCACATTCAGGTGGCAAAAACGCCTGAAAGTAGGCAACGTGTGTGTCAAACGCCTGAAAGTAGGCAACATGTGTGGCAAAAGCGCCAGAAATCTTGCACATCCACACAATCATTGTACACAAATTTTTACAGTGGGTCACCCCTCGGGAATCCGTCTGCTGCCCGCCACCACACCGCACCGCGGCCCCTTGCAGTTTGTTGTGCGCACGCGGCGTCAGCTACTTGTCGGGGCTTCCCTCTTTCTGTGCACTGATGCCGAGAGTCGTTTTCGTCGCTCTGTCTCTCTCGCGCCGATACGGGGTGCCCCACGAGTGCGAGAGGGACACACTCGGAATGAGTCTGCTGGCGGCGCGGCAAGTCGCGTCTGTGCGCGGGGCGTGGCGGATGTTTGTCAACACGGCGCTGCTCCGCGCGGCGGTGTCGTGGGCAGGTGCGGGGTGGGGGTTCGAATACCACGTCTGGCTCCTCTTTCAGTTCAAGTTTTTTGTAGGTGGTTTAGGTTTGGTTAGGTTTTGTTTGGTCTGGTGAAGCTTGATTAGGCTTGGTTAGGTTTAGTTGTGGGTTTAGACCGGCAACCCGGCCGTGTCCAAGTCGCGCCGCCCCCTCCATCCCTCCCTCCCTCCCGCATCGACGCTGGCCGGGTGCGGGCTGTGGGGCTGTGGGGCCGTGGTGCGGTGGCCACACGGGGCGTTGCTGCAGGTGCATGGCTGCATGGCTGCATGGCTGCATGCTGGGGCGCGGCGTGCGGCGTGCGCGTCCATTGTCCCGTGCACCGGACACTTCCCCTCCCTCGCGCCGGCCGTGGCACACCGTGGCACACCGTGGCACAGGGCCGTGCCGGTGTCATAACCTTTGGCCGTTTCCACACCGCCAGCCCGCCAGGCTGCCGGGGCAATGTCTTGGGTGGCGTATGCTATCGCATGCTGCTGCGGAGCTGCGGGTAGAAAGAAGACAAGACAACTCCAAAACACCACCCAGCGCGCCGGACCCAGCCACTGCTAAAATAAAATAACAATCCAGTCATATTCAAAGACGCATGCTTTGGCGGAACGTTTGACCAACGGAGGGGGTGTTTTTCTCTTTGCGTCTGATTCTGTTGCGCCCCTTGCCAAGAGATGGAGAGGCATTGGCAGTGTACTTGCAACTGCCGATGGTGGCCATTGAGCGATGCGCTGGGAGCGCCTCGGAGTCGCTCTGAGTGCAGCCCGGCCCGGCCTGGTTCCCAGGGCCTAGGTCAATCGGCCAATCGGACAGCCGCGTGGATGTCGCCGTCGTGGCGACGAGTTAGCGCCACGCGGCGAGGCGCGCTCTGTCTCTGTCGCTCCCTCGAGGGACGCGCTCCGAGTGCGAGAGGGACAGAGCGACGAGGACGCCGTTTTGGCACCAGCCTGGTGGGCCTCACAGTAAAGCCGATTTAGCGCTCGATTGGGGCTTCGGCCTCGGAGAAAGCTCCGGGGCTTGATCAAGGACTTGATCAAGGACTTGATCAAGGACTTGGGCGCGCAGGGACGGACGCGCCTTCCCCACGGCGGGCAGGACGACACTAGCGTCCTAGAAAAGGTATCTTGCTGATCTTCGCAGGGATGGGCCTCTAGGGGAGCCTATTGTGCGCGGGCGCAGACGGGTAGGCCACGCCTTGCTCCAAGCCGGCGAAGGGTCAAAACCCTCTCCCCCCTCCCCACTCTAGCGCAGACGGGTAGGCCACGCCTTGCTCCAAGCCGGCGAAGGGTCAAAACCCTCCCCCCCCCCTCCCCACTCTAGCGCAGACGGGTAGGCCACGCCTTGCTCCAAGCCGGCGAAGGGTCAAAACCCTCTCCCCCCTCCCCACTCTAGCGCAGACGGGTAGGCCACGCCTTGCTCCAAGCCGGCGAAGGGTCAAAACCCTCCCCCCCCCCTCCCCACTCTAGGGGAGCCTATTGTGCGCGGGCGCAGACGGGTAGGCCACGCTTTGCTCCAAGCCGGCGAAGGGTCAAAACCCTCCCCCCCCCCTCCCCACTCTAGGGGAGCCTATTGTGCGCGGGCGCAGACGGGTAGGCCACGCTTTGCTCCAAGCCGGCGAAGGGTCAAAACCCTCCCCCCCCCCTCCCCACTCTAGCGCAGACGGGTAGGCCACGCCTTGCTCCAAGCCGGCGAAGGGTCAAAACCCTAGAATGGATAGGGAGCCACCGCTCAGGTCCTCTCGTGAGCGGACCCGACCGAACGCGCAGCCGACGTTCGGAGCCGAACGCCGAACGACGAAGCCGAAGGTCCCGAGACGTCACATTCACATTGCAGTGCCGGCGCCATTTTGTCCCGTCGTGTTTACGTTGCTGGCGACATGCTGAAACTTTTGTCATAAAGAGTTGTTTTGGAGAATAATTACTGTGGTTTCTAAAAGA